GAGCTATCCATTTGGAAATTGCACAAGATTTATCAACCAACAGTTTTATATAGGTATATCTTGCGGCAATTTATATGTAGAAGAGTAAATCCGGTCGAAATATATAGTGATAATGGTCAGAACTTTAAGTCAGCTGAAAAAGAATTATCCATAGAATTACAGAAATTAAATCATACGGAAATCAAGAGTTTTTGCGTATTGAAAGGAATAAAATGGAATTTTAATCCTCCATTGGCTCCACATATGGGTGGAACCTGGGAAAGACATATAAAATATGTCAAAAAAGTAATGTACGAAATAATGAGTACGTTCTTCGTACTGTCTTTGCTGAGGCTGAAAATATAGTAAACTCACGTCCACTAACTCACGTATCTGTCGATACTGAAGACTTGGAACCACTTACACAGGTCTATAAACCTAGCAGTCCCAAGGTGGAAAAAAACTTCGGGAACTATATAATAATTAGGTGCTTTTTAGGCGCTAATTAGGGCCTCTAATTAAAAATTAGGTGCTCTTTTAGTTTTTGAGAAAATCAAAAAAAAACTAAGGGACTGCTAGGTTTATAAAAGCGAGCAGTCCCCTATAGTAAAAAATATTTTTTCAATTTTTTTCTTTGTATCAGAATTAGGTACTTTTTAGGTGCTCCTAAATAGTCGAAGAAAAAATAGAATTGATTGATTATTAACTGAGTTACAGATTTTTTTTAATTATTAGGGGATTGCTGGCTTTACGTTTACATGTTGGTGTGTCAAAATGGCAGCAAAACTTCGAGATCTATATCTTATTGATTAATTATTAACTGAGTTACAGATTTTTTTTTAAATTATTAGGGGACTGCTGGCTTTACGTTTACATGTTGGTGTGTCAGAATGGCAAAAAAACTTCGGCATTTATATAATAATTAGGTACTTTTTAGGTGCTAATTAGGGCCTCTAATTAAAAATTAGGTGCTCCTCTAGTTTTTGAGAAAATCAAAAGAAAACTAAGGGACTGCTAGGTTTATGAAAGCTAGAAGTCCCCTATAGTATTTTTTCTTGGACTATTTAGGAGCACCTAAAAAGCACCTAATTCTGATACAAAAGAAATTTTTGGAAAAATATTTTTCACTATAGGGGACTACTAGCTTTCATAAACCTAGCAATCCCTTAGTTTTTTTTGATTTTCTCAAAAACTAGAGGAGCACCTAATTTTTAATTAGAGGCCCTAATTAGCACCTAAAAAGCACCTAATTATTATATAGATCCCGAAGTTTTTTTGCCATTCTGACACACCAACAAGTAAACGTAAAGCCAGCAGTCCCCTAATAATTAAAAAAAAATCTGTAAGTCAGTTAATAATTAATCAATTCTATTTTTTCTTGGACTATTTAGGAGCACCTAAAAAGCACCTAATTCTCATACAAAGAAAAAATATTTTTTACTATAGGGGACTGCTAGCTTTCCCAGTCCCTTAGTTTTTTTTTATTTTCTCAAAAACTAAAGGAGCACGGAGCACCTTATTTTTAATTAAAGGCCCTAATTAGCGCCTAAAAAGCACCTAATTATTATATAGTTCCCGAAGTTTTTTTTTACCTTGGGACTGCTAGGTTTATAGACCTCACTTACACCAAATCATTTCTTGATTGGTCCATCATATAGCGCTCTACCATGTGTTAGCAACGAAGACGTTAATTTAAATCTTTTATCAAAATGGAGAGCTGCCCAGAAGTTATCTGATTTCTTTTGGAAGCGATGGCTAACAGAATATATACCTTTTCTTATCAAAAGGTCAAAATGGCATGAAGAAAATGTACCTTTGAAAGAAAATGATATCGTTTTAGTAATCGATCCTAATGGCCCAAGAAATATTTGGCCTAAAGGTCGTGTTATAAAAGTTTTTCCTGGAAGAGACAAAAGAATTCATTCAGTGGATGTCCAGTTAGCAAATGAAATAATCCTTAGAAGATTTGTTACCAAACTTTGTCGTTTGTTTGTAAATTCAATTGTTTGTAATTGTTAATGGAACTCAATGGACCTTTCTCATTTTACCTGTGCTGCGCGCGCCGCTTGTGGGTGACAGATAATAGAATTGTCAATTGAATGAACGTGGGAACGCGGTCTGACCCTGACGTTTTCTAAGTTAACCTCAATAATCAATCAATATTGCTGAAAATTATTACAAAAACTGTTTATGATACAATGGTTCAAATGTGTTGTGTGAGATCTTGTCAGAGTAAGGCGAAAAAGAAGTCAAACCTTTCTTTTCACAAGTTTCCAACCAATCAAATTTTAAGAAAACAATGGTTACGTGCTCTCAACCTGACTGAAGACGATTTAAGTTGGGATAGAGATTTGAGGGTTCGTAAAATGACGATTTCTATATCAAATACAATAATAATTATACAATTAAAGGTTTGTTAGCACTTGCAAATTCATACTTCTCAAACTTTTCTCCCACATATTTGTTATATTTATGTTTAAAAATAAACAAAAACAGAAACATAACCGAAATTGCACAATTTGACAAGTGGAACCAATCAAAGTCATTCCACACAGGTATCGCGCGTCATTATATGTTTCTCTTTCTTTATTACAGAAATTTTAATAAACTATCCTTGTTGTTCATTGCATGAGGAAGGTCCATTACTAGGGGGAAAATGTTACTGGTGTTTTGATTATTATATTTACGATTGTCATTAGTTGTCACAGAATACTGTTGTCAAAAATATAAAAAAGTTATCAAACTTTAGTCAGCCATTCGCTATTTTCTATCTGAAGTTCAAGATAGAAAAACGGTTCTTCGAGCCCAGATATTTTATATTTTATTATAGGTAATATTAGCGCCTATAAACTATATCTTTATTCAAAAGGCATAGTCACTCGCAGAACGACTCCATATAATCCGGAAAGAAATTGGTCAAGTAGAGAGATTTAATGTGGAATACAATTTTGCTCGCACTTAGATCTCGTAGCCCGAAAATAGAGCAATGGGAAAGTGGAAGATGCATTGCATTCTATCTGATCTCTCTTGTATGTTGCAACAAATCAAACACCTCATGAACGCATGGATATTTAAAAATTCTCGTAAATCTAGCAACGCACAAGCTATTCCTTCATGGCTTTCAAAAAATGTTAAAAAATGTTAGGAAAAGTAAATACGACCCATTTGTGGAGGAGGTGTATACTTGCTGGAAGCAAACCCAGATATGCGTTTTTCCCGATACATTCAATATAAACATCTAGCACCACGTGGAAGTATACCTGAATTTAATAATAACGATGATGGATAGTGAAAATCCTTATAAATCCCATAACGAACCAGAACAAGAAAGTAACTCCGATAAACAAGATGCTCCAACACCTAACAGTCAGAATGGAGATCCGGAAGAAAATTCACTCTTGGACATATTAAATCCGAAGATGAATTCATATTACTCCCCCAGAAAAAATTGTCTGTTTCCAAGATACCTATATACTTGACAGATTATGTTTCAAAATAAACGCGTGCAGAATGTGTTGATTCAATTTGTATTTATGTGTGTCATTCAAAATTGTGTCTCAGCGGTTTTTTACGCACTAGTATGTAAAAGTGAATTATTTTACACACTAGTGCGTGAAATATAATTTTACATTCTCTGAAGAGTAGGTAAAATAAGTGCTTTACGTATGGTACCTAATAGAAAAAAATATGATTTTAAGTCTTTTCGCTTCAGGAAGATTTAAGATTTGGAACCCATCATGTGAAAAAAAAAACAAACTAATATGTTACTCGAAAAACAAGGCCAAAGTCACGTTCACAATGCCAACCATTTATCTTTTTTATACAATATGTGTACATAATAAAGCTGCTGGGTTCGCACAGTTTTTTTTTTCAACATTTAGATAACCATCTGAAAATGTGTTTTATGTGATCCGTGCAATTAAACCGGCAATTTCCTTTACAGATTTAAAGTTGCTGCGTACCTAACATCAATACGAATAATTATTTGTTTTTGTAAGGTATACCCTATACATTATTAAAATAAATCGGTACCTATACAGTGTCATTACTTAAGTGTGCAACATATGGGATTTTTTTTTTAGTAATAGCAAAATAAAAATACAAACAAGGCCAAAAGTTGGTGCATGTCTGATAATCATATTAGGTGCACTTAGAATGGCTGCAAGTCAAACAGCATACAGGGTAGCTCAAAAAATATAAAAATTGTAGTAATATTTACTTAAATAAAATAAAACTTTTGCACTTTAAGGAGAGTTTTTTTAATATGGCTATTATCATTAGTAATGTTTTAAGTTGTTAGGAAAAAAATTGCGACATTTTAAAGTTTTGTTGAATATCATTGCAACAAACATGAATTTTGTGATTCCATAAAAAATTAAAAATCTAAGTTAATTTTACAAATATGCTTGTATTTGAACTAAGTTATGTAAAATTGATTTGATTTTAATTGATTTTTGAAAGTATTAAGGGCGGAAATAAAAAATAAAAAAAAATATAGAAATTATAGATTTTTTCGAAAGAAAATAAAAAAAATCTTAGGAGGCTATGTTTTGGTATTTAGACATAACTTTTAATTCCAAACAACTTTTCTCTATAACATTTTGCTGAATTTTCTAAAATAAGGGTACTTTACAGTACAGCTTTGATATTGTTTGAGCTACCCTGTATGCTGTTTGACTTGCAACCATTCCAAGTGCACCTAATATGATTATCAGACATGCACCAACACTTAAAAAATCACACTGTATATGCCTTCAGTTTTTTGAAATGAAATATTTACAAAAATGTTTTAACTTTTTAACTCGTAGGTATCTCATTCTACCAAATGTAAAAGTGAACGATAGAGAAACATTTTTGTGAATGTCAAAATCAAAAACTCAACCGGTTTTCTTATGGCGGCAAAATGATAATGATATGGTTCTTCAGTGTATAATAATTAGTTTTACCTAAAAAACTTTAAACTATGTAAATATTATCAAGCATTTTTATTAAGGGAAGCAGTTATAGAAGTATTTTATTACCTTCTGGTAAACCACCTGTGAATCTCTCTATAACCACTTCCAAATCGACGATATAAATTTCCCAAAAAAATACCGTCGCACTGTGCAATAAGTCCTCTATTCCGCCGACAATAATTAAAATATAAATTTCCTGAAAAACTAATTTGTTGCGGCCAATATACTTTATTCATTTCATTTACGAGTGTAGCGTAGTCCGTAAAACGTTCGCGTTTTTCTTTTCGAACGAGAGAGCGTCCGTACCGCACGAGCGATTCAAACAAACAACAAACTCGCAAACATATGCGGTCTTTAGTTTTAATAAATCGCGGTCTATATTTAGATATTATGTCACGGTTCGAGGCTGTTATTGGTCGGCCGTGACACAATCGCCGAGTCGATTGGTCGAAGTCGGGCTCTTAGCGAATCGTGACTGTTTTGCCTACCCAGTGCCCCATACGCGCCTAGATGAGGATTAATAATAATTCGCTAATTCAACTGGTTTTTATATTGATTCGAATTTATTCCATTTAGAAAACGGAACTTTGAGTTTGAATTTTTTGGCTGGGCTCTTGGCAACGGACTACGATGGTTTGTCTTGCTTAAACTAACTCTCTTTACAAAGAAGTGTCTTATGTACCTATAATTATGTGTTCAGTTCTGCGATGAAATTCTGGATTCTGAAACAAATGAATGGCGGCTTCATTATCAACTTTTAATCCTGGAACTGATTTCAGTGAATCAATTTCTTCATAAAGCTGCTTCATACAAACTATTCATTTTCCAGCTTCACTTGCGGCTACTATCTCGGTTGTAGAAATCTGTGCTACTGATGCTTGTCTTTGGATCATCCAGAAAATTGCAGCTTCTATGCATAAATGCAAACAACTCCTGATAATGTTGACGGACCCGTACTGGCCATATAATCTGAGTCGCTAAGTATTTCCAACTTTTCTTGTACACCAAACTTGTAGGAGAAACCCACGTACGTGTACTTCTGTACCTTTCAGGTTACGAACTATTCTATTGACTTTTGCACAATCAACATAAGTCGGGTTTTTTAATTTTCTCGATACAACACTTACAGCGTAGGTATCCTTTATCTGGTCTGAGGTACAAGTCAGCAAATATATTACAGCTCCTCCAACAGTTTCTCCATATGGAAAAATAGTTCTTAGTGTTCGATTCTTCTTCACCATTTTCTTTCCCTAATTGAAAACTGTCTTTTACTACAGGTGTTAAAACTGGTTTACCATCTTTCATACCAAAACGTTCCAATAGTTTCTGGGTGTATGGTGGCGATATATGCATAGCATAAGCGGATATAAGCGATCTTAGTGGCCTGGGTACAAAGGGGGCCCTTCCAAAGGGCCTCCCTTTAAGTACATTTTTTTTTGAAATAAATATGCTTTGAAATAAAGTTGCGAAATATAATGACCGACATCAATCGATATATTTAACTGGTACATTCTTTTTAGTTGCCACCTCTGAAAGGTCATTTAGTAATTAAAAATATTGAAAAATCAGTTGAGAAATTCCATAAGTCAGCATGGACTGCATGAAGTTTCTATTTAGTCTATCAGACATAGCACATAGCAATCAATATGGATATTCGCTGGTACCTAATAGTCAAAATTTGAATTTTTATCAACTCTGGATTCGCAAGAGAAATTTTCTAAGAGCATTCAAAATTCAAGAGCCGATAATAATCAAAATTTCGAATGATCATTAGCAGCTCTCCTCTTAAGTTTATATCAATCAAAATTTCTTCTTCCGCAGCTTCCAATTGGTTCTAGAAAAATTATCCAATGAATCAAGAGCCACAGATTATCAAAATTTGAACTATTACCGGCTCTTGATTCTCTGGAAAACTTTCCTGGAGCCAATCAAGAGCCGGTAATAGTCAAAATTTGTACTTTTATCAACTCTGGATTCGCTAGAGAACTTAAAAGCCGATTATAATCAAAATTCCGAATGACCATTAGCAGCTCTTAAGTTGATAACAATCAAAATTTCTTCTTCCGCAGCTTCCAATTGGCTCAAGAAAAATTATCCAATGGATCAAGAGCCACAGATAATCAAAATTTGAACTATTACCGGCTCTTGATTCTTTGGAAAACCTTCCTAGAGCCAATCAAGTCCCGGTAATAGTCAAAATTTGAACTTTTATCATTTCTGGATTCGCAAAAGAATTTTCCTAATGGCATTCAGAGCTCAAGAGCCGATAATAATCAAAATTCCGAATGATCATTAGCAGCTCTTTAGTTGTTATTAATGAAAATTCCTTTTTCCGCAGATTCTAATTGGCTCAATAAAAATTATCCAATGGATCAAGAGCAATAGATTAATCAAAATTTGAACTATTACCGGCTCTTGATTCTTTGGAAAACCTTCCTAGAACCAATCAAGAGCCGGTTACAGTTAAAATTTGAACTTTTATCAACTCTGGATTCCCTAGAGAATTGTTATATTTTAAGGGGAATTAAGGCTCTAGAGCCGATAATAATTAAAATTTCGAATAATCATTAGCAGCTCTTAAGTTGAGTTTTTATCCACTCTGGATTCGCAAGAGAAATATTCTAAGAGCATTCAAAGGTTAAGAGCCGATAATAATCAAAATTTCGAATGATCATAAGCAGATGTTGAAATTTCCTCCTCTGCAGCTTTCAATTAGGTATAGAAAAATTATCCAATGGATCAAGAGTCACAGATAATCAAAATTTGAACTATTACCGGCTCTTGATTCTTTGGAAAACCTTCCTAGAACCAATCAAGAGCCGGTGATAGTCAAAATTTGAACTTTTATCAACTCTGAATTCCCTAGAGAATTGTTATATTTTAAGGGCAGTCAAGACTCAAGAGCCGATAATAATTAAAATTTCGAATAATCATTAGCAGCTCTTAAGTTGAGCTTTTATCAACTCTGGATTCGCAAGAGAAATATTCTAAGAGCATTCAAAGCTTAAGAGCCGATAATAATTAATAATAATTATTATTAAAATTTCGAATAATCATAAGTACCTAGATGTTAAAATTTCCTCTTATACAGCTTTCAATTATAGAAAAATTATTCAATGGATTAAGAGTCACAGATTATCAAAATTTGAACTATTACCGGCTCTCAATTCTTTGGAAAGCCTTCCTAGAGCCAATCAAGAGCCGGTAATAATCAAAATTTGAACTTTTATCAACTCTGGATTCCCTAGAGAATTGTTCTAAGGGCAGTCAAGGCTCAAGGGCCAATAATAATCAGAATTTGGAATGATCATTAGCAGCTCTTAAGTTAATATTAATCAAAATTTCTTCTCCCGCAGCTTTTAATTGGCCCAAGAAAATTTATCCAATGGATCAAGAGCCACAGATGATCAAAATTTGAACTATTACCGGCTCTTGATCATTTGGAAAACTCTCCTAGAGCTAATCAAGAACCGATAATAGTCACAAGTATGTATTGCTTAGGGGCCCAGTGCATCCAAGCGCCGCCACTGTCTATGAAGATTGATTGAGGTTTATTCCATCATAATGGTAAATTTCCTAAAACCAAAAAAAAAACAATATTCTTTAAAATAAATCACACTTAACTATTAAATTGATAAATGAAGTCAGTGGACAGTGATAAAGGTTTCGTGAAAAAATCTGCAATCTGCAGTTTTGATGAAATATATTTTAATGAAACCATTTTATTATTGAGTTTATCCCGAATAAAATGATAACGAATATCAAATGTGTTTCAGTCTTTTGTGGAACTTTGGGTTATTATAAACCTTGATAGCCGACTGATTGTCCTCATTATAATAACACTGAAAATCTTTATTTATAGGCCTATATATTTTTATACTCTATTGCCAAACTCAGTTATACCGAATAACATAAATAAAAGAAAATTGGCCGCGTTCACCAGATACAAACGTTGGTAAACGGTTTGCGATTATTCTGCTGAACAATACGTTGAATTTGTGTTAAAACCAAAAATGTTTTGCAAACGGTCGCCATTTTTGCAAGCATAATTTCAGAGTGTTTATAATTTTCAACACTGTGTTTTGTGTGGTGACCTGTCATTGAGAAAGTGACGTTCTATCATTGAAAAGTTGAATCGTTCAGCAGAACCCAGAGTTTACCCAACACATTCTGTTGGTATTTGTAAGCTGTTTACAATCCGTTTTGGTTGTGGTGAACGTAGCCATTATAAAGATAAATGTTAGTCTTTGGTGTGTTTAACTATGACTAAGCAAGTCTATGCGTGATTTGCAGATACGTCCATAAACATTGCAAGGGAATATATTGTATCCATATTGAGGAAAACCACCCATTTAAAATATTATTTCTTCAAATCTTAACTTTTTAAAAAAACGTTTACTAAATAAAAATAAATGTTGCAACCTTGTATGCGCCGTGAAGCGTACTGAAAGGGTACCGAACCGAGCGGGAGGTAGAGAAGAGGCGATTAGGCATTAGAGAGACTAGAAAACAAGCTGGGACTGGTCCCTTGGACGCGTGTCGCGTGTCTGTAATTATTCATTAATCATTATTCAATTTTTATTTTTATTTTGCATTAAATTGATTGTTCAATCCAATTTGTTATTAGTGTGTGTGTCAAGGAAAGAGTACAGATCAGTTGAATAATTGTTTTTTTGTTTTTGAGAGTTCAATTATTTATACAAGTATCATTTTTTCCATTTTTATGTTTTTTTTTTGGTTGTTTATAATTTTTTTTTTATAACATGTTCATGTATTTAACAAAAATCGTTTCATGCTGTATACAACACAGATAAATAAGTAAATTAAAACCTAAGAAATTATGTGCTGTCTTTTTGTGCTAAGATTTCGATTTTGTGTATTCAGAGCGTCTATTAGGGCCTTGTTGAATTTACTAACATTTTCCTACCCTGACGGGAGAATATCCTAACAAATTGAAATAATCAATTTAGAGATATTGGCTCAAAAACAACTATAGCCGGGTAGCATTCCGTATGAGACCTCAGTACCTTCCGGCAGACCGACTAACTAACCAAAAACTCTTCAGTTTTGATTATAGGTAGTGTTGATCAAATGTAGTGTGTGTAATTGAAATTTTAGCACAAGAACAGGGGCGGTACCTTATTTAAACTCTTATTGACTTAGATTATTGAATTAATGACTTCCAATTATTATTAAAATGACACAGTATGTTTCGATTTTTGAGGAATGTTAGATCCAGGGTTTCTCTGCCGTTCTCTTTCCTCTCGTTAGTTCCAGGATGAGAACGGTACGATTTACTTTAATAATAAAGTAGACGTTGCACAAATTTTTCGTTTTCTTTTACATATCACAACTTCCCTTAAATTTCCCAAATATTTGCTATATCGGGCGCATGTCCAGTAAGTAAAATTGAGTAAGTTTCCACAACGTAGGTCCTATCTGTTTTTCATTTCGTTTTTTTCAGAAGATTTGTTGTTTAAAAGGTAATAAAAATTCACACCGTTCAATCTTACTGAACGAACCCGGGTATGTTATACTACAATATTTGATTCCAAATCCTCTGACTGTTAGATTTCTATCAACAATGATCAATAGCGTCGCAAGGAAAATAATAAATAAAATAGAAGGCAGGACGCAGGGCCGGCTCCAGGACCCGTGCAGCCTATGCCCCTGCACGGGCCGGCAAAAATCTCAGGGAGAATTGTTGGGTAAAAAAACCACATTACAAATTAAAAAAGCTTCATGATATATTTCATCAATTATCGCGTTCGCCTGCCAGTGCCAGACTGGACTTGGTGCCCCCAACAAAAGGTGTGTGAAAAAATAAAATGAAACATGTTCGGGTTTTTCAAACTCTGATCAATTTCAAATGACCTGGGTCCTTATTCCCGAAACAGGGGAGCAACGTTTCCAGGAGAACGAGTGTTCCGTCTTTTTTACTTATATTATCAGTGGCATATCATTGAGAAAGACGGAACACTTGTTCTCCTGAAAAATCTCGTTCTCCCGGGAACGCTAATCCCCAGTTTCAAGAATAAGAACCCTGAGCACAGTTCTTAGGACTGAATAAGTACGCAACTATATAGTTCTACGCAGTTCCAGGATGGTTCGCGAACAGTTCGGAAAACGAGAACCAGCAAACACCTACAGCTATCCTAGTTTCCGCTTAGCGATTTTCAGGAAAATAGTATTTACAAGTACTTCTGCAAACTTTCACATGCGTGCCTTAAAAATTTACTATTAACACTTATATCTAACTATATAGAGGTGTTTTTTTTTGAGAATTCAGATCAAATTGCAATTAAGGCTGAATGAGAACTACAGAGCAGTGGCGGCTCGTCGTATAAAGCAACTGAGGCCGGGCCTCACATGTAAAGATTACAATATTGATGTAAAATTTTGAAATAATATTTATTAAATATTTAACGTTTTTCAACTATTTTCAACCATTAAAAGTATCAAAACATCAAATTTTCAACAAAGTTTAATACTATCTCTTGAATTTAGCGCGCGATTCTGCCTATTTATCCTTATAGGCGCTCAAATCATTGGCGGACAGAGTAAAAATAAAATAGCAACCCCAAAAATTGTTGCTTCATGTGCGTCATTTAATTATAATTTATAATTAGGTATTCTAGGAGTGTAAAATGAATCCCTCTCACGATATTGTTTTGTCTTTGCTAGAAACTTCCTTCTCTCAACAACCTGAAAGTGTGTTTATTTAATGATCGGTAAGAGGGGCGGCAAAAATACCTTTTGCACGGGGCACCGAAATGTCTGGAGCCGGCCCTGCCAGGACGCAACCCTCTGTGGAACTCTAGTTTCAGTAAAAAACAACTCCGAAAGTTGTCCGCTCACCACCAGATTAGCTTGAATAGCTTTATTTGTGTGTAAGTTTTCGACCACTGAGACAAATTTCGTTGGAATTCCGCTTTAAAATGCACCAGAGCACTTCTCGATTGACGGAATCAAAAGCCTTCGCTAGATCTATAAATGCAGCAATTGATGTTCTCTGGCCTTTTCCTGAAGTTGGCCAATTGCAAACCATCAGGTCGTTGGATTCCCTGTTTAACCGAAAACCACTACGAGATTCTGGAATTAGTTTTTCCACTACTGGTTGTAGTCTCTCCGCTAAGATCTTTGATAAAATCTTTCCGGCTATATCTAAACAGCAATGATAAACATCAATAGTTTTTGCAGTCATACGTGGAGCCTTCTTTTTTCCACGGATATTGGACGATCAAGTTCGTGTGCCGTTTCATACTGCGAGATCATGTCTATAACTTTCAAATCATTGATTGAGCACTATAGTGTTTCCTCCACCATAACATGATATCATTCATCTTCTTTCATGGGCCCGCCCCCCCCCCCTGGTTGCGCCACTGTCTTCTTTAAGGTATAAACTTTAGAATATGAGCTTTTCCATAGACGCATCCTTGACAAACTTCGCTATCAAGTTTCACATTTACATCTAATTTTTTTTTCAATATCGTTTTATTTTGGTGACCAAATCTCTTGTGATATAATCATCACATTCTCTTTGCTTGCTTGATTTATTTGACATAATTTTTGTGGCTTTAAGTTTTCATGAAGTACTTGTATAATCCTCCAGATTAACTTCCCTTTTTAACTAACACATCTCCGTCTATCTTGAAGGAGCATCTTTCCACTGCCTGAACAAATTTTGATCTTTGGCTGACAAGGTTGAATGTAAGTTTTTCTCAATCTCTGAGACATAGGTACCACACATCAAAGTAAACATACATTTTCTTACATTTATTTCCGTTTTCACTTTGATGGTACCTTGACCAAGAGCTGGAACTGAATGACCATTGGCTGTATTGAAGTCTTGAAATTGTATATACATACATGTCAAACCATTCACTATGGCTAGTAATATGGTATTGGGGTCTGGGGTTGCAAAAATGGTACAAGTAATATTTTACAGTAGATGTGACTCTATCTTGACCTATTTATGCTGAAGGTAACCCAAAATTGTTAAAAATAATGGAAAATGAATCCTGAAAAATGAAACTATTCACCGATGGCTGATATGCTCATCAAATATCCTGTTTCAAAAAATCATAAAATTTGAAAAAATTGTGGAAGGCGAACGAGAGACTGCTATTTTCTGTCTTATAGAGTTTTTGCATGGCGATGAACTTCAACTTCAATGATTATCTTATATATACACGAAGAATGTGCCATACAAAAATTATCCAACATCTGTTACCTAATAGAGCTGATATTTAACATCAAACCTATAATTTCTTCTGTTTGTCAGTCAAAAATCGATTTTTACCCTCGAACATATAATATCACCCTCCTCATGCGTGTCTGTGTGAAATTCAAATAGGCCCAAATTAGTTTTGAAAACTAGGCCAATCAAAAACCAATTATTTATGTAATAAACTTTATTAAAACTTAAATGTATCATCCAGTGTTAGTTACCTCTTTCGAGAGGCTGAACAACTAGTTTTTACACAACTATATAAATAAATAAAAAGGCACTATACAAACATCATAAATTAAAAAAAAAAGCAAAGAATCTTTCCAATAGAAAAATAAAGTTATCTTATATCACATTCCATTTTGCATTACACCCGAACAATCGTATTCCATTGGTAACAGGCCCGCACCCATTTTAAAAAGTGTCAATATATCATTTTTTAAATAAATATGAATATAATAAATCCTAAATATCTATAAGGCTGATTTAAAATTTTGGTCATTTATAATATATGGTTTAAGGCCCTACGTCATAAGACTCGGTGTTTTAAGGCATGTTTAAAACACAGGGTCGTTATTTATATGAATCAATATCTAATCTTCTTAAAAATCTAATTGTTTTTTTTTTAGGCAACTATTTTGTAACAATCTGTAGGTTGGCATTATCATTTTTAAAGCTGGTCTATTATAAAGAAATTTAATTTTCAAACACTGCTAAAATCACTTATAAAAATCTAATGACAAATTAATAATGCCCATTAGGTTAGCATTATTACTTGGATTTCTGAGTAACAATGTTGTCAAGAGTATAAAATCTTTTGTGACAACAATAAAATGGCAAAACCAACAAGTGTTAATGGATAACTTAAAGGACATAAATTAGTAATAATAATAAAATAAAATATAATATAATAGACGTTTTAGGTAAAAAAAAAAAGATACAATTTAAAAACTAAGAGATTAAAAACAATACATTTAACAATTAAATAAAATACATGTAATGATTATTTGGTTGTCACGATTAGAACAATATAGATTTAAAAAAAACAAAACTATGTACAAATAACAATATTTGTTGGAAGAACAAATTTAAGCGACATTTTTTTTGGATCAAGCTAGACAAATGCCAGTGCAGTAATAATTAAATTCGATATTTTAAGTGTTCTAATTGACTATCAACAACTTTTGATATAAATATGTATAATTTCCTCAAATGGTCCACAAGGTTCCTTTATTTGTTGATTTGAGTCGAGAAACCAATATAACAAGTTTTTCCCCCCTTTTAAACATCAAACAGTAACATAATATTTGGTAAAATAAAATAAAAACTCTACTTGACTAGAGTCAAAACATTAGGTGGGATATAATGTGTAGGTAAAATAGCCCACCTGTTACTTACAAACCCGTATTTGAGAACTATAGAAAGTAGTAGTTTTTATGATCAGCTATTTGCAATTATTATTTTTTTTCAACACAGTTACGTAAAAAGTTCAAATATTGCTTTGTTGTATATTTGGTCCTACAGGTTACTTAGTAAAAAGACTTAAAAATGTTAACAATCATGATAAAATATAAAAATAATAAGCATAAACATAAGCAACAAAACCAACACAAATTAATAATAATAATAGCAGATTACTTGGCCTATAAGAGTAGGGGAAGACAATTCAAACATTTTTAGTATTTTGCTCCAATAAGGATCAAATCCTGAGAAATAATATCTTCTCCAAGGCACAATCATTTTATTTACCCAAATTTTCTTACATTTTCTCAGATCTGGCAGCTAACGTCGCCAACGTCGTCAATCCCAACAGAGCATTATCATTCGGCAACGCATCTTCGCTAGTATTTAAATGCATGATGCTCTGCTTATTTTTGCGTTTTTTCGATCCGACAACAGGAGGAGGACTGTGAATCGATGGCTTGTTGTTTTCGAGCCTTTGGATTTTGTGACTGTCAGTTTTGATTCTCAATTTTCGTTTTTTGGTATCGCGTTTTCGTCGGATGAAATCGTCGTAGCTCAAACTGGGCAGACGTTCTATCCTCAAATCCAAGTTGAAGTTTACTTGCGAAGATTTGGCTCCTTCGGACGTTTCTGAGATTGTTCGCACTCGTTCGACCTTAAAAATAATTGTCAGTTGGTTCTGGAACAAACAAAAAATTATTCTTACCTTTGGTTTCAGGTCCTCATCATCAATTTTAGCATTAGTCCGTTCCGCCAACCGCTTAATAGTGTTTTCCAAATTGAGTTTAGTCGTTTCCTGTCCAGTTGGCTTCTCTTGCTCCGTTTTTCCTGTTTTGTGATGCTGGGTCAGTTTCGTGTCTCTTTTGTTGCCCAAAAGTTTGCCTTCGAACATGAAGCGTTCATAACGTTTGCCTTTGCACATCCTGTCGCTCTTTCTTTGCTCTTTGGGCTCGTCGCTGGCAAATATGCCATCCACAACTTTATTCAGGAATTCCTGATTGGTAAAATTGTCATTTTCTTGGCATGTTTTTTCCTCTTCGAACTGTTCGAAAATTCGTTTTTTGATCGGCTTTGGTGGCATCGGCACCTTTGTAATCACATTAATAGGACTGGAAAACATCTCTTGAATTTTCTGCTCCATTCTGGAGTCCTTCCATTCGGTTTCGGGATTTTCATTGTTATTGTCTTCGACTTCGCAACAAAGCGAATCCTGTTCAGTTTTCCTCGAAACGGTGTAATTGTTGTTCATCAGAGAAGTGAGACCGCCCAATTGAGATTCATCTGCCAACTTTCCCGGTGTAAATTCGGGCAAAGTTAGCGTGGGCGGGCTGGACATGGCAGCAGACGGTGGCAGCTTCGAGGTGATCGTGGTGGGACGGGTGGTGAGCGTGCGCAAAGGCGGCGCAGGCAATTTGTACCAACGGAAGTCTGGGTTCGCCGAGAGAAAGGCGTCTTTGTACTGGAAGAGATTTCTGAATTATTTTAATTGTATTTATTTATTGACGGGTCAAGCCTATTATAAAATATTTTGATGATTAACAAATATAACGAGTTCAAAATTAAAGACTAGATTAACATAAGGAGGATAGGGATGCACCGAAACAAACTTAAGGGGTGAATATCTTTTTTGAATATTTGAACTGTAACAAAATAGACATTATCAACAAGGGTAACAAACCCACTGTCATCAACGCCGTCAGGCAAGAGGTCTTAGATGTGACTCTAGCTGACACATTCACATCCAACACAATAACCAACTGGCTTGTGTCAAATGAACCCTCCCTGTCGGACCGTCAAATTTGTCTTTCATTTGAGAGTGGGCACTTTGCCTAAGTATTTGACTGACGAAATTAAATATATTCATGACATACAATGAAGAATAATCTTTACATTGATTACGCAAATGCTGCAAGTAAAACTATATTCACTGAAATTGTTTAATTCGTTACCAAAAGAAATGAAAGAAACTCTGGATAATAAATGACAAATAACAATTAATACCCATACATCAGGTAGATATAAGAAAGAAATTCTTACCTCTTTAGCTAAATCATTATAGGGTTGTTTTTCTGCGACGTTCAATAAAGCCCACCATTCCCCCAAAATTTTCGTCACTCCCCTATTTTCAGTGGTGGGGTATCGTTGTCTCACTACTGGTCTGTGTTTTTTGCAAAATATTAGAAAAGCGTTTGGAGGCCTCCTGGCATGATGAGACGGTGAAATATCTTCTGCAATTTGCGGATCTTCATCAGGATCTAAGAAAAATATATTTAAATAAATAAATTAAAAAAAATTAATTATTAAAATATATAATATAATATTAAATGATAAAGTCTTACCTGTAACAGATTTAGATTCTTTGGTAGTATCCATCATCAAAATATCTTCATCATGGAAATCATCGTTTTTGTCCACAGCATCATCTTCCCCACTGCTCACACCCCAAGTTGTTTTAACATTAAATAAATTCTCAACCTTGACTTTGTTGGTATCAAAATTGTGCTTGGACCATACCTAAATCAAATAGCTATAATATAATAATTGAAATTTTTATTGTCAAATTCTTACTTCTTCAATTTTCTTCTCGTTAATCGGAGCCTGATCGATGGTGACTTTTTCTAGTTGTTGCGATTCCAAGTAGCCGGAATGATAATTGCTGCGGTGAGGCTTCATGAAGCTGTTTTCGATTGAGTTCATGATTCATTTGGTGTACTGTACAGCGCTGCCTGTCTAAAACAAAACCAATAAATTCCTTTAAATAAACATTTAATATCCCTTACTAATTCAGCTACTGCAATAAGTTATTTATAGCATTTCTGGTAGTTTATTATCTTCGACGGCGCAAAAGCATTGAAATAATATGATGTAAAATAATTATTCTTAGTCAAGTTTTGACTGAAAATATGTTTCACCTTTTTAACACAAAAGAATTCAACTGGGACAATAAAAACTAATTGGTTCTGATAAGGAATTCAGAGTGACTGTAATTAAATCAAAAACAAAAGGTGCGATTGTGGAATAACAGTTCGCGTTTGTATTAATAGATTGAATATTTGAGGAAGCTTTTTTTTTAAATTGTTGTTTGAATATTCATTAATTTGTTTATTATACTATTTAGTTCATAGACCTACTTTTGCTATAGTTTTACTTGTACTGCCTTCACCTTCAATACCAAGGCCTCACAGAGTATTTGCTTCAATTATATGGATAATCAATTTATTAAACAAATTCGAACCAGCTGCTGGTTTTATTTTAACCATTTAAAGGCAAAATAACTTCTCTCTTTTGCAAAGCAAGAATGCATTAATATCGAAGAAGAGACAACTTTCTAATTCGATAACATATAATATTATATCTACCTGCATCGTTTTTATCAATAATAATAAATGTTTGAATTCGAAAACAAAAGAGGTTTAATATGAGAGATAAGGGAGAGGCTACATGCTTCAAAATAACACCAAGCTTGAACGATAAGGATTTATTTGATATAAACAAAAATATTTTCAAGTATAAGGTTTTTTTTTGTAATGGAATTGATCATTTGAATTTAGTTTTTCCATGTTAATGATTTTTTAAAATTATCTGCCCATAATTTTTTCATATATCTCAGATTTCCTCTGCTTTGCTTTGTACAGGGTGGGCCAATTTGGACACTTTTAATAGGAAACTTCAATGATTGTGATTTTTGAAAAAAGGTACGAAACTGATAAAATTTTAATTTCTTTTATGTTGAAATTTTGTGTTTAAATGATCAGTTTGGATCCCCCAAACTCCATATACTAAATTATTCCGAGAATTGAAACCGAAATCTTTAAAAAAAGGACAACAGGAAAGTTGAAAAATCCAAAAATTCACTCACAATTCCTTAACAGGGTTTTTTCTCAGGAACTATAAGTCTAAATGAGTTGAAATATTGCAGGATTTGTAGTCCTCTACTAGGATAAGAATCGCTGGAAAATTGAGCTTTCCATCTATGATAGAAAAACAATTATAAATTGTCAAACTTCCTTCCAAAATGGTCAAATTTCATTTTTTTTTTGTGGAGATTTTACCTTTAGACGATCAAATGGGACCCCAGAAACGTCATACAGTGATTTATTGTGGGATTTGAAGCCGAAATATATGAAAAAAGGAATTTAGAAAAAGTCAAATATCCAAAAATTCACCCCAAATTCCTTAACGCGATTTTTTCTCAGGAACTTCAAGTCCAAACAAGTTGAAATGTTTCAGGTGTAGTGCTCTACTAGCATAATGAGAGTCGCTGAAAATTTCAGCTTTCTATCTATGATAGAAAAAAGGTTATGATTATTCAAAGTTTTCAAAAATCTAAATCATAAGGTAGCTACCCTACCTTGGTACTAAAATAATGAAATTTCAAATTGTTTTATATTGAGATTTTGTGTTTGAATGATCATGGGACCCCCCAAAATTCATACACTAAATTATTGTGAGATTTAAAGCCAAAATCTGAAAGGGGAACGAATACTATCAGCAACTTGACTGAAGATAAAACGGAATATATTACTCAGGACCTAAGCACTCCCATACATATTGAAGGAGAAGAAATCGCTGTAGGCATAAAGACAGTCAAGACTGCAAATACGAAGTTGAAAAATAATCCAGTGGTCCAGAAGGAATTCCGGCAGAATTACTGAAGAACAGTACAGAAAAGCTCTATGAATTATCAACTGAAATAATTAATATGTGCATCAATGGACACCCTGTACCCATACGTGCCCATACAGTGAATATTGGCTTATATAACGTCAATTAACAGAAAAGGAAACAAACAGAAATGCAGTAATTAGGGCTAGCACTCTAAAGTCTAAGTAGGCTATATGGAAAAATAAATAAGAGATATTGTAGAACACGAATACACAGAACAGCAGGAAAAATATCAAAGTGGATTTCGAGCTGGCCGCTCTTGCATGGACAATGTATTCTGCTTCAAACAAATCATTGAAACGAAATCCACTACCAACAAAGATACTCACTTAACCTTTATTGACCTTCGAAAAGCATTTAAGTATTCCCTATGGGAGATATTAGAAAAATCAAATATTAATCATTATTCCATAAGAAGAGCCATACAAAATATCTATGATAGAACAGTCAAGAATCAAAATAGGAAACAATCTGTCAAGCAAATTTACAGTCTCCTAAGGAATGAGACAGGGAGCTGCATATCTACAACACTTATCAAAATCTACGTAGAGAAAGAGCTCTGAAAATATGGAAAAAGGAGATCAGGGAATGGGTGTCAAACTCAACAACGATGACATATGCCCATATATACTGCAGTTTGCAGATGAAGTTGTCTTATCAAATGATAAAGATGATATGGAATATATGCTTCAGAAGCTGCTAGAATGGGTTTAAAAGTGGATATCAAAAAAACCAATTACCTTTGTGTGGGTGAGCAGAATGGGAATCTACACTACAGTTAGACCAAGAGTAAATTTCCACATGTAAAGAATATAAATATTGAGGTGTAACCTTTACCGACATCGGAAGAGAGCTAAACACGAGAATTACTCAAGCCAAAAAGGCTATATCCTGTGTAAAGAGTATATTGTGGAGCAAAGAAAAAAGCTAAATAAAGTATGGGGCTGGAATATGGGATGAGAGAGAGGTGGTGGAGATGGATGCAATAAGAACGTCTCTCGGAATATTTAGAAGAGACAGAATCAGGAATGATGTGATGAAGGAAAGAATGGGAATTGAAGGAACAATAGTACCTACAGGTCATAGGAAGAAAACTGCCACCCAAAGCATCATGGGATGTAGGAATATGAAAAGCAATGAGCAGTAGAAACCTTGAGTTGAACAGAGCCAATGGAACGACAGAAGATGCTGGAACTTGGAAATCGGACTGCGAAGAAAAACGCTATAAACTGATACATACATCTTTTCATTCAAACATATTGAAATCAAACAGACATATCATATCCAACTGATAGCAATATAATCCCCTTAGAGATGAAAACTCCGATTTCTTTAGCAGAATCCAGAATCTAAAAATCATGAATGTTGACCTTCATGGAAAAATACAAGAAAATTTATTAACAATGAACAAATTCTATATTGACCTGCTGAATCTGAGGAAGTGGTGAAAGACAATATGGTATCTGCCCAAGAAATGCTTCAGTCTGATAATAGAATATACGAGCAAAGACAACTAAATAAAATTGATTCAAAAGAAAAAACACAACATCACTATTCGAGTCACTATTGCAAGAATTAGAGGAATCAGGCACACAAAATGAAGTAACAAACAGCAAGATCACTAACACTATTATTGACAATAATATTTTCAACAAAAAAGGAAAACACGAGTAAGAAAAAGCAAGTTGTTCTTCTCACAGATGGCTTCGGAAAATTTATGTATGATTACCTCCGCAGGAACCTCAAGGCTGATTACACTTTACAAATGGTTTGTAAGCCTGGTGTTCAGATATTGATTGTTATATAAAGGACTTCACAGACAATGAATAGCCCCTGCTACTTTTATGTTATGTCTGCTCATCATTTGGTCAGATGGAAACTCTGTGTTCGACAATTTGCTGGATTGTCTGATCATGAAGCAATATTCTGTTGATTTCCAGTCAATTCCACTAAGTAAACCAAGAAAAATCTTTGAATAAGGCAAAAGTCTGCCCTCGAGTCTGCCTAAGAAAAATTTTAGGAGGTTTGGCTTGCTATGAAATTAAATGGACTGGGATAGATTTTCAAAGGAAGACTCTTTGGAGCACTTTCATCTACTTTTAACTCGACTTTTAAGCAATACATATAGCTTTAACATTTCTTTTCCCATTGTCAAGATAGAGCATAAGAGGCTCAATCCCTGGTACACAAAGGGTCTGAGAACATCGGCTGCTTACTTAAGATCTATGCAATATATCAAAAAGTTCTATAATCAAAATGAAACTTTTATTAATTATTATAAAATATACTGTAAAACTCACAGAAGGGTGGTTAAGGTGATAAAAAGGTTGTACTATGTGAATCAAATTGAACAGTCTTGCAATAAAAATAGAGAATCATGAACTTATAAAAGTTCAGAGGTAGAAATTCGTCCATGGTTTCCTCCGAGGTTTCCTCAAATCTCAAAGCAAACGATTTGAATTCTTTTTACTGTAGCATAACAGTTTGTCTAGTAAAATTACATCCTATAAAGAACCTTCAGACTATCTAAGCAAAATATCCAAATCTGAGACAATTTTCCTCTATCCAGCAACATCTGTGGAGATTGAAGATATCTTCAAAAGATTAAAAAATGAGAACTCCTCAGGATGGGATAAAATTTCACTAAGAAGGGTAGTCGGGGCGCTTCCAGACTTGGTTTTGGATGTACTGGCTGGAGCTATCAATAATTCCTGAAGTTAAACAAACTAACATTTTTTCTAACAAAGTATTAAATCTGCAAGATTTTTGAGGAAAGAAGCTGGAAAAGATACCAGAATTATGTAAAGTTATGGTAAGAACTTCAAAAAAACCTGGACTCCATATGGTAAGATTTTTTGTTTGTTGTCTAGTTTTTTTAATTTTGGACACTGAAATCTTAAAAGACTTTACCTACTTGTTGTAGAATATTAAGACGAGATTTAAGAGTTGCAGATTGATTTTGAGCCTCCCAGAACAACCTCCAGATTCAAAATTCAAGTTGGGGAAAATTGTTTTTAATATAATATTGTTCCAATTTGGTTGTTTTTGTTGTATTTTTGAGTGATTTAAGGGCAAAAAGGGCGTTTACACGAGTTTCCAGACTTTATTCATGAATTTTGAGTTTGTTGACTACAATTGAGAAACAATACAAAACCGAATGTGGGGGGCCAGCTTGAGCGAGCCTTTTCCTTCCATGTTGCAATTTGCCAATTTTCCTGGCACACAACTTTCAACAAAACCAAAAATAAATTATGACTTCTTTAGACATGCAATTTTGCGACTTGCTGAAAGAGGACTGTCAGACACTCTTTACATTCAGCAAATTCTTTGGAAGTACTCTCAGACCTATACTTGCAATAGTTTAGGTTGCTTGTGTAAACTACGCTTTAGATATTTGGTCCATTGGATCTGGTATTAGTTAAATAGCAGAACAGCACAGTTTAAGAAATCAAATTGCATTCAGCGCAACAAACTGTAGTTGACTAAACTGGAATTTATTAAGTTGTTATTGAAGATTTGGCCTACTTGAAGTAAAAATTTCTACATAAAAACCAAAAATATTCTTTTATAGGAAAACCAAAGCAGATGTGTCAAGGTTGTCCACAAACAATTTTGGACCAAGACTGTTTTATAACATTTTTATGCACAACGCGAATTAACAAATAATATTGTTCAAAACTTGTTCAAGGACGTCGCCTCTCCGAGTTGCTAAGTCGAATTTCTCGCTTTAATTACTGAAAATCTTGTTTGTGCTTATTGGCATTGGTTGAATATTGTTTACATAGCTTTTTCGAATGTATTTTTGGTAAATTACCAAAGTTAAAAGCGATAAAAAATGGTGCAACTCACCTCCCAAGTTCTCGCACTTCATAGAAACGCAATCACATGACGTCACGTCGGGAAAATAAGCCGATTTTCTTGTGATGGCACGAACGAAACGGGAAAATGTGAAAGGAAAAGGTTAAAAACGGGAAACTGGGGTCACTTTTGTGTCATAACTGCGAAATTAACGCGGATTTTCCAGAGGAAAAACTTGCTAAGACGATCAAAGATGTCTGTGTTGTGTGTGTTGGTATTCTGTTTTGGATTTTCGTGGGTCAGCTGTTCCCCACCACTTTAACGAATAAGCTATTTTGATTGGTCGAAAGTCTAATTAATGAATTTTGATTTGCCCTTGTGACACACATTTGGATTTTCCACCGAATTTTATCGATTTTCTTTCGAATTTCAAAATCTTTGCACCATTTTCCAGTTTCAATTTAATAAAACTGCAAAACTGGGCAATTTTCATTGAGTTTTTATGGGAAATTTTGCATAGAATGGGCGTGTTCAGTTTAATAATAGTATAATAATAATTAATAAATATTGAGCCATGGTGGGGCAAATTCATTACATGTAAATTGTTTATATTTTCTTTTTTGAATTTTTTCTATTTGCATTTTCCATTTGATTTACAAAAATGAAAATAGACCAAGCGAGAATGGCGACATCTATTTATGAATTCACAAACCAGCGAAAAGTGTAATTTGTTCTCTGATCAACACTTGGCATCTTTATTTAATAGACCATATTGAAAAAGGATAAAAAATGACCTTTGGTTTTCTAAACTTAGTTTTCTACATCATAATTATAACATAACCTAAAATTCCTAACCAAAACAAAAACAAAATGAAAATTCTAAAAACACTTTCCTTTATTTCCTATTTTCTATTATTATGTTTTATTCAAAGTACCACTGCGATTAGAACATACACTAAACAGGATTTGAATAGGCTCAGGCAAGTTAATATTTTAATTTAAATTAAAAAAATTTAGGCCTGGTTTAATTCATCTTCAGATAAACTTGCTGGTAACTATCTGCAGGATAAATTCAACGTTCTATAATTTTATTGGTCGGTGGATAACTGGCCAACCAATAGAAGTACATATTACGTTTTTATCCCTCAGATTGCATACCTGACGACAGTTTATCAGACGGTGAATAAACCGGCCCTTAATCAATCATTAAATTAGGTACCCATGTATGAAATTGAACTTCAGAAACTATCAAATGGCCATACAATAACTACAAACCACACAGAAGAGAAGAGAATAATATGGGGACATTGTTGATACCAATTTTGAAATGAAAAGAAAACTTAATAGAAACAACAAACAACATGACTATACTTACTCGCCCAAAATAAGACTAAATACAAAGAGAGACTAAAAGAACAACTAACCCAAAACTTGAACAGCAATAATGGAAATATAAATGAAATAAATGATGCTTGACTAATCGACAGCAACAAGTGAAAATATATACAGGGTGTTTCAGAAATGGGGTTACAAACTTTAAGGGTGGATATAACTAATCAAAATAAGAAAAAAAGTTCCTATAAATATGGGCCCGGAAACGTTTCGTTTCCGAGGTATTGGAGCTAGAAATTCAAGAAAAAAAGTTTTTTTGTATTATATTTCTCAATTTCTAAGATAAATAGTTCAAATTTCGTCTTTTGTTTATTTTCAAAAATGGTCACAATCTTCACGTTAAATCAAGGGGTTGGTCTTTTTTGGGGGGTGACACCACCCAAAACCCCCCTTAATTTTTTATTAGCACATTTTTAACTAATTTTTTTTGAGCTAGCTTCTCCGTTTCATTGGACAGGTTTTTGGTATCTTGCAATTTTTTCGTTTCTCGATTAGTTTTGGCGGTGTTTTCCAAAATAAACAAAACATTCCTTCATTAATCGTGAAGAATATGGCTGTTTCTGAAAAAGAACAAAAGATATACGCTGTGTACAAAACTTCCGAGGAAATCTCAGCTATTTATCTTGAAAAAATAAAAATATAATACAAAAAAAAAAAAAAAAAAATTAAATTTCTAGCACCAACGTCTCAGGAGCGAAACGTTTCTGTACCTCGGGAACGAAACGTTTCCGGACCAATATTCATAGGCAGTAGCGTGTCAAATTTTTTGGGGGCCCCCCCGCGAACTTTTTTTTGAGGCCCCCTATGTCACTATTATATTTTCACAAAATAACCCATTATAGTAAATATTTATACACAATATCATTATCTAATAGTTAAAAAAGACAGCGAATTTTTAAAACTAAATTTATTTCTATAAATTATTATATGTTATTATAATATAGGAGGGATGATTGAAAAGTTCTAAAAAAAATGTTCTTCCAATACAAGGAAAACATACAACAAATATTTAACTAATAAGTACAAAGATATGGAATTTAATATTTTAAATATCAACTCAAAACTCAAACGTAACAAGTGAAACAACATTGACTCGCTAATAACCGGAAATTCCCATTAAAACGGGGAATAACCTATGGGAATCACTGAGGTTTCGACCAGCCAGGGTTGACAATTGTTTGGGCGTTCACATTTTTTATGTTCGAAAGAAATGATGACAAATAAAATATGGATTTGAAATGTTTAAATGTGCATATTTGTATTTTTGGAGTTTGTTTGATATACATAGGTATTACTTTTTCTTAGAGTATATTGAGGTCCCGGGGGCCCCCAATATACCGTTGGCCCCCCCGCGTGGCGGGGTCTGCGGGGCCGTTTGACATGCGCCTGTTCATAGGAACTTTTTTTCTTATTTTGATGAGCTATAGCCACCCTTAAAGTGTGTAACAGTATTTCTGAAACACCCTGTATATACAGTTTGTCCACTTAAGTTCGCAGCATATGGGAAAGTTTTTTATTATCAATTTTACGAAAAAAAGTTATTCTTTATGAAAGTGTCTGCTTCATATTGTAAGGAATCATGTACTGAAGTTACAAACCGTACTAAGGAAACACCCTGTATATTTTTCTATTTTTTGACCACCCTGTACATGCTATTTCAAGTTTTAAGAGATTAATAGTATTTTTTCAAGAAGCAGAAACTTTTATAAAGAATAACTTTTTTTCGTAAAATTGATAATAAAAAAGTTTCCCATATGCTGCGAACTTAAGGGGACACACTGTATATTCTATATATAAAATCAATAGCCGAATTAAATATCAGGGGAAAAGTGATACCTACCTACTTTTAGATGCTGAAAATCCTGTGGTTGTTTTCAATGGTTTGACTTGGTTGGAGGCTCACGTGAATGCTAAAAATGGCATTTCTATTGTTAGAAAATGGCTTGATTTCTATAAACTGTCACTGAACGTTAAAAAACCAACTATTGCCTTCACTGAAACTGAAAAAAATCGACCTCTGTTTAATTATATTGAAGTTGAAAATTTGCTGGAGAAAATAAATGAAGTTGAAAGTACTAAATATCTTGGAATTAGGACTTTTATGTAAGGTGGGAGTGGTGGGACTTATTACATGTTGCATGTTGCTTACCTAAGTAAAAAATTAAAGTACATGATGTATAAGTTTTACATACCTAAACAAATTGTGGATAGAAGTATGTTGATAACCCTGTACCAGCTGCGCTATGGAATATTGGTTTGGGGTAGCATGTATAGTAGCTCTATAAGACCACTTCAGATTATTCAGAACAGAATTTTTAAAATTATGTATTTATAAAAAAAAAGTATTATACCCAACTCATCTCATCTACAACAAAACACCTATAAATGTAAGAACAATATTTTTGCATACAATATGTTGCTATGTTCCATCGTCATCAAAAGTATCTGGGACAAAAATAATTCATATTAATCTCCTGGACTAGTTCTACCGTCATTCATTTCAATGCATTTAATTCATAGTTTGACACTAAAAATCATATAATAGTAGGTACCAGAGCTAATATGATGCTGTCCCAATTACTTTTGGTGACGATTGTACATAATCATAATAATAAAATTACTATAAATCACTGTTATGGCACTAGAAGTAATAAATCTAGTCATCTGATTACACCAAGATCCAGAAGTGAGTTAAGTAAGCAGTCAGATACCTCCTAGGTCCAAAAATGTATAACCTGTTGTCCCATAGCATCAAGTGCTTAAACGATAGGCCTTTCTCTAAATTGACAAAGAGTTTTATAGTTGAACAGTACCTACTTATAACCAGTTTGTCATTGTATTTAATCAATAATCCATCATTTATCTTGTTGATGATATCTATATAGATATGCACATTTGTAACACCACACTGTGTTAGTCTGTTGATAATTTCTAATTTCAATAGGTACCTATTCACTCCTATAATATATTTTTTCTACTACCGTGCGTAAAGTACTCACTATACGCACTATTCAGAAGACGTAAAATTTCTCTTCACACACTAGTGCGTAAAGTAATTCACTTCACACCCTAGTGCGTAAAGTAATGTCAATGACAGATGTCAACACTGTCATATTACTATTTTTCTGGTAAATTACTTCACGCACTAGTGCGTAAAGTGAGAATACTTTACGCGCTAGTGCGTGAAGAAATTGTCTAAATTTATTTTCTTACACATATTTGATTGGTAGTAGAAAAAAAATCTGTATGCAATACGTGAGTAAAGCACCTTTCTTCACGAATGTGAATTTTGACGCACGAGCCGAAGGCGAGTGCGACAATCACAATCACTTTACACACTTGTTGCATAAATAACTATTTTCTACTACCGTGCGTAAAGTAGTCACTTTACGCGCTAATCAGAAGACGTGAAATTACACTTCACGCACTAGTGCGTAAAGTAATGTCAATGACAGATGTCAACACTGTCAATGTAATATTTTTCTGGTAAATTACTTCTCGCACTAGTGCGTAAAGTGAAAATACTTTTGTATTTGTCTAAATCTATTTTTTCACACATATTTGATTGGTAGTAGAAATTTTTTTGTATGCAATACGTGCGTAAAGCACCTTTTTTCACACTTGTTGCATAAATAACTATACTATATTAGTATTATTATATAATATTGAACCCATACAGGTGCCACAACAGTTTTTTTTGCCTCATATAATTTAGATAGTTTTAAATACATATTATGATTATAATTATAAAACTGTAAACTATGTATTATTAAATAAATTGAAATTGATACATTAACAGAAACCATGAAAAGAAATCGCACAAAGAAATAAAAAGAAGGAAAATTATATCTCGGAAGAGACAAAGAAACTCATGGCGGAATGGCGGAACCTGAGCGAAGAAGGTAAGAGGAAATCCATAGAATGCGCAGAAATTAATGAGACCATCGGGAAAATGATAGAAGAAATAGAAATAGAAAGATAGAAATCAACAGAAATATGAAATGCCTAAGACCAACATCAGGTAGATATCAAATAAATAAAATAAAAGACAAGAACGGAGTAGAAACCAATATTAAAGAGGATATCATAAATAATATAACACACCTATCTTATACAAAACTATACCAAGCAAAGAAGGAACCACCAAAAGGAATAATAAGACAACTCCAAACTAAAATATAAACTCAGAACTACAACCCGAAATAAGCAAATCCAAAGTAAAGGCAGCACTGAGAGAAATGAAAAATAACAAAGCACCTGGAAAAAATAGAATAACGACAGAAATGTTAAAATGCGGTGGAAAAACAGTTTTTAATACTCTCCATACTCTTGAAAGATTATAGAACAGACCTGAAAAACTATCGACCTATAACACTCCCTATTGTAATTTATAAGCTCTTCACAAAAATACTAACAACTAGATCAACAGCAAAATTCAACGGATGGATACCAATCAAAAGAACATAAAGGGTTTCAGTACGAACGACCACCTATTACCCATGAAAAATTCTAATAGTAACAAGCCAACGAGTATCACATCCCACTGTATACTGCGTTTATGGTCTTCGAAACGGCTTTTGATAGTGTTGAACACTGGGCAGTAAAAAGCTCTCCTATTAATAGCAGAATAGACTACAGATACACAGACCTAATAACAAACATATATAGTGAAACAATTAAAACCCACGAGAGAATAAGACCCATTCACATAAGAAGAGGTGTCAGACAGGGCAACACAACTTTTCAACCAGGCCCTAAAGGATGCTTTCAAAGAACTGGAGTGGAAAAAAAAGGTATAAAAATAGATTGACAACACCTGAACAACCTAAGATATGCGGATGACATCACCATAATGACCATAATAACAGATAAGAAGAACTGCCGGAGATGTTGAAAGAACTGGACATAGAAACTAAAAATATAGGTTTTAATATGAACTATGTCAAAACTAACACCATAACGAACGCAGATGAAGACGTCACAGTTAGAATAGGTCAAATATAAATAGAGCAAGTCAATGAATATATATATCTGGGACAGATTATTAAACTCAATAAAGGAAACCAAACAGCAGAAATCAAAAGACGAATTAGATTGGCTTGGGCAGCATTTTGGCAAATTGAACCATTTTATACTTGAAAATAGAAAATATACACAATACTTCAAAACCAGAGTGTATGTACATATACCTAATCGAGTCAATCAATCAATCAATCTGTTCTCACCAACAGAACGCAAACATGGAGATTCAGACAGTCAAACATGGACAAAATAATAAAAGCATAAATACAATGGAAAGTTACATGTAAAACGTTAGACATTAGAAAAGAGGTAGCAAAATTAAAATGGTCACAATATCCGACAAGGGGACGATCGATGGAACAAATACATTATCAACTGGAAAGCTTGGGAAAATAAACAAAGTATAGGAAGAGTGGAAAAGACTGGGGGAGGCCTATGTCCCAAAATGGATCGAAGAGGGCTAAATAGATAGATAGATGCATTAGCCCCCATTTTGATTACACAAATAAAGTGAAATTTTATGCTTTTTCTGTATCATTGTCACCGTTTCCAATATAAAAATCTCTATAAAAAAGCAGAAGCAATTTTTCCCTTATAAAAAGAGGTCTGCAATGCTCTTGAGTTTTCGCTCCACACAAGTAGAGAACGTTTTTGTAATACAAAAACTGAGCACTAATGCCCTAAATTCCCTAAATTCCCTTTTGGGGCTTTAGTGCTGTACCATACCTGATGTTAGACTCTATATCAAGGAGCAGTACACAATTTTCCCCATGGAATGACCCGAGTTGTTTGATACAATTAGTACTACATAACATGCAGATAAAAGTTTTCTATTGATCTGTAGTTCTGCATACTTTAATTTAATGTCAATATGTCAGCTAGGAAACTTTGCAATTGGTTTATTTTCAGTAATGATGCTGTCTAGTAGAGATACATCTGGAGTTGTGCATTTAAATGTAAGGATGCTAGTTTTACTAACATTAAACAACAGGGAATTAGAATCACGCCATTGTTTAAAATTGCATCCTGCCTGCTTGAAACCCAAACTGAAAGCAGTTCAGATTATGATTTTTGTTCAAAAAGGAGATCATATGCTTTTTACCAAATGTCTCAATTACCTGAAAGGGTAGGCAAAACAGTAATAGGTCGAAAATGTAAATGGTTAACATCAACTCCAGTAGATATTTTGCATTTAATCTGTGGAAGTACAAGTTCCACTTCCGCAATGTCAGTATAGTTGTTAATACCAGAAACATGACATTGGCCTGCACCTCATACTGAATCTCTACCGCCTTTGAATTGTAACAATTTTTATGAAATTATTCAAATTATTGATTTTTTCCTACGACAAATTAGTACAGTTCACTCTTTTGAAAAAGATTACTTCAAACACCGTGACAACCTACGCAAACCTTTAATCTTCAAGTACTTACTTTTTTTTTTAAATACATTGAGTTAAAATTACTACCTAAATCAAGTACATCTATATTATGAAAATACTTTAGTTTGTTCACAATCTGAACTATTTTATTATACTCCTGGACAAAATTATCACACCACTGCACATAAGCACCACCATAAGCAGTGGTGCGATAATTTTGTCCAGGAGAATATTTACAAATGCAACATTAATATTTTAAAACAAAAATCTTTACAGGGATGAAGTCAAAGAAATGTTTTATCATTCGTACGACAGTTACCTAAAATACGCCTATCCTTACGACGAACTCCGACCTATAAGTTGTGATGGTATCGATACCTATGGAAGGTAAAAATGTTTGATAACTGGTCGTTAAATTTTTTAAAAAACTATTTTCCAGCTACTCGTTAACACTAATAGATGCCTTAGACACATTAGCAATAATGGGTAATTATACCGAATTCCAAAGAGTGGTAGATATCCTATCGACAAAGACTGATTTCGATGCCAACATCAACGTTTCAGTGTTCGAGACTAATATAAGAATTATTGGAGGGCTATTAAGTGCACATTTATTGTCCAGCAAGTTAGTAGCTAGTATAAATAGTCTCTTGACATTTTTGTGAAAATTGTAGGTAGATTCCTCTCTTGCACAGGAATATTTCAATTTAGTGGGTCAGTGGGTCTTTTTACAGATAACACAATTTTGAACCAAAAATACTCTTAGGAAAGGTGGAAAGCATTTCTTTAAGCTGTTATTTTGAGTTCTGTACAAATTGTATTTATCTGCTGTTTTGTTCTTGGCGTATTTATCCCAAAGTGTTTGTTTTTTCTTGATTGCTCTAAATATTGCAATATTTACCCATGGTTTTTTATGATTCACAGGCTTAGGTTTAAGTGGGATTCAAAGATTTTCATGTTGGGAATAGTGATTAAAATGTCAAGAGACTTATACCCTGTAAATTAAAACAGTAATCACCATTGGCTTTTTTCTAGAGTGGGGATAAAATTAGAGCCAGGATTCCCTTGCAATGGCCCCCTTTTGAGATTAGCCGAAGACGTAGCCAAACGACTGATAGTAGCATTCGATACGAAAACTGGCATGCCTTACGGCACTGTGAACCTAAGACATGGAGTTCCGAAAGGTGAAACTCCTGTAACTTGTACTGCGGGCATAGGCACTTTTATAGTAGAATTTGGAACGCTAAGCAGGCTTACTGGAGACCCGATCTACGAAGAAGTTGCTATGAATGCTTTGTATGCTCTATTCAATCATAAATCCCCTATAGGACTTTTTGGCAATCACATCGATACCGATACTGGAAGATGGACTGCTCAAGATGCAGGGATTGGTTCCGGAGTAGACTCGTATTTTGAATATTTAGTCAAAGGATCAATTTTATTACAAAGGTAATTTATATATTTACAATTTGAATATAAATAAGTTAGTTTTTCTAGGCCTGAGCTAATGGAAATGTTCTATGAAGCCAGAAAAGCCATTGATAAACATTTAAAAAAAGACGATTGGTACATGTGGGTTTCAATGACTAAAGGCCAAGTAACCTTGCCAGTATTTCAGTCATTAGAATCCTATTGGCCAGGAGTTTTAAGCCTTATAGGTGAAACCTCAAGTGCGATGCGTACTTTGCACAATTACCACCAAGTCTGGCAACAGTACGGTTTCACTCCAGAATTCTACTATATAACTCAAAATGAAGCAGGAGCTGGCAAGGAAAGTTACCCTTTAAGGCCTGAGCTCATTGAATCAATCATGTACTTATACAGATCAACAAGAGATCCGTTTCTATTAGAAGCAGGAGAAGATATTTTGAGAAGCATCAAGCATAGTGCTAGAACACCTTGTGGCTATGCTACCATCAAAGACGTACGAGACCACAGAAAAGAAGACCGCATGGAATCGTTTTTCTTGTCAGAGACTACAAAATATTTATATTTGTTGTTTGACACTGATAATTTTATTCATAACCAAGGGCAGCATGGTACTTTAATAAACACCCCCAATGGGGAGTGTGTAATTGACGCAGGAGGCTACATTTTCAATACCGAAGCACACCCCATTGATCCAAGTGCTTTGCATTGTTGCCACAACATGCCCAATTACAATTTGTTTGATTTCAAAGAGTTTCAAGCTAATGAAGAGTTTTATCGGGGGGTCAATATCAACAAGAAAGTTAAAAAAGTTGTTCAGGAAGTTGAAAAAGAGATTATTATTGAAGATGATGAATTATTAAGTGGTAATGCTACTGTTGTATTGACTGATAGCCAAGGGGTAGTTTTGATGAATAACTCTGTGATAGAGGAAAAGGAATCTACCACAGAAGTGTTCGAAGAGAAAAGACAAGGCAAGCTTTTTGATCCGCAACAAATGCTGGAAAGATTCAGGAGGGAGAATAAATATCCCAAAAACGAGAGTTGGGAGAATAATTATGAACTTTTAAGTTGTAGGGCCCAGAAATTTTTACAACGAATATCAATTATGGGGGAATTTTTCAATTAATACATTCCAATTTGTTTTCTTTTTATTGTTGACTGTTATATTTATCTAGTGCCTAAAAGCTTAAAATTAATTATTAATAAAACCAGTATTTTTTTTAATAGATAATATATTATTTTAGATAATACAGTATAAAATTTGATACATAAGTAAATTTATGATTTAGATACCAAACATAAAATTGAGCCATCCTAGTTGTAGTCAACGATTCTAATTCATCCCATACTTAAAAATTGACAAAATTAAATTAAAGTATCACTGTTAATTTTATAACGTGACTAATCTAACTTTATAAAATACATAAATCGGAACAGTCACTGTGATAAAGAATGAAGTAAAAGAGTTTTTTCCGGGCTATAATGCTGTGGTCTAGTGATATGTTAGGTAGAAATATCACTAGACCACGGCATTACAATTCTTTCACTAGTCATTGTGATACTTATATTATCACAGTCTAGCCAGCAAAGAAAAGACACAACGTGCCACCATAAATTACAATTTATTGTTTAACTTCCATCTTATCAGCTTCTTTTTCCATTTGCTTATTCAAATTGATGCTCTTCAAGAACCCGTGAATCTCAGCAACGTACTCTTTTGGATATTTCCTGTAATGGCCTACATGTGGGGATTTTTCAAAGACTTTCCATTCAACCTAGAAAAACCAAAAAAAAAAATTATCTAAGGATTTTAGAGTAACTATTCTCACCTTCATGCCCATACTTTCCCAATTTTCTCTGACCCTCTGATTAGAGCTTTCGGTACCAATCGGATCAGTTTTACTCAGTAAAAACAATGCTGGAGCTCTCGCCATGTTTGTGTGGAACATTTGACTGGATCTCACGTAATGAGTGGTCGCCACTTTATCGAAAGTTTTCATGTGGTAGCTGAAATTGATTCAATGGATTATTGATATTGATTATGATCAAAAACTCAAAATCTGATTATTATTGGCTCTTGATTTGTTGGACAATTTATATAGAGTCAATATCAATCACTCTTTAAACCTTCGGCCTTTTAAACTAAACTGTTACATATATCGGACTAATAATCTATTATTCTTGATTGTTGTTGGAACAATTTGGTCAATTTTTGCCTCTAGAAAAATGGTGCTGCAAATCAAAAGCCGGTAAAAATCAAAAATTGAACTTGCCCTAAGAAATAATAGAATATTAATTTGTTTTGTTGCTTTGGCCCACTTACAGTATGTATTTTTGAAGAGCAGCGGCCATTACTTTATTCCTTGGAAAAACCGCAGGTGGTACTCCCTTGTGGATTTCAGTTACATCAGCTGCACTGTCCCACACTTGCCCAACCATCCTATCCAAAATATGCTGGTACCTGTCCATGTCGTGGGCCATTTGTACCATGACCTCTCCCCATAGATAACCGCCTACGGAGAAACCGTAGAGGATCGTTGGAGAATAGGATTTATTCTCGTCTAGGAATTTGAGAATTTGCGCTGCTACCATCTAAAATCAGGCGACGTTATAGTCACAAGGCCAATTTAAGTGAATGCATTTTTTACTTGAGTTCCTTTCACAGGCCACAAGAATTGCCAAGGATTAACGTTGACGCACAAGACGTCGAAGCCTTTCTGCAACCAAATATCGGCATATTTTTCCGTGTGTTTTTTCCTGGCCATCAGCCAAGCCAGCATCACAACCAAAGGTTTTTCCTGGGGTTCTTCCAATCTCAAGTCTTTTATGGTGGTAGTTTTTTTTTCGGTGGACAACAGAGACATGTTTTTGCTCACTTCCAAATAAGAAATGTTGCGGACTGGTATGATCATGAAACCCTGAAAAATTTTCGTGCATTATTTTTATAGTAATGTTTTTTTTTGGATTACATTTCTTTTTTTTCTACTTCTTCGTTTGCAAATTTGTGATATGTAGGAGTATAAGTATATAAGAAAAGCCCCAATTTCGTAGATCATGATTAAGTGAATGTACACTGCATATTGACAAAATATAGGTACTTAATTGAAATTACCATACAATAACGTATATATTGGCAAAAAAAAAAAAAATGTGCAAACTTTAAGAGGGTAAACGGCAAACATTTTAGGACAAAATTTTTATTGTAGGTATCTATAAATTTTATGTTGGTTTAAAATGGGTAAATGTTTATTTTGTTGATAATTGTTAGTTGGCCAAACTTGTAGGCTTTTATTAGAGCGTGTAAGTGGCTCCCTGTACATCTCAATTCTTCTTTTCTAGCCTCTTAAAAATTCAAATGCATAATTCATTATTACATTATCCACTTATTTGGAATTATTTCCATGCAAACTTTTCCCAATAATTTTCATTGTTGATATGACGTCTGACGGCAGAATTCGAGTAAGCCTAATACGGGTAAGTAGAAAATTGAGTATCTACGTACAGATATAATAATTGCCAATTGTCCCAGTATAAAACGTTGCTTTATTAATCAATCAAGGCTGGTGATGCGGCTTCCAGTGGATTATTAATTATTTTGGGATCTTTGTATTTATGTGTATGAAATTTCACAAACAATTAATAGATGATTAGTGTAAGAAAATTAGACTTTTTAGGAGAAAAAAATTATAAGTTTTGGAATTTTGGTTGTGAACTCCCAGTAGGAACCCAAATGCAGATCTGAAGAGTTCCCACTCCTCCGGTGGGAGCTTATTCATCCCCTTTTGCTCAAAAAATCACCCCAAACGTGTCGTCACGGCGATTTTCGGCGTTTTGCTCGTAGACCGTAACTTCGAAGAGAAAGAGAAAATGTTATAGAACTTTTCATATTCTCCATAAAACTGTCATTTAAAGTTTTGGCGTATCTCCCACCCAACGCTTTATACTGACCTTCGAAAATAAACAAAGTTCTCAGCGCGAAGAGAAAAATTAGTCCAGCGTCGTCTTTTGCGGCGATTATTTCGAAAAGCATTAGGGTGAGAAAAAAATAAAGAGTCGAAATTGAAGAGTAGGTAGTTATTTTCCTACAAAGGGAACACTGAATAAAATGATTAGGAGAAAATGCTAGTGATCATATGACAATTTTTCATACCGGTGCATTCTGTACTCCGAGCGCGTTTCCTCACCACCCTTGGGGTAGTGCTCTCGGTGCGTTTTTTTTTTTTCACGTGGTTTCCTCTATATAGGCATATTCTACTCATAAAATATAGAGTGGAAATTGATATATCTATCCCTACAAGGCCCAGACTGAATAAAATACACACCCTACAAAAATTATCACATCACCCATATTTGTTAAAAAAAAAAAAGATTAGTTTATTATAAATATTGAACAACAATAAGCAAAGGACCGTGCCCAAAGTATATGGAAATTGTGTTTTTCACGACTGCTCTAGAAAGCTATTAAAAACGCACTACTAACTTACCTAGAAAATCAATTATTCCGCACAGCGTGCGAAAAGTAACTTTTCACAAGCTTTTGCGTGCGAAAAGTTACTTCCTACCCAGGTTTTCTCAGGTGTTAGGTGATTAATAGAAAATCGTTCGGACACGTCATTTTTTGTTTTTTGGTGAACATCTTTTATTGGTATTTTCACCCCTACCTGTCAACCCCTAAGCGGGGATGACAGGTAATCCCAAAATTTCAATAGGAAAGGGGGGTCGAGTGATACGCCATTTGATAGCTATTTTTATTAAGATTATATTCCCAAAGTTTCAAGTTGCTACTATTTATCCTGTCGAAATGACGGCTTGCTAAAGTTGGGTGTTTTTTACCTCATAATAACAAATGAACTGTTGAATGACAATACTTTAATTAAATACCAATGGTATTTCATTACTATGGATAGGATACCCTTAAAAAATCTGTTGTTTTGTTATTATGTGGTAGAAACCACACAGTTCTGATACTGGGAAAAAAGCATTTTTCTTAACTTTGACAAGCCAAGCAACTTAAAACTTGGGGGATATAATCTTAATAAAAATATCTACCAAATGACGTATCACTCGACCCCCTTTCACTATTCAAATTTTGGGGGTATCTGTCACCCCCGCTTAGGGGTTGACAGGTAGTCGGTAAAAATACCAAAAAAATGTGTCCCCCAAAAAACAAAAATTAACGTGTCCGAGCGATTTTTGATTAAAAACCTAATACCTGAGGAAACCTAGGTGGGAAGTTTTTCGTGCCCCACCCTGTATATGAAAACAAGGGACATTATTTATGTGAAAATGTGAGTTTAGGCTTAAATGTTATTGTCAGGTTAGGCGATTTTCATCTTCTTATGTCCTTTTTGGGCTCCATTGGTTATATCATGGGTAGCAGTGGACTGTTTGAGTTGTGGTCCACAGTATACGCAGCCGCATCGTTACCGCATATTATGCTCTCTGGTCTGGATGCTCGAGCACTGCGGGCACATTTTCTCACTTACTCAGCTCAGTCAGCTCTTTGTACTTTGATGCTCGAAGAAATACCCGTAGAAGAGGTGGACAAAGCATATTTGCAAGAAATACTTGCCAATTTCAAAGAAAACGTACCTACTTTTCAATCAATAGATGATGATTCTGTATAGTAAAGAAGCTTAAAATACTCTGAACATATCGTAGAATTAGCAGGACGAGGCCCAATAACGGCTCAACTGTGGTTGCAATACCATTCGCTTATCACAATTGTAATGCATTTCATTGCAGCAGAACGTATGAGAAATTGGGAGCTCCATGTAGATTGTGTGAGGGCAATCCTACCAATTTTCCATGCGATAGGACATTTTCCATATACGCAAAAGCCTGCACCTGTAGGATATGGATTCACTTCAAGAGAAAATATCGCCTGAGGAATTTATTAAATTCACAAAGAAGGGTTGCTTTACAATTCGTTGTACGGTTAAATACTGGTGTGGTATGTGGTCCGATATGACAATTGAACAAACCCTATTTGATATCATTATCAAGTGGGCTAATTGTTGCTGATGCTAGTGTTAACTGTCACAGGTAAAAAAAAAAATTGGCGAGAAAGTTTTGAACGAACTGATGAAGGAAATACGAAATTCAAAAATTTAAAACTGTGAAGATTAGCGACGACTGTGTGATCCAGGTTGAGACCACCTAATTAGTGCAACGAATAATCTGTACCATTCACTCCCCACAAGATTTGAAGTCATGTTTTTCTTACGAGCTGGCAACAATTCCCCTTTCCATATTTGACGATGAGAAAAACAAAAAAGTCCTTGTTGTACCCTGTGTTTGATGCAGTACCTACCAGAAAACCTCTTGAGCCTGGCGAGCTAACATACATTCTGGATGGACAGACAGACATATACCATACGAATGTCAATTTGATTCGAAAGCGATACAGGCAGCGCGTAACTGTAGTTTTCGATGGATACAGTAGGGTTGCCAGACCTCCTATTTTTAATATGAGACTGATATATTTCAACTGTTTCTCATATCTCATATTAGCATGTTTAATATTAGACTATTTCTCATATTTTTTCATCCAAAAAAAAAAGAAACCATGTATATCACTACCATCCACGTGATAGACCGAAGCGCGGAAGCCTCATGCATCCGTTATCCGGCCGTCCGATGGTATGACGGAGCTCCTATTGGCTGAAAAATTTCCGGCCAGTTTTTATCCGAATATTTTCAGCTTTTCAACTTTAACTCCTTCCGTTCTCGGATCGTTTTTAACCTTTCTTTTTGACTCACTGGTCAACAGTAGAAAGTAAACAAAACAATAAGCCAATTTGAGTTTTAAGATTAAACCGGTCGATACAAAAACAAAACGATTTTGGGTCAGGAATATGTTTGCTAAACATCAAAAAACTCAAGGTGTTGACGTTGACAACACCGTGTTGTTCACAACTTGTTATAAGAAATGAGACTCACGGATCAGGAGGAGTATTTACCTACCCAAAAGAATGTCCAGCAATGCATTCCAAAATCTGCTAAAAATTATAGCTTATTATCAAGATGGGAGCTTTTTCGGACTTAGGCATTTTGCAGTACATAAAATATTCTCATATATTATATTCCAATCTCATATAATTTTATACAGGCTCTCCTATTTTCAAAAGTCAAGTATCTGGCAACCCTAGGATACAGCAAGTATACGAAAAGTATTGAATGTCAGCAATGGCTCTTGAAACGGATATCTGCGGAAATAGTTTTTGACAAAGACATGCCAAATAGGTAGTGATTCGCATAAAAATTTGTTGAGTAATCTTGCCAATAAATAGCGTTTCATTGGTCAACTGATGAACACATTAGAATCAGCAGGTATTTCCACTCTCGTTGCTACAGATCATGCCGACTCAACTCACTAATTGTTCAGACTGCTTCCAACACAGTCAACAACAATGGAAAAGCCGTTGTTGTTAGACAAGATATCGATTTGCTTACACTCCTCATCGCTCTTTCTCCACATTCGCTTTTTGAAAGATGCTCAAGGAAATATTAAGGAGAGGGTATACACCATCCCACGACAGAATGCACAGGTATAAAAAATTGTCATGACCACTAGCACTTTTTCCTAATTACCTATTCTATTCAGTGTGGTCTTTGTAGGAAAAGAACTACTCTTCAATTTCGACTCTCTACATTTTTTTCTCAACCTATACTTTTCGAGATAATTGCTGCAAAAGCTTGGCTGATTTTTCTCTTCGCGCTGAAAACTATGTTTAATTTCTAAGTTTAATTTCCAAAATCAGTATTGAGCGTTAGGTGGGAGATACGTCGATACTTTAAGTGGCAGTTTTATGGAGAATTTAATGGAGAACATAAAAAGTCCTATAACATTTTCTCCTCGAAGTTACAGTTCATGAGCAAAACGCCGAAAATCGTCGTGAGGTCACGTTTGCCGGAGTGAGGTCACCAGAGGGGTGGGAACTCTTCGGATCTGTATTTCGGTTCCTACTGAAAGTTCACAATTAAAATTTCTAAACTTTATAAATCTTTTCTTCTCTTCGTCATTTTTACGACTAATTTGCTTACATTATAGATGTCTGATTAAAGTTTTCAAGTGATTTGCAACATGTAGGTATAGGTAATCAATCTATAAATTCGTAGATAAGATTTTTTCTATGGGTTGATTTTGCCAAAAATTTCAGGAAAAGGGGCCTAAATATCACGATATCTACTACCTCAAAAGTCTGAAAAATGAATGATTAATAAGTGGAAAGAATCAAAAAGCACAATTTCCAATACAATGAATTTTTTTTTATTTTGAGGAATTTTCTAGGAAAAGCAGATCTTGCACATTCATTTTGTTAAATAAAATAAGGACTTTTTTTTAAGACAAATATCTGAAGACTAGAGTTCTTGGAGAATTTGCATACATTTTCATAAAAAGCAGCTGACGAAAAATTCTTACTTGTAAAGGTAAGCAAAAATACTTCCAAGTACCTACTTATCTTATGTGCAAGAATAGAGCATTTTATAGAAAATTTAATAATATTGAATAGAGATTTTTTGGGGAAAAAATAATACCCTCTATATGCAATGCAAATGTTCTATTAGAATCCAAAATATTATTGCTTTAAAGATAGAGTCCTCTCAAAGTGATTGAAGTTATGATACAAAATTGTTTGTTTCCATTGTAAAAAGCCTTCAAAAATAACAATAATTAACTTGCTGACTCGAATCCGGCAATTAAAAAAAAAAACGCTTACAAACTTTATCAAGAGATTAGGTTTTTCAATTGAGTAAGCGAAGCGCAACTGCAACTATTATTAAATAGATATCGATGAGTATTGGACTTTGCACTTACATTTAGTGTGGCTTGACAATTTTAAACCGTTTTTTTTTCTAGGTGAAGCTATATTAGCAGTACAAAAACGAAATATAAATTTGTAAAAATTCTAAATTTGGACACTTACCAAGAGAATTTTAGGAGGATTCTTCATGTTGCCCTTGCTCAAATGTTGAAATCCTTGTTTCAGGAAATTGGCCATCATATTTGGAAATGACATCTGAAATACAATTAACTGTGACATAAATCTAGTTTAAAACAGTATAGAAACTACACGACTCATACAGAAATATTATAAAAATTAGATAATTGCAATATAAAAATTACCTTCAATAATAATGATGGGTGAACGTACCCTGCTTTGTCTCAATTCAAGTTCAATAGAAACCGCAACAGTCACGGCAACGTTCCCTTTTCCTCCACCGACGAACTACAATTAAAAAAATTGAATTAATTTCTACAGTAAAAATATAAATATCTTGCACACCTAAGTACGTCGCAGGAGCAGGAGAACTCTTGGCTTGTGGCACGTTTTTGTCGTCGAAAAGATGTGGCTTAATTAAGTAGTACCACGCAACGGGAACGTGATAGAAAAGAACAGGCTGCGCGAATTGTTAGGCGTTAGATAAAGATGCAGTAATAAAAAAGATAAATTAATTATTATAAGTGCAGGCTGCAGGAGAATGTTTTATTTGGTTGTATGCATTGTATTCTAATAGCATTTAACATAATATATAATTTGCACTTAATTATTTCGCTTTAATTAATATTGACACTGGTATTCTTTATTTTTTTTCAGATTTGTACTTATTTTTTTGTCTTTTTTCATCTGTACTTTTATTCACCTTTACCTTTGTCAATAGAAATTCCATTTTTCTAAGGCAAAATAAGCTTTTATTGAAATTGAAACTGAGTCAAATAGTAGTCTATATAATGTAATAATGTAATGTTTCACTGTTGGTTGCCTATGGTTAAATTTGAATTCCGTAGCAGGAATTTTATGTGACAAAAATTGTAAATTTAATTTTTCAAAGTGGGTAGCAATAAGATATATTGAGAATATTTAAGTTTCTTTACTTTAGTTGAAGAAGACATTAAGATATTGCACGTATTTATAGGCAATAATCTAATGTTTTAAACTGCATTAAAAGCCTATAAATCACATCCCAGTATCGGCTTGCTTGAATGAATGTTTAGTTTTATCATAAATATTTAAAAAATCGGAGCAAAGTCCCTTGGGAATAAATTCAAAAACGAAATAATGTTGCGAGGATGCCATATTTTAAGCAATAAAGTATATAAGGCATATAGGCCAAACAATCTCAATAGTTTTAATGTCTGCTATTTCTTCCATCATCATCTGCTTCATCAACATCTTATATTCTATTTCTCATTTTGCAATTTTCACCTCATTAGTACACTGACTTGGATCCTCTGATGTACCAAATTGGAGGTCGGAGGTCCAATGTAATCTTCTGGAAAACACCAGCCAGAACCTAGTAAATAGGGTAGGTAAATAACTATGGTTTTGGCCTCTATCTATAGTCTATGTCCACACTAAATTCCTAATTCTTTCTCTTAGTCGTTATCGTTTAACCTCAGAAAATTCGTTTTGGAAGAAAAAGAAAAACATTAAAAAGCGCCAGGAGTAAAAATTAAAAAACAAATCAAGATATTATTGCTCACTTTATAACTTTCAATTTTTGTCTATTCCAGGCGCTAGGCTCTCTGAAATAATTCTGAGGTTTTTAAATTGTTCTGAAGACTTACAAAATGCTGCTGGAAGGCGTTTTGGATGATGATATATTCAAATTCTAAAGTGTTCTAACTTAGCTTGAAAGCTTCTGTTCTAACCGATTTTTAAGTATTTATAAGAGCCCTAATTGAAGCTCCAAAGTGTTCTAAAAGGTTTCCAGTTCCAAATTAAATCATAATTGTTCTATAAAATAACTCTGAAGCTTCTCAGTTGTTCCAAAATGTTCCTGAAAATTCTGCTTTTGATATGAACTGTTTTGGATGCTTATCAAAGGTCTAAACTTCTACAGCAATCTAAATTCGCTCTTGAAAGCTTTCTTTCTGAAAGGCGTTTTGTAACTCTTAACCTGAATTCTTAGATTCTACAAATGGTTTCTGGGAACTTTGGGTTGAATTTTAAGTGTTTTAAACTTTTCAAAAGGCTTATTAAAGTTCTTAAATGTTCTGTAGCATTCTAAAATGGTTTGCAGTAACTTCTAAATTGAATGAGAAACGAATTTTGTGGGAAATTTTTATAGACATTTCAAAGACGTCCCTAAGATGTTCACAAACGAGATGTCTTGTCGTCTTCAGGAGTAAGACATTTTAAAGACGCCTTCAACGAAGTGTCTTAAAGACGTCTTTGAATCTCTTTTCAATACATAAATCATTAGTCACTTTTAGGCATACTTGTACCAAATAGTGGTCTTTAAGATGTAAATTTAAGATATCTTATGGACATTTCCAAAATAACATCTTGTAGACGTCTGTTTTTAGACTTCAGCCGTTCTAATACAGACCTGAAAAATACGCCTTTAAAACGTTGTGTGCTGTCTGGGACAATCTACTTTATGGTTTACTTCCGAGGATAACCCAATCTGAAATTGAAATTACTATTTCTTCATTTCAAGGGGAGCGCTCTAATAAAGGCAGGAGCAAATTGTACAAAATGTGAAAGATAAATTTGATCAAAAATGGATAGCCAAAGCAACATCAACGGCTAGAATAGCGCTGATTAGATTTCATCTTCGTTTGATTAGAAAAGTCTGGATTCAGCTATTGCCAGCTATCCTTTGAAGATCATATTGTTATTGCTTCAGTTTGTCTTCAAGTTTCAATAAAAGCATTTGCAAAATGGTTTCCTCCTAGAATTATTGACTTTGGAATCTAGAATTTTCAGTTGACTCTATTCACAGTTATTTGAGTCATGAACATCTAAAGAGACCTCTAAAATCCTGAGTGTTTAGTTTGAGGCTTTATTCTTCACAGTTTTCAGCACCAATAAGTTACTTTAAAATTTTGAGTCTCCACTTTTCAGTATTGAGTCATGGGTCTAAGTGTTAATAAGTTTGTTTTCGCGTTTTCTATTCTGGGTTTTGTCCACCACTGTTGAATTTTAATTTCATAATTATGTATGTCTTGGAGTCTTTTAAATCTTTAATAATGTATTGAGTCTTCTTCAGCCTTCAGAGATTTCATTGTTGAGTCTTGAATCTTTTATGCATATAGTCTTCAGCGAGATCTATATTTTTACGTAATGTTGATTTATTTGATGTGGCGTGACCCATAAGTGTTGCTTTCCAGAGACATCTAAGAATTGACTGGTCTTGACTCTCCAACAAGAGTTTTTATTTTAGTCATTAATCCTTTATGCATGAGCCATGTATTTAGAAGTTTTTGATCTTTATTATTCAGTTTTTAGGATCCTTGACCTTGACACTTCAGAGAGTTTTCAGCTTTTGAATTGCAATAAAGCTTCAAAGTTTTAAATGGTAGTTTTTCAGTCCTTATCCATTAATTTTTGGAATCTCTAAAATTCTCAGTATATTGAGTACCTAGAGGTTTTGTGATTATCATCAACTTCAACCTACTTCAAACGTCAAGTGAGAAAAAAATTGCCTCTTGCAACAGAGGTGACTGTTTTGTCACTCATAGAGTCATAACTAATATTTAGTCTGTACGCAACAAATTTTAAGAATCTTTGCACCCTCTTCAATTGGTACGTATTTATGTTTTTCATAGTAGGGGGACCAGACAGGACTCCCATAGGAAGGTCACAAGGATTTGGTGTAAAGTTACGCAGTACAAATCCTGTACAATATGTTCTGAAAAATTCAATTCAACATCTAGAAAAACCCCAAGGTCCCTAGTGACATAAACCCTTAAGTTCGTTTCCGTTTATTAAATAGTTGAATTGAAAATGCGTGAATTTTTAGATTTATGGTAAGACATTATTGTAAAGTTATTCATTTCACAATCGTATAGATATTTTTTATAATGACAAAGGACTTTCTTGTCATCATCAAAATTGAGAAATTTGCTATGTCTGTACGTTCGACGTTTGAACACGTTTTTAACATCGTTCAATAAAAAGGCTGAAAAGAACAAGGGACAGAATGATGCCCTCCCTGCAAAACACCTTGAAATCTGATGAGACTGAGTTTTCTATTTTTACTTTCTAGTCTCTTCCTGAAACATGATCAATTACCACGTACTTTGAAGAGGCTCTATGGACCCCTCCCAGATAACACAAAACTACATGAAAAGTACTTCAATTGTGCTGTATTTTCGCATTTGCATGTCTGAGAAGTACTTGTGAAAACCACTCAGCCGCTTCTGGGATGTCCAGCCGGCCAGTAAAAAAAAGGCGCAATCATAGAAGCACTGCAGTTACGCACTTCCAACATGGAGTGCTCTAAGTGCTTCAAACGTGCGTTGGAAGTATTTGCGAAATGCTTCATAAAAGCATTTTTCCGACAGAGAAAAAGCACCACTAGAACATCTTTTTTGGTAAATTTATATTGTACTCCTAAAGTACTTCATTGAAGTATTTTTTGAGTACATTTTTTATTTCACTGATAGCCATTGCAAATAAAAAACAAACATTGTGGAATTATGAATTTTTAATAAATAAACATAGGAAATATAAATAAAAAAATAAAATAAAATATGTATATTAATTTCTTCTAAATAATCTTCTTCGCTTTTTCTGGTCACCTAAAAAAGAAATTATACCTAAATTAAAATCTCTTACACAGAGGGCACCAAATAAAATGAGTTTTATGAGGTTTTTGCAAGCTGTAAAAGTACAGGGGGTGGCTCAAATAAGAAAATAAGTTGCGCAATTAAAGGCCTATTGATTCATACATATCGAAGTCGTTTTGGGGATGACAGAATTCAAATTTGGCAGCCTCGTTGGGTACCTATAGGGGAAAAGGTTGCTCTAATAAAGTGAACTTATTTTGCAATATCTTGTCGAAAAGGCTCTAAAAAGAATTGAATCGATTTTGCAGAATTTCGTTAATTAAACAGTGAAAACACAACACACCCGTCACCCACCACGCATGCATTAGCACCTATACAATCACCACATACAGCACAGAACAAAATTGCTTGGATTAACCCGTAACTAATATTTGATAATTACTCACTTACCCTTTGGAACTCATTATTCTTCCAGTGAAACCGAAAACACGCACAAGAACCCAAACACGAAACTAAATACCTAAAAATCTAAACATTAAAAATGGCGCACTGGCGGCAGCCGGCAGCTTTGGCTCAGGCTTCCTTGCTTCAGCTTGCCTTGGCCGTTTCCTTATCCCTTTCCTTTCCACATTTGATATCTGTGGTGGGGGGTGCACCTCTGTAGTACACCACCTGCACGATCGGAGTATCTGTAAATCTCTAATTAATCACTGTCGACTGCAGGCACTCCAGGCAGCGCATGTAGAGCACTCTACTCTCTCTGGTATCTTGGTAAGTGTTCAGGGAGTGCTGTTAGCGTACCGCTAATTCGCACACTAAAATAATGCGGTTTTGCAGTGGTTTCCCTGCACTTCACAGACCATTCAATTTAAAAGTTGAAATAAGAGCATTTTTTCGACGCTGCTAGCTTACTTTGATTTGGTTTGTTTTATTATACGCACTTTTAACATACTTCTGAAGCATTACCATTGAAATGCTATTTTCTCTGAAGTCGGCCGGAACTTTTCGAGCACATTGACGCACATTGTGTTATCTGGGCTACTTTTAAGTTTTTCTTCCATAATTTTATGGTCAACTCTGTCAAACGCTTTGGAGAAGTCGCTATCTGATACCTCTTCTCCAGTGCCTCAGAGTATGCTCAAATTGTAATTAACAAGTTTGAGATTGTAGATTTGCGCTTTATAAACCATATATTGTTCTGGTATAATTATGTTTTCAAATAAAGGTGTTATTTTGGTGTAGCTATTCAAAAATTTGAAAAAATATGGGGATTTCTAAAATTGGTTGGAAAAATTCGTACGGATTGTTCAAATCGTCGTAAATTATGTTTAAAAAGCTCTACAATTTGCCGCACTTAAATCTATTTTCTCATCTTTAAAAGTCATGCAGCTGGGAAAACCTTTTCCAGATCTTATGTAACTCCAAAAACCTTTTTTATCCTGAATCCTATCTCCTTTACAATCCAAGTAGTTTTGATTGATGGGCGCAAATTGTTTGCTCAATGCACTGCAAATGTCGCTGTGAGAAGTACTATAATAGTAATCCTCTAAAACTCTGTGTGCGGCTTTTTTATTTGAGATTATTTCCTTTAATCGGTCAGTGTCATCCATCCTCTTTGGAAAAATGGGATTTTTATTCTTGTTTAAAGAAGCGGTTAATTCAATACATTATTAAAGTAGCTGTGTTATAAAAAGATTGACTTGATTTCTCCAAGTCATCAATTGAAAGAAAATTATAAGTACCTAATTAACCATTGATAATGCCATCTCAAGTTCTCTATGATGGTAAGATTTGAAATTATATAATAATGATCAAAATGACAACCTATAGGTGTATCTAGAGAGCAATTGTTATTCTCCACCTCCACCTCCACCTCAAAATCTTCAAATTCTAGGCATACTGGGATCTGGTTTGTCCAATTTCAACAGAGGGCTTGATAATAAGATTCGGTAATATTACTAAAAAATATTGAATCTAGAAAGTTACCTACCCTATGTATTGACTTGAAATCTTGTGTTGCGACAAATTGAGAAAGGCTGCTGAACACCTCGTTTCATCAGAATTCATTCACACTTATCCAGGATACTTTTGGCCTGTTACAATCACCACACAGAGAAAAATATCAAGATTGTGCTTCGCAAAAATATAAAACATAGGAGAACAATCCTTTTCGCATAGTCGCAAAAAAGGTGAAAGCAACTGAAATGGACTTTTGGAGGAGAGCAGCAATTAGGTCAAAAATGGGAAAGGATAACAATCCAGCCTCCAGAGAAATAATTATAAGCGTTAAGATACAAAAGACAAACAACTGATTTATTTCGGACATGTACAACTGAATCAGAATTGAATTTTCAACAAGATAAAACAAGTTTGTTTCCAATATCTGGAACGATTTTCAAGATATAGGGTCCTTTAAAGTTGAAACTGGAAAATTGCAAAAATCCCATTATTCCAGGCTCTCCTCGAATTGTAATAATTTGATTTGGACGAGTCATTACTACAAATTTGATTATTCTGAATCAAAATTGAAGGCTTACATGATAAAACAGGTTTGAATCCAATATTTGGAACAGTTCTTAAGATATGAGCCTCCAAAGTGTGAAAGTCCCATTCCAGGTAGGAGAGCCTGGAATGGGTTGAAATTTGGTTTGCAGATAAGTTAAAACTCGACAAGTTCAAATTTGTAGTTGATGATTCTGAACCAGAATTAAATGCTTTACAAAATAAAACACGTTTGACTTCAATATCTGGTACAGTTTTTGAAATATGAGCTGCCAAAGAGTGAAAATCCCATCCCAGGCTCTCCTAGATTTGAAATTTGATTTGGAGAAGTTAATTTAATAGATACTCGACAAGTTCAAATATGTAGTCGATGATTCCGAATCAGAATTGAATGCATTATTTACAAGATAAAACAGGTTTGAATTCAATATTTGAAATAGTTCTTGTTGAGATATGATGGAGCTTCCAAAGTGTGAAAATCTCATTCCAAATTTGATTTGGAGAAGTTAATACTCGATAAGTTTAAATTCGTAGTTGATGATTCTGAATCAGAATTGAATGCTCTACGAGATAAAACAGGTTTGAATTCAATATTTGGAACAGTTTCCAAGATATGGGCCTCCAAAGTTGGAATTTCGTGTCAGATTTCAAGAGAGCTCCTATTTAGTGGTATGTCAAAATTTATTTCTTCGAGTTTTTTGAAATTTTGATTTCACCGATCGAAAAATTAGGTCAAATTTAGTAGAAAATCATTCTGACATCTCCATGTTAGAGGTTTAAAGGCTTGAAACAAATTGAAAAGACTTATTGGTCTCTGAAAATTTCATTTATTCGATATGGCCTCACAAAAATACTCCGTTAATATTTCACATATTTCAATGTAAAAACAACTATCCTGAATCAGAATTTATTGTTCTTCAAGATAAAACAAGTTTGATTAATGGAACAAGAAAAGACTTGACAGTTTTTAGTTTTTTTCGTCGGTCTAAAAAAATCAATAAATGTCAAAGTGAAGACGCCTTTGACTGGCTTTGACACGTCTTTAAGACGTCGGTTTTTGTCACGTTCAATCGATCTTAAAAATGTCTTGGCCAGGACGTCTTAAAGACATCTTCTTCATGTCTTCAGACATTCAGACATGGAAACGACCTAAAAAGGACATCTTAAAGTCGTACATTGCTACCTGGGAAGATTTCAAAGAATGGCAGATATATACGAGAATAGCCAAGCAAATTATTTGAGTGGAAGCCAGGGGGAAGAAGAAGACGCGGTAAAAGTGGAGTTTACAGAAATGGTTGGAGATCAACGTTATAGACCGATAATTATACCTACATGTAGATATACAAAAAATTTAAAAGCCAGTAAAATCGTTCTGTCATAGATTCGTCGTATGGACACCTTGCTTTTTCTATCAGTTTTTATCAAGTTCCCAAGAGGTGTATGATGTTTCAACAAACAATAAAGCAACAAAAACTCATTGCACTGTTTATGTAGGTACTTTTAGGGACTAAACGTAGTTTTTTAGTCCCTATTTTCAGGAACTAAAGTGGCACTCTTAAAACGATTTTAAATCCCTAGGGAAATTTTATTTTCAGGAACTATGCTATTTTCTTTAAACTTATTTTTTTTTTGTATGCTAAAATACAAAACAGTAGGTACCCATATAATCCTCGAGACTTAAAAGTGCATGTCTTTTTATCCTTCGAGGAATTGTACCCTAGGTATAATATACTAGGTACCTATTTTACTGAGTACCAGCCATAACAATATCACCAATTAATTATGTCCCTCTTAATTAGTTTATTCATTGTCTAATGAAATCTACAAGGATAAATTGTCTAATGCGGCAACCCAGCAAATAAGTACCCGAGTCCGAAGTAAGTACCCAGTTACGGAGTTAACCTAACAAAACAAAAAGTTGTTGCCTGTGTTCTGTGTGGTGGTGGTGTTATCTGTGGCCTTTTATTTCGAATAATAATTATTAATTGACAATTCTTTTGAATTATAATGCCAAACCATGTCCATAATCGACTCGCGGTTTATCATTAAGCAGGGCTACATGGTAAAAAGGTCGCAAAATAAGCGGGTTTATACGTTGGTCAATTTTAAAAAACGGTGGTTTGTTTTGACCAGGAGACACCTTATCTATTACGATGACGAAAACGAAGCGGTAAGTTTGTTTTTTTAAAAATTATTATCCCTATTTCAATAATGGATTCTTTTGTTTTGATATGTTTAAACCTGAGAGCTTTGTTCCCAGTACACACTCACTTGAAAAATGTCGTTATAGTTTGCGCAATGCATTGATTTAAGGCTGAGCGCATATATTGTAAGGGTTTTCGGCTTTAGTGTGAACAAACGCAAATATAAATAACTTCAACTTGCCATCATGAGGAGGGACCTACTGGCATGCGGTGACTCATGAATTGAGGATGTGACCCATTGAATTATTAATTAAAAATTTTTAATATAGATAAAGACTTTTTTTTTCCTGTAGAAATTCAATTTCTAATTATTTCTACTTGAATTTTGTACTTATTATTATAAGAATTACAATAGCAGGCGGTCGAAACCGATGAAGTTATTGTTACTTTAGTAAAATTTTAAAAGAATATGTGAGATAGATTTAGTTTATGCACCATAATGAGTATTGTTTCAATTCTCTGTCAACACCATTTTAAAAAATATTAGTTTTTTTTCTCTTTACTACTTTGAATTTTCACTCGAAATGTTGTCTATTTCAGACTACTGAACTCAGACTCAGAACTGTTCATAATTCAGTAGTCTGAACATTTCAAACAAATTCAAGATCCAGGAATAGGAAAATTATTTTAATAATTTTTGGCTTATTGTTGGTAATACCCTGTGAAATTCTGTGCTCGGAATACTTAATCCTAGATTTTCGATTGATATTTATCAATTTGTGTTGAAAACCCATTGCGTTTTTGTGTATGCCATACCTGCAAATTGAAAATCTCTTATCAACTTACAAAACTTTGGACAGTTTTCTGTATGTTCTTTATTCTAGGTCTAGAAACTTTCAAATTTCCTTATGCATAGAATCCCATTAGGCCAATGCATCGTTATTTGGAAAGTTGCTTCAAAAACCCTGGAGCAAAATCCATATATTTTGGCTGAAGAAAAAGATTTTGCTCCAGATTTTGAATCAACATTTCAAATACTTAACTATGTTATGGTATGATGGGATTTTATTTAAACCAATAATGATGGAAAATGCATGCTAACTTCAAACCAGTTCTAAATAATACCAACCTAATAAGAAGAAATTCCAAGAGAAATTCTATTATCAGCATTATATCTATTTATTAATATAGAAAAGAAATATTAACTTAAACTTTACCAAACACAGCCATTTAATTCACATTCATATGAATCTTTTAAGGCTTCAAATTATAAAGTTCAGGACACTAACACCAGATGTTGGCATCAGGTACCTAATATGAAACTGAGAAAAAATAGACAAAATTTGCCTCCCTATTATATACAGGCAAAAATCTGTTACGTACCTGTTTTCATTGTAATAAGAATCCTAATCACTTATATAATATAACAATTACCTTCCATACTCCCGCGAAATCAAATTTGAAGTAGTGTCAGCCCTTATTGATCTAGAAAATGTGCTTTGAATATAAGGGGATAAGTATAAGGGTTCAAGTTATCGAAAGCTAAAATTAAAGGGATCTAAAAATGTATGTAAAGTTGGGGGAATTGCGTGAGCAGTCCCTATAATTTTCACTCTCTTTGGGGCGTGTGCCTTTCATCCCCTATATTCAGGATGCGCATGATTTGGGTGGGGACACGTTTTCCTTCAGTCGATTCTCCATTTTTCAGAGAAAACTTCTTCCAGGGGGTTGTTTTTCTGGATTTTAACTTAAACAAAAAGTATTTTGGGAAATTCTTAAGTAAGGTTTGTTAGTACAAAATTTTTATTAGTTCCTATTGATAGATTTTATGTATTATATTTTACTCAATAAACTAAAAGGGTGTGTTTATATTATTTATTTATAATGCTGTTTCAGAAACGTAAAGAAAAAGGCCGAGTGGACTTGGATCGGGTGCACACAATCGAAGCAGCCGAACGCTTCTTTTCCAACGAAGAAGTCGGTATTGAGGGCGATTTTTATCCTTTTTTGGTCAGCTACCATCACGACGAAGACTACACTTTGTTCCTATTAGCACTGAGGGATTTCGACAGGATTTATTGGATTTTAGCAATTAGAAACGGTAAGCATTTTTCATAGACAATGGTTTAAATTGGCAACTTTACATCCGGATAATATGATTATAGTTTGAATCGAATAACCATTATTAATAAATATTGCGCTTGAGTTTGAGTACCTAATAATTATTTGCATGCGATTACAATTATTGAATTTTTCCATTGTATGGTATTTAAATCAGTGATAGATTCTTTGTCATATTTTTTTCCAGTATGTGCCCATAACGCCAACGTCCGTAGCTATTTCCATCCGGCTCCCTGGAACGGGAGAAAGTGGACTTGCTGCAAAAATAACACGAAACTAACGGACGGTTGCAGAGAGTGCGACGGTTGGCTCTCGAGCCAGGAGAGCAGTCCTTCCAAGGACAGTTTCAAGGAGAATTTGAGCAACAAGGAGAATTGTAACAGTGAGTATTTTTTAAATTTTAAAGTGAAAAGTAAGTTTTCCCAGCATCTAAAAACAAATTTATATAGTAGGAACGGTGTCTTAAAACAGTCAAATGACAAAAATTTATGTAGGAGGTATCAAGGATGTGTTACAAGAGACAACCTCCAACCCTTGACTCATTGATCGTTGAGCTGTATTTTTTATATAAAAAAAAAACCTTGAATATACTACATATTACCAGACTCAAATGATATAAAACCTAAAAGTGCATTTTTTAATAATACACTAACACTATGAATTTTTAAAAAAATGAGCACCGGTCAGCACATAATATATTGAAATTACACAATCCAAAACTAAAAATTTTACAATACCTAGATTAAAATTACATGCATCGACAGTATAATATTATAATCAACTATAGGTTGGTACAGGATGTTATAAGCTCTTTAATTTTTATTGTGTTCATCTAGTCCCATTGTTGTCTGGGTGGCTCACCAGTAAAGGTACTCTCTGCCTCCATGGCCAGCTGTCTTTTCGTTTGCGATCGTGCTAGTGATAAAGTACCCTTTGATGCGTGCGTTTTGAATTTTGATAGACAAAAATGTCTTTTGTGTGGCTCGAGAGGAATGAACTGTAGTTACATAAACGCAGTCGTTGAAAAGTTACTATCGAACTTCCGCTCCAGTTCGAAAAAAGTTTTCCACAGTTTCAATTTACCAAAGTTTTAAATTGGATTTTATCTTTATCATATTCAATGATTGATTGTCTCTAATAGAAACAAGTTTATCAACCAAAAAACCGAGTTAATTGTTGTAAATCGTAATTATCGACATGTGTCGGCTATAAACTGAATCCTTGCTCGAGTTTTGTTTCAATGTTTGTCACGTTTGTGTGAGGAAAATGAAATTTATGTGTCGGACGTTGTTTTGGAGGTCCAAAAGAATTTCGTCTGGAGGTGAGACTAGCGAGAGCAAACATGGATTTGGAACTGGAAAAAGCTGTAAGTGGGGTAAATTTAATCAAAATCATTTACTTTCTATTATTTTTGGCAATTTAAACGAGGATTTTCATTAATTTTGTAATCGATTTCATTTAAATTGCAGTGCGTACAAATATTTCCATTGAAAAGCTTCCTTCAATGAATCTCCTATTAAAATACAATTAGTCTGATAAATTTCATCTGCCTGGTTGCACCACTAAAAATAAAGTTTACCTAATTTATTTTGTTAAAATTGTCATTTATAGATTTAAGATAAAAGGATTATCTCCGTTAGCAATGGTTTTCAATTAATCTGTTTTGTATCTTCTTTTATCTAGAAAGACAAATTCCTTATACTTATAGATATTTGAACACAAAAGATTGGAAATCATTTATAAAATTTAAGATTAATTTTAAGGGATATTATTATCCTGGTGTTTTACCAGACAATCGTTCGCTTCGCTTGGAGTAGCAATATCTGACAGAACTTTTTTTTAAGGATTTTTGTTTGGTTTGTTCATCTTCTGTATTGTTATCAGGAAGCTGTGGTGTATTGTTTTCAATAGTTTCTGAGTTGTTATGTGTATCTAGAAACATTTCCTTGCTTATATTTCCTTATTATTATTACTCGTTTTATTCAATTTTTGTCTATTCCAGGCGCTAGGCTCTCTGAAATACTTAATTCTGAGGTTTCCAAATTGTTCTGAAGCCTTTCAAAATTTGGAATGTTCTAAATGGCTTATTGAAGTTCTAACTGTTCTAACTTGGCTTGAAGAATTCTGGAGCATTCTAGAAAGCTCCAAAGTGTTCTAAGTTGGTTCAAAAGAGTTCTAAAAGGTTTCCAGTTCTACGGAAATCTAAATTCGCTCTTAAAAGCTTTCTGAAAGGCGTTTTGTAACTTTAAACTTGAATTCTAAGATTCTGATGCTTTTCAGAATGTTTCTGGAGATTCTAGAGTTTTTGAGGGTTTTGGAGCGTCCTAAACTTGGTTTCAAACTTTTGAATTGTTCCGAAATGCTTTTAGAAATTGTAAATTGGTCTTTGAATGTTCTGGAGCAATTTCAAAATGAATCTAAAATTTCCAAAATATTCTGAAGCGCTACAGAATGCTTTCGGAAATTCTGAATTGAATTTCAAGTGTTTTGAAGCATTTCTAAATGGTTTATTCCAGTAATTTCTAAATTGAATGAGAAACGAATTATGTGGGAAATTGTTGTAGACATCTTGAAGACGTACCTAAGATGTCCACAAACGACATTCAAGACGTCCTGCCTACGTCTTAAAGACATATTGGATACGGCGTCGTATGTTAAAAAACTCCATGTCTTTATTCAGACGTCTGCCTAAAGACGTCTTCAGGATACATTTTACAGACGTCTTCAAAGAGATGGCTTAAACACGTCTTTGAATCTCTTTTCAATACATAAACCATTATTCTAGACGTCTTTTTTGATCTTCAGACGTTCAGACATAATGCAGACCTAAAAAAGACGCCTTTAAGACATTGTGTGCTGTCTGGGATTTAGTGAAAAATCAAACTTCCCCTTGGTGAACCTTAAAAAATTACAAAAGAGTGGATATTGCCTGTAAAGTTGAATAGTACAAAAAAGGCATGTCTTGTAGCTATAAGTTCATGAAATTGACCATATCAAAGTATCTGTATCCCTTTAAAAATCTTGAAGACTATGGCTCTATGGGAGTGTTGAATGGGTTTTCAAGTGAAGATATTTTCATGGATACATCTTATGATTCAAGCAATCAACTTGATGTAAAAAGAACTTTTCTCAGAAATTCTATGGATCTCCGCATTTTAGAAAACAAGAATCAATTCTGATTGAGGTGATTTAGGTAAGTTGACGACGAGGGTTACTTTTATACTCAAGCTGACAGCAGTGCTTTGCTTTTGCTTACTATAAATATGACTCAAGAAACGCTATAGAAAGTAATGATATTTACAAGAGTTAGCGAAATGTGGCTGGAACTCAATGGACTGTATATGATGAGACAGTTCAAGAACAGACTGATGATTTATGCATGCAGCTGCAACAAAAAGGACATTACAAAACTCAAAAAAATTTGGAACAAGTAACAAATTGATATAAGTACCTAAGGAAAAAACTGCTAGTAGTAGCTCATGTATCTGTGACTTACCAGAATTATTATTGATTTGTGCCATACTGGAAACATTAAATAATCAAGAGGTTTTGGCAGTAAACCTATCAAACAAAAAAATGGTTTAAAGCAGAAAAATAACTTGAAATGTAACTATTGTCATGTTTCCTGGACATCAAGTTAGATGTTTCGAGTGGAAATCAGACACAAGACTCCCTGAAATAGAAAAATTCTCAATAGTCAAAATCCAATTAAATATCAAGCTTTATTAGCCGTAACATCCACTGTACTAACTACTACAAATTAATGATGCAGAAAATTGGTATGCAGACAATGCTGCAACCAATCACATTTGTCATAGAAAAGATGTGTATAAAAATTTCAAACCACAAACCATTTACTGAAGGCTATACGCAGTAAAAAAGGCAAATAGTGATGCTCTAAGGTAGAATGAAGTTGTTGAATCTTGTGTCAATGGAGAAAATAAACAGTATAACTTAGAAGACGTTTGGTGTGTCCTTGCCATCAAGAAGATTTTTTCAGTTTTTTTTCATTTCAAAACAGATAACGGAAAAGTCGTTTTGATTCCACAACAGAAGCTTCTCATTTTAAGCTTGAAGAAAAACAATTTTGAGTTGGAAGTCGAATTTAACATGGGCGTCTTTACAAAATGGCCAAACCTCAACCTACGCAGAATAATGAGAGACTGAGTCATCAGAATAAGAGACATGTTAAACAAATTCCGACTTATGTGAAGGCTGTTTATTTGGCAAAGCACATGTTCTAAAATTTGGTTCCAGAAAAAGAGATAATTCACTCTGAAGTATGTGGACCTTTTGAACCTTTAGGACGAACCTGTAGGTATCTTTAAAGTATTTTTAAAGATGACCAGAATACGTCAGAGTGTTCTTCATAAAAGGAAAATCCGAAGTTGCTATGAGATGCCTTAGAACATTTTTGGAAGAGGTTGTTGGTCATGTTGTTAAACAGTTATTGTCGGACAATGGAGGTGAATTTCAAAATGAGCAAATCACAGAAATTTTAAATAAGCATCAAATATTAAGCACGCCCTTCACTCCCCAACAAAATGATTGTTCAGAAAGAGACAACTAAAACATATGTAGAGACAATAAGAGCAATGATGCTTGCAAGAGAATGGTTATGTAAAAGCCTATGGGCTGAAATGATCAATATTGCAGAGCCCACATAAGAGGGGGTAGTCGCACTTGCGATTTTTCAGATTTTGAAGATTTTCTTGGAACTCCATAGATCTCCATTGATATCCTTATTGGATCTCCAGGCCAGGTCTATCTTGGGTTCTTCTGGCATACCCTTGGATCTCCATGTATATCCTCCGAACCTCCATATACATTAATAAAAACGGCAACAGTTAAAATTATGTATGCACGCAATTACGCTTTTACGATTCTACACGAGTACAGCCGAAGTTCTTGGATCTCTAGGTATTTCCACCTTATCTCCACATATCTCCACTGACTCCACATAGCTCCAGTGAATATCTATGTATCTTCACCGAATATTCAGATATTTCCACGGATATTTATGAATTTACATATCTCCACGGATCTCCATCCCGTAATACGGAAGATTTTCAGTGGCCATCCCTTCGGAGTTCGTCACTTGCGATTTTTCAAGACAGAAAATCTCCATTTGTAGAGATCTTCTTGTAACTGCATAGATTTTCATGGGAATTATTTGGATTTGCATGGATTTCTGTGTATCTCCTCCAGGCCTCCATGTACATTAATAACCAAGCTACACGACTGCAGCCGAAGTTCTTCGATTTTCACGTATTTCCACCGGATCTCCATGTATCTCCAGAGGACAGAATAATTCCATACTGACTACCTCTTCGCTTACATACTGAACAGATCAGATTAGATGTATCCAGTGAAAGTAACAAGGCGCCCTATGAAGTATGGTATGGGAAGAAACAAGAAACCACGTTTGACACATCTTTATTGTGTAATTAGAAGTATGTGTACAGCACTTACACTACCTCATCTACCTAAACCAACGATGGGATTACCCCATTAAGGCCCGGTTTATTCATCTTCAGAGAAACTTGCTGGTAACTATCCGCAAGATAAATTCACCGGTCTATAACTCTATTGGTCAGCGAATAGCGGGCCGACCAATGGAATTACAGATTGCCTGACAGTTTATCTGTATCAGAAGGTGAATAAACCGGCACTGAATGTAACAATCTCACAAAATGTATTATTTTAACAGAACTTAATGTCATTAGCTATAATTATTAATACCTATAAGGCCCGGCTCATTCACCTTCAGATAAAGTTGCCAATAACTATCTGCAAGATAAATTTACCGTTCTATAATTCTGTAATAATGGGATTACAGAATGCGTTTTTATCCGTCAGATTACATACCTGACAATTTATCAGAAGGTGAATAAACCGGCTCTAACACAAACTAATTTCATATTTCTAAAGTTAAAGAAACTTAAAAATGTCCCAATTTTAACTCCTACATAACCACTTATACTGCTTATAGTTATTCCAGTAATTTCCAAATTATTTTAATTTGTCACTGAAAGATTTCTACTCAGATGGGAGTTCAAACCAAATTCTGTTCTGTGGAAATTTTTGAATCATTGAACAAGTTAAAATATGATCACTAGCCTTATTTATAACTATAAGTTAACCAAGCTTGTAAATGCCAAGTCTGAAAATACCCTCTGTTAACTTCAAAGAGATCAAGAAATCCACAAGATGTGGCAACAGTCAAGACTCTTGAATTTTCAGGACACACGACATTAACTTCATACTCATTATTGGATCAGTTAGCCTCTGCGGTAAGTTATAGTCACCAATGACCAAAAGCCTGATGTAGGTAGTCTGGGAAACAGCTGACATAAGAGTTCAATAGATCTGCCAGTGTAATTCATAAACATCATTCTGCTGCTGAGTGGTATATGTATATAATCCTCCTACTATAAATCTTGCTGTACCTACTTATCAATAAATACCAATCAATAAAGAAGTTTCTTAAGAAGACCAAAATGCAGAAGGTATATTCAAAACAAGAATGTTCAGACTCAGCAGAAGAATTGATTAGAATACTAAAAGTGTAACGTAAGTTCAATCATCAATACACCAAACAAAGTGTTGAAGTTGAACATCAAAGTATTGTTTGAGACCTGTTATTTTTAACTGGTTTAATCATTGAGAATACAATGTTGTCATGGGTATGATCCGCACTCTTTTTTCTTCACCTGATTGTCTTTGTATGACACTGGTTCCTGATACCAATAAATCACTCTTTGCGTAAAATCAAACCTGCCACCTACCTGCCGATCACCTTCCACTCGAACCTGCTATGACTGCCAATTATTACCCACGAACCGTGCGGTTCTCCTTGGGTTCTTCAGTGTTGAGCCAGCAGTCGGGCCTGCAGGCAGCCATGTTTGATGGCCGCCATTCGCCTACGCGATTCTGCTAATAGTAGTACCGATAGCAGTACTACTACTACTACCGATGCTGACGTATACGGCAAGGTGGTACGAAATCAGGATTTCCATTTGTTTTCGGTTGTGAACAAGCTGGGAAAATCGGTGAAAATGCAATTCGAAACTTTGGTGAACGTTTTCAGGAGTGCCACTGGTACTGGTGGTACTACTGCTGGTAGGTTGATTGATAAATTATTTAAAAAAGAAAAGTTGACTGCGGTGAAGGTGTTTCATGTATAAGGTCGTCCTAGATTCGAAAGAAATTTATTATTGCTAGCGGAATACGATGCGGCTTTGTTGCAAGTTGTATATTATGAATTTACAATAATTAAAAGTTTAAACAATTTACATGTGAAAAGTGTCTTTTGGTAATGACGGGGAATAATCTCATTAACAATGAATTAAATTTCACTTAAGTTTTACTACGAGAATAACAAATATACAGCCCCTGATGTTATTTTAATTTGTCTTCATTGGATTTACAGTAATGGAAAATGCTGTATTTTTTTCTCAGAAGCAGAGAAGAATTTGCTTTCTTGCTATAATCAATAATTATCTCTTGACGCACTTGTAAATTTCTTGAGATTGTTATAAACAATAGAATAGGTATTATTAAAAATTAATAAAATTATTTATTGTGACGTAAACTGAACAATAAGCGGTCGTGCTTGAAAATTAATGTAAAATTAGCCAAGCAGAGAGTGCGGAGACTAATAAAGCAATGCTCGATTTTCCGTGCTTTATTTTTTTCTTCTGGTTACCACCATAACAAAAATCAAACACTTCTTAACGTCTCGAGATTGTACCAATTAGAAATAGAGTAATTTTCTCCTATTCCAGTCCTATATATTTTTCTAAATTTGTCTTAAAGAAAACTTCCATGGATTTTAGAGTAAGACTTAGGTAATTATTAATAAACAATATGACACAATTATCGATTTTCTTAGTTTTTTTTGTGTGATTCTTTTATCCTCTACATAGAGTTTTAGTTGAAACATTTTGTAATCGAACATGTTTGTTTCAGGTACTCAGTCCAGTCCGATCATGCCGGGCGGCGGTACCCCAGGTACGCCATCGGCGAAACAAAAAGACAAACAGTCCACCCCCAGGCAAAAAGTCGTGGTGGCCTTGTACAACTACAAGGCCATCGAAACTGGAGACTTGAGCCTCGAAAAAAATATGGAGTACGAAGTTATTGACGACAGTCAGGAGCATTGGTGGAAAGTTAGAGATTCTAAAGGGTAAGAATACAATATTAAATTTTCCCAACACATAGATACGCCATTGATGTAATGATTATTATTGGTTGGTGCAGGAATGTGCTTCATATATTGGCGCCAATTCAATGTGTTTCATATTTGCAATGGCAAGCAACACTCTTATTGAATCGAATCTGGTTGCTGGAGCATAAATCTCATTATAATCTAGCCCTCCGTTTGTACACATCTTTTAGCACCACATAGTCTTGCCTTGTATCTCGATCCTGTGCCGTCTTGATTTCTTTTAACTCGAAAAACCCACCTCAATTTCTTATTTTCTGTAGTTTTTACCATTATCCATGTGTTGGTTCAGGAGCATTGGGGGAAAGAACGGCAATACTTAGATAGGTACGTCATTGATATAAATATTCTTATTGGTTGGTGCAGGAATAATGTGCGTCATACATTGGCACATATCTTTTTGCAGCACTTAGTCTTGCCTTGTATCTTGAGATTGTGCCGTCTTGATTTCTTTTAACTAGAAAAACCCACCTCGACTTTATAGGTTTCTTGTTTTCTGGAGTTTTTATCATTATCCATGTGTTGTTCTTAAACAAAGCATCATACTCTTCATTATTCGCCTCTTTCCATTTGTCACTTTCTTTGCTTTTCATAGCATCATCATAAGTGTCTTGAATTTCAAATTTCTACAAAGTTCAAGTGATAATCTTGAAATCTGGCAGGCCTGCGAACATTTCTCGGTGGTCTAAGATCTGGCATTTCACCGTTCTCTCCAACATGCTCATAATTTACTTCCTGCTCAATTTCTTCCACTTCTTGTCTCGCTTCTTGTTAAACCTGATTTTCAACTTCCACTTCGCCGAAATCAGTGACGTCATCATTATTGAGTTCTATTTTCACTATTTGGCTTTTTGAACCACTTTGCCTTTTTTCATTGAACACGGCATTTCTTAGAAAACTTTGAAGGGTCATAACTTCTTTTCTATTAGAGATAGAAAGCTGAAATTTTCAGCGATTCTTATCCCCGTGCAAATTTTAGCTCATTTGAACGTATAGGTTCCGAGAAAAAATCGGGTTAAAGAAATCCGCGGGTAATGGGCTGGAGCAAAATTTTCTGAGTGCCTTTTTGCATAGAATCCGGCTCCAAATCGCGAAATAATTTTGTGTATGGAGTTCAGGACACAAAATCTCAACAATTTTTTTTTTGAAATTTCATCGTTTTAGTAGTAAGGTTATTTTTGATTTAGATTTTGGAAAACTTTGGAATGTCATTACTTTTTTTCTATTAAAGATATAAAGCTGAAATTTTCAGCGATTCTTATTCCAGTAGAGGACTACAATCCCTGAAAATTTCAACTCATTTGAACGTATAGTTCCTGAAATAAAATCGTGTTAAGCAATTTGGGGTAATTTATCAATTTTTCAATTTTTCTGAGTGCCTTTTTTCATAGGTTTCGGCTTCAAATCTGGAAATAATTTAGTGTATGGAGTTAAGGGGATCCCAAATGACCATTAGGACACAAAATCTCAACAACAAAAAAAATTGAAATTTCATCCATTTAGTAAGAAGGTAAGGTCTGTTTCACCAGGGTTCATACTTGACCTTGAAACTTGAAAAAAAAGGGTTGTCGTAGATTAATTCATATGACATTCAATTTTTTGACAAATTAAAATGAATGACTTCTGGTTTAAGAACCGACGAACGTTTTTGACATTATTGATTTGTTTCATTCAATTTTTATTTGTTAAACAAGGAAGGCAAATGCTGGTGGCAAGTACAAACCCTGGCGAAACAAACTTTACCTACCTTATGATTTAGATTTTGGAAAACTTTGGAAGATCATAACTTTTTTTCTATTTAAGATATAAAGCTGAAATTTTCAGCGATTCTTATTCCAGTAGAGGACTACAATCCCTAAAAAGTTCAACTCATTTGGACTTATGGTTCCTGAGATAAAATCGTGTTAAGCAATTTGGGGTGATTTATCAATTTTTCAATTTTTCTGAGTGCCTTTTCTCATAGATTTTGGCTTCAAATCTGAGGATAATTAAGTGTATGGAATTTGTGGGATCCCAAATGACCATTAGGACACAAAATCTCAGCAAAAAAAAGTTTGAAATTTCATCCATTTAGTAAGAAGGTGATTTAGATTTTGGAAAACTTTGAACGGTCATAACTTAACAACATAACTCTATTAAAGATGTAAAGCTGAAATTTTCAGCGATTGTTATTTCAGTAGAGGACTACAATCCCTGAAAATTTCAACTCATTTGGACTTATATAGGTTCCGAGAAAAAATCAAGTTAACCTTTGTCTTCCTATGACAAATAAAATTACGTAGATTCCCACGTGGAACAAGGTTATTTGAGAGAGGTGGCCTGATCACTTTATGACGTCATCTGGGGTGCCTCAGCATAATGTAAATCTCCATAAGGCACCCCAGATGCGTCATCAAGTTACCCATTATTAGGCATAACCTATTAACTTTAGGAACCTTGTACGTGGAGTACATTCGCACCCCATGATAAAAAATTAATCATGTTTTTATTTATACTGAACAGTTATAATAGATAAAATTACCTATAACAAGAGTACAGTTGCCGTACATCAATATCAGCTCTACAATTTCAAAGAAGATTGTCTTTTTTTTTTCTTGTTACAGAAATCTGACTACTCCAGAGTCAAGAATTCAGAATGTTAACGCACTTTTTACCTTGTATTACTCTATTATTTATATCTCGCTCTGAGTTTCCCTCTTTTGATATTAAGCTTCCCAAGTTTTATACTTCTCACACTTTTTCAGATCTGTTAAGATCTTGTGTTTACGTCTCTTCTTGTTTTTTCTTATCTTCTGCAATTCTAGTAACATGGTTCCCACAACAACAATATAATACCTGCCTGAACCACTTCAGCTGACGCCATTTGTCTACTGCGCCAGTTAAAAGTTTTGGATAATTTGATATCAAATGGAAACAGATACTGGTGCCAATAAACTATGCATGTGGAAACGCGGCTTAGCACTGTTTGCTTCAGCTTCAACATTGAAGGCTGCCTCGTTTTTGTCATTTTTGGGATTTCCTTGTTTTCATCTTGCTTCCTTTTCTTTTCTTTGCAGTATTTTGAGATATATCCTCTCTTTCTACAATTAAAACATAAAAGACCTTCCGGCTTCTCATTTTCTTGCTTTCTCTTGTTAAAGGACATTGCTGCAAAAGCTTGTTCGGTTTCCTCGTAATTCTATAGGTTACTCTCTTCATCCAAATATTGAGCCACAAAATTATTAATTGTACCTACATATATGTGGTGGTATCTTATGGCAATCATGCCTGCCTTACGTTCCTATACCTAATAGGCAAGGTACGCAATATTTTCGTCATAATTGCCATATTACTTATGTCGTCACGTGCATCTTTTATATGTTTCGCAAGATTCATATTCGAGACACGCTGTGCTATAGTATCATTTGTATCCATCTTATATTGGTGAAAATGCTCATGAAGTATCATCCTATTTGACTGTGTCTTCAATTCAATTTTGGAGAGTTTGAAGTCCTCCATGAGGATAAGGATTTTTCAAAAATCTAAATCATAAGGCTACCTTTTGTAATAATCTAATTCCCAAATGACACTGATTCTAGTACAAAATATCAGATTTTTCAAATTTGCACTTTATACGTAGAATAGAGAGATAAGAGATTGCTTCTGTAGTACAATTTTCTAAGAATTTCCCCTCTGTCAGTTTTTAATCAATGTCCGTACTCTAGCTTTTCCTTGTCTTCATATACTTTTGCTACCCCTTGGGACGTTCCTCATGAATTATTGGTGCCTTTTCTATACCTAGGTAGTACAATTTTGTTCCATTGGTTCCATAGAAAAAAATTAGCCTAATAGGCAACAAAAATCAACCTAATCTACCATAATAAAGTTATTTTTCACGCACTAAAAGTTTTTATCATTTTGCTTATAACTACCAAGAATAATATCTCTTCCTCTTTAAAGTAAGTAACTGTTAATTTATTTTTATGGCAATTTTTACACTTGAATTCACACGAGCTAGACTGTATCCGTACTTAATCTAACGTCATCTGCTTAACACCCGATCTTGTTGAATCTACAAGCAGCTTCAATGGTGTGGCAATAGATTTTTTTTTCATAATATCCAGGTCTTTTAAGTAAGAGAAAGTTTCTTTTGACTACTACAACTAAGAACAATTGAATTTAGTCCAAAAAACTTTAATTTGTCTTATAGAAATATCCAACTATTGAGGAGGCTTTCAAATAATTTGAATGCTGCATTTTAAAAAAATCCAAAAACCGCGCGCAGTGGTAGTATGTACTTTCTAAAATGCCAGCCACACTATTTAGATATTTATTAGTAAAACGCTGTTGCACGGAGATTATAATGTATTCAATGACATTTACTATTATGGGTTAAAGGAATGTCGTGAATACTTATTGAAAAACGTTTTAATAATAAACAGTTAGCTTTTATATTGTGAAGACAAATTAGGGGGGCGCTTAATTGTACTCGTTTTTGTATAGGTAGGTACAGTTAAATGACGTCGAGTGCTTTTATTAATCAAATTACGTCATATGAACCAAAAGTAATTTTTCATTATATAAATTCAAATTTACCTAGTATCTTATTTTTATAATATTATATAGGTACCTTACCTATTTAGGAAATTAAAAAGAAAAATAGTCTTGATGAGGTTTTATAACAATAATATGTAGGTAGTTAAAAGTACTTTATTGTTGGACCCAAAACAAGTTGAAAAGTTTTTTTCATTTGCCACAAAACATCGTAATCTGTGAAGCATAACCCGACAAATTTAACAATCATACTTACCAATAAACCTAGTTTTTAACTAAAAATCCTTAAAAACAATCATTAAACATTTTTATTGTTTCGTAAAGGAATATAGGATTCATTCCGAGCAACTATGTCAAGGAAAAAGAACTACTAGGTCTACAACAATACGAGTAAGTAACTTTTATTTTTTTCTCTGAATCCTAAAAAAAAAATCAATTTTCATTTTAAGGTGGTACGTGAACGATATGTCAAGGCAACGGTCTGAATCTTTACTGAAACACGAAGACAAGGAGGGATGTTTCGTTGTGAGAAACTCCTCAACCAAAGGATTGTATACTTTATCTTTATATACCAAAGTGTAAGTAAATTACTTTTATTATAACCACACCTTTTGCGTGTTAAATTAGCAAACGATAAGGAGATAATAAATAAATGGGTGGGTATTCAGTTATGCAACGGTGGTATTAGCGATTTAAGGCTTAGTTCACACACAATACATTTTTTTTAGAAATCTAACAGCGTGTAGATAAACTGTTGATTCCCAAGGACCCAAATAACTAATTACCAATAATGTTACAATATCTCATCCCATCTCATTCTCTATCTGTTCATTCAATCTGATTTATAAACATTCTTCTACCTATGCCTAATATTTCCATAATAATTGATACAAAACGGATAATCCTTGATGGTATATGAAACTGAATTAGTTACAATAATTCTGGACTTGAAATTTGGAAATTAATAATATCATATAATATGCATAAATCAGCTTTGAAACCTCTATGTTCCAGAGTTCTCATGAGCCCAGGTTTTTCAAAAATTCTATTGGGTTTTTGCGGGTTATTGTGATAGTTTTTGGAGGGTTTTTTTGTTTACTTGACTAGACAAAATTGTATATTGGTTTCAACAGTTTTGCACATGAGAAGCTTCAAAATTGAATTTATCAAGGTGTGAAGAAAGTTCAAGAACCTGGAATAAAGCAATTCTTTCTTCTATTTAAATAATTCGTAGGTCCCATGCCAAAATCATGAATGTGCAAAATTGACCGTTTAGACCTAATAGTACATCATCAAACTTATTATGAGTCATATTTGTCATGCCAAACTCAAGAATGTGTTTGCGCGCCATAATTAGCCAAATACTGACTTCCAAATCACACAAAAACCTGATTTTTTCCTATCATTACATACTTTAAATACAATTATCTCAAAACTATAATTTCGCACAGTCATAGTTCTGACATGGGACCGAATGTATTTCCCATTTATATTTGTTTCAATTTTTGTTTATTTTAGATTGTTGAATTATTTTTTTATTCTAGTTTTAATTTCTTGAACTAAAAGTGTGAACAACGTTCAAAACCCTGGAATTAGAAAAAAAAATCCCTCTTGTTCAATATTTCCCATATTTAACTCATTGCTGCGATAGTGACAAAAATCAATCGAAAATTTAGGATTACCTATTCAAATTTTTATCAAAACTTACATTGAACAAAATAAAAATTCTAAGGAGAAATAGTCAACTAATATTAATCAGATAACAAATTCTAGATGCAAAAGTAAAAATCAAAAGGAACTTTTCTCAAGATAAATATTTGAACCTAAATTTTAATTTACATTAACAAGGTTTGTAGAAAATTTAATTGGCTTTAATTAGAGCTTAATTACATTGAAATCGGATGAAAATTAACGGAGCTGTGAGGCAAAAACTGTCCCAATGTTATTTTTGGAAAATTGTCAATGTTAAATAATTTCAATTTTGAACCTTCTCAGCTTCAAAACTACAGAAACTAAATTAAAATCTTAATAAACAGGTTTGTAGAGAATTTTATTGGCTTTAATTAGAGCCTAATTGCGTTGAAATCGGATGAAAATTGAAGAAGCTGCGAGGCAAAAACGGTCTCAGTGTCTCAGAAAATGTCCATATTTTCACAAAAACCCTTTTTTCGATGAATCGCTATTATTAGTTTCAACCCCTTAAACCTTAAACCAAAGTAATCTGCAAGTTAAGTGAGGTTCTCTAAACGTTATATATTGGTACTGCCTATAACTTCCATTACCATTTGTACCCGAGACTAAGGTGGAAATGTCCATATTTTCATAGAAACCCTTTTTTCGATGTATCGCAATTATTAGTTCTGCCCCCTCAAACCACCCTCAGAGTTATTTGCAAGTCTTTTTAGGTACCCTAATTGGTATATCTTGCTACTGCCTATAACTTATAGTACCTGACGTGTTATTTTTGGAAAATTTTCAATGTTCGATAATTTCAATTTTGAAGCTTCTCAGGTGCAAAACTGTTGAAACCAAATTAAAATCCTAATTAATATGTTTGTAGAGAATTTAATTGGCTTCATTTAGTTCCGAGATATATTGAAATCAGATAAAAATTAAAGGAGCTGAGAGGCAAAAATTGTCTCAGTGTCATTTTTGGAAAATTGTCAAATGTTCGATAATTTCAATTTTGTAGCTTCTCAAGTACAAAACTGTTGAAACAAATATACAATTTTGTGTAGTCAAGTAAGCACAAAAACTGTCACAAAAACCCACACAAACTCAATAGAAATGTTTAAAAACCCGGGTTTTTACCAACCCTGAAGAAATTTCAACAATTTGCACTAAAAACAGTTGTGCCTCTACCTCTACCAAACCAATTTTGGTTAATTCCAGATTCTTGTGTTATCACTTCTTCCAATTTTTTATTCCAGAATATTGAATTATTTTTTCCATAAGCGCAACTAGGCTCCAAATTTGAGGGTCTTTTTTTTTGGGGGGGGGGTTTGAGGTTTGATGGAAAGGAAATGAGACGTGCGTAAAAAAAAGTCAGTTTCACGAGAGTTTGTACTTACGTCATCATTTGCCTTTTTTTTTTTAAATGGGTTTTGTTATGTCTCAAATTTCAAACAAACATATAGTTCGTTGCACGGCACGAAGGTTTTTACTTACGTCATCGATGACATCATAACTCAGAGAAAAAGTTAAGTCATAGATTAATTCATAGAGCACCTTCGGAATTATTGTTTTGTAATACATTTTTTAACTTAGAATAGAGTTTATTCAGTTATACGAAAATATATGTATGAATAAATTTCTCCTGGAGTGATTTTTCACTGGAAAATTTTGAAATTTTCCTCTAATGAACTCCTCACTTTCCTCTTTCTCCTGTAAAAACTTCAAAATTTTCCCGTTGCCAGTTTTCCAGAAAAAAATTGAAATGTAAGAGGATGAATTTTCCTTAATTTTGCCTAAATAAGTCAATTTTCTTTAAGTTTTTCTTGGAGTGATTTTTCACTGGAAAATTTCGAAATTTCCCTATAATGAGCTCCTTACTTTTCTCTTTTTCCTGGAAAATGTGCAAAATTTTCCCTTTGTCAGTTTTTCAAAAAAAAATTTAAATGTGAAAGGTGAATATTCCTTAATTTCGCAATAACTCAATTTTCCAGAATTTTTTCTGGAGTCATTTTTCACTAGAAAATTTTGAAATTTTCTTATATTGAGTTCCTCACTGTCCTCTTTCTTCTAGAAAAATTCCACAATTTTTGCTTTGCCAGTTTTCCAGAAAAAAATTGAAATGTGAAAGGATGAATTTTGCTTAAAAAAGTCAACTTTCCAGAACTTTCCTCTCGACTTTCCTTGGAGTCATTTTTCACTAGAAAATTTTGAAATTTTCCTATAATGAGCTCCTCATTTTCTTCTTTCTCCTGGAAAAATTTCACAAGTTTTGCTTAATTAGTTTTCCAAAAATAAATTGAAATGTGAGAGGTGAGTTTTTCTTAATTTTACTTGAAAAAGTCTTTTTTTTCAGAATTCTTCCTGAAGCGATTTTCCATTGGAAAATGTTGAAATTTTCTTATAATGAGCTTCTGACTTTCCTCTTTTTCCTCTTTTGCCAGTTTTCCAGAAGAAAATTGAAATGTGAGAGGATGAATTTTCCCTAATTTCACTTGAAAAAGTCAATTTTCCAGAATTTTCCCTGGAGTGATTTCTCACTGGAAAATTTCGAAATTTCCCTATAATGAGCTCCTCACTTTCCTCTTTTTCCTGGAAATTTTTTAAAGTTTTTCCTCTGCCAGTTTTCTAGAAAAAAATTAAAATGTAAGAGGGTGAATTTTCCTTAATTTTGCTTAAATAAGTCAATTTTCCAGAATTTTTTATGGAGTGATTTTTCATTAGAAAATTTTAAAATTTTGCTATAATGAGCTCTTTACTTTCTTCTTTTTTCTGGAAAATTTTCACAATTTTCCTTTTGCCAGTTTCCCAGAAGAAAATTAAAATGTAAAAGGGTGAATTTTGCTTGAAAAAGTCAATTTCCCAGAATTTTTCCTGAAGTGATTTTCCACTGGAAAATTTTGAAATTTTTCTGTAATGAGCTCCTCACTTTTCTCTTTCTTCTGGAAAAATTTCACAATTTTCCCTTTACCACATTTCTAGAAAAAAAATAAAATGTAAGAGGGTGAATTCTCCTTAATTTTGCTTAAAAAAGTTAGTTTTTCAAAATTTTTCCTGGAGTGATTTTTCACTGGAAAATTTTGGAATTTTCGTAAAATGAGCTCCTCATTTTCTTCTCATTCCTGAAAAATTTTCCCTTTGCCAGTTTTCCAGAAAAAAATTAAAATATAAGAGGTGAATTTTCTTTAATTTTACTTGAAAAAGTCAATTTTTCAGAATTTTTCGTGGAGTGATTTTCCATTGGAAAATTCTGAAATTTTCCCTTTCCTTTTTCTTTTGGAAAAATATCACAATTTTTGCTTTGCCAGTTTTCCAGAAAAAAATTGAAATGTGAAAGAATGAATTTTGCTTAAAAAAGTCAATTTTCCAGAACTTTCCTCTCGACTTTCCTTGGAGTGATTTTTCACTAGAAAATTTTAAAATTTTCCCATAATGAGCTCCTCATTTTCTTCTTTCTCTTGGAAAAATTTCACAAGTTTTGCTTTATTACTTTTCCAGAAATAAATTGAAATGTGAGAGGATGAGTTTTTCTTAATGTTACTTGAAAAACTCATTTTTCTTAATTTTACTTGAAAAACTCATTTTTTCAGAATTTTTCTTGGAGCGATTTTTCATTGGAAAATTTTGAAATTTTCTTATAATGAGCTCCGGACTTTCCTTTTTTTCCTCTTTTGCCATTTTTCCAGAAAAAAATTGAAATATGAGAGGATGAATTTTCTTTAATTTTACTTGAAAAACTCAATTTTTCAGAATTTTTTCTGGAGTGATTTCTCACTGGAAAATTTCGAAATTTCCCTATAATGAGCTCCTGACTCTCCTCTTTTTCTTGGAAAATTTTCAAAATTTTTCCTTTGCCAGTTTTCCAGATAAAAATTAAAATGAAAGAGGGTGAATTCTCCTTAATTTTGATTAAAAGAGTTAGTTTTTCAAAATTTTTCCTGGAGTGATTTTTTAATGGAAAATTTTGAAATTTTCGTAAAATGAGCTCTTTATTTTCCTCTTATTCCTGGAAAATTTCCAAAATTTTCCCTTTGCAAGTTTTCCAGAAAAAAATTAAAATGTAAGAGGGTGATTTTTTTTAATTTTGCTTAAATAAGTCAATTTTTTAGAACAGATTTGAGATTTCAGTCATACAAAAAAAACAAAGAATCACCCTTTGGCGTATGTACATGATTTTTAGGAACACCCTGTATAATATGCAGTTAATTAATTTATATATTTGGGACTCCAATGGGGCCGGTATTTCAATGTCACCTAAGATATAACTAGAATTAACAAACATAGACATTGACTTGTCTGACCTTGTTCGATGACGTCATCCTAAATATAACATAAAAACCGTATATTTTAGGGTAAGTCGTGATTTTAAGGTAATATTATAATACCGACCCCGGTTGAAAATTTTTATTCCATAACAATAATAATTGTGAACGTGTTCTATGAATTAATCAACGACAAATACTTTTTCTAAATTATGACGTCATCGATGACGTAAGTAAGTACAAAAAATGCAAAAAAAATAAATAATTTGGTTGCACTAATTTTTTAAATTAGAACAACAACAGGAAAATCCATAAATGATTGGGAATTTGAAAAAAAAAAAAAAACATTCTAGTGCCTGGAATAGACAAAAATTGAGACAAAAAGAATATTATGTTGTACCTACATTACACATGTGTCAGGGAGTTCATTTATTTATTCATAAACGGGAATATCCCAATTTTACAAAAAATAAGTCTAAGAATAAAATGGTAAAAAATATTAAAGAAAATCAAATACAGAATATATAAACGACAAACAAGTTATAAAATGTGCGCTGCCCTAAGGGAGTACATCAAGGAGGTGTTAAACAAGTCAATTCTCAATTCATTTGCATGAGACATCATTCTATTTATGGATCAGAATTGACCATAATTGGTGCGATGGTTTTCAATACCAAATATATTCACAACTCTTAGTGATCTAGGAAAAGTATGAATATGAACAAGTTGCAGGAGGTCACTACAATCTATATTGTTATTAAGTATTTTATAAATAAATACTTCATCAAAATTAATTCTCCTTTCATGCAACTACTTTATATTCAGCATGTTCAGTAGATGATCATAAGTACATGTTTCAACATCAAGTCCCAATCTAAATCTAATGTGACACAAAAATTTGCGCTGCACTCTCTCTAATCTATCTCTATGACACTGATAGTATGGTGACCATACACAAGAGTATTATTCTCCAGTTGAGATCTAACTAAACTCACATACAAAGTGAAAAACATCTAGATTGGAAAAAACTCTATGTACTCAGATATTTCCCCTATCGTAAACAAGCCTTTAAAAGCAATCTAAATTAATTACCAAAAAAAGTTGCCTTGCAAAAGTAACTACACATTTAATTGAAAACTAGGCAAAATTACTTTTCAATTAAATTAAATAGGCAAAATAAACTTTCTCGACGTATCCGTATAAATCTCTACTTACCAGCCAATTAAATTTGTTTTAATCAATTTCAGACCTCATCCGCACGTGAAACACTACCATATCAAACAAAACTCGCGTGGTGAATTTTTCCTGTCGGAAAAACACTGTTGCAACTCCATACCCGAATTAATCAACTACCATAAGCACAATAGCGGAGGCCTGGCTTCCAGGCTGAAGACGAGCCCTTGTGACAGACCTGCGCCTGCAACTGCTGGACTCAGTCATGGTAATTATTTTTGTGTTTATTGGAAACCCTTTTTAAATTTTAATTATTATATATTATTATTTTTATTATTATATTATTATAGGTTTCAGTAGTAGGCGGATTCCAAATCCAATGAGACTACTGAGTCTGTTGTACTACGTGTGTCACTGTTTAGTACCTTCAATAATCGCATTTTAATTGGTCATGCAGAGTAATGCACAAACATATTGTTCCAGTTTTCGATAATATCTTTATCAAGGCGATTTTTGAATTGATTTTTGGTTGTTGAGTTTACGGTGTCGCTTCTAAAAGAGTTAAAATTATACACTATACCCTGTTGGACATGAAGTTTCATCCAAGCATTATGCTGCACTTTTCTTTGGATAGCTTTTTATTGTGACCTCTTAAGTTTTTATTATTGTTGAGTTGGTATATATTGGTTAAAGTTGTAGGCATAGTATCCATTGAGAATTTTGAATGTCTCGATAAGATCTTGTCTAGTTTTGCAGTCCTTCAGTGTGGTCAGGTTTAATTGAGTCAGTCTGATTTCATATAAGTTCACAAGGAATTTTAGTAGTTCGCCGTTGAACTCGCTCGAGTTGTTCAATGTCCTTCGAATAGTAAGGGTTCCAGATTGATTGGGCATACCTACTCAAGACCTATATAATTTCAAAATTATCTCTTTACAGTGCTCTTTGAATGCTGTTTGGATAAGATATTTCATTGGATTGGCCTTTTTTCTTACATCAGTAATGTAGGTCTCCCACTGTGATTCCAAGGTCTTTCTGCTTTGCAACAGTTGCTATTGGTGTTTGTTGTAGAAAATTGCTGACTTGGGTTATTCTGACCGATGTGTAGTAAAGTACATTTGGAATCATCAAGTGGCATTCCCTACTTTGTTCTCCACTCTGTTATTCTGACCAGATCTTGCTGTAGATCATTATGTTGTAGTAGAGGGTCACAATATATGATACCATCATCCGCAAAAGATACATTTTTTGTTGTAAGTCCTTGGTACAGATTGCTTAAGTACGCTATAAATAAAAGGGGACCGAGAACTAATGAGCCTTGAGCAACTCTGCAGTGTACCTGATGCTCGTGCGACAGGCTAGTACTAATTCGTACCTGGAATACTTTCCAGGCACAGACAAAAAAACCTTCACCTTAGCAAATCATCCCTGATTCCAAAATGCTGAATATGTATTTAATGCACTTACACAACATGCTGGTTAAACTAATTGGCCTGTAGTTTTCTGCAAATTGTTTATTTCCTTTTTTAAATAGTTGTGTGTATGGCTTTCTTCTAGGATTCTGGAAATTTCCCAGTTGTCAATAAGATGTTTAACACATTCGCTAGGGGTGCTTTTAGAACTTGCACACAGTTTTTGAGAAAAACGGAAGGAATTTCATCCATTCCAGGATTTGAGTTGAATTTTAATGATGTTATGGCAGCTCCTACTTTTTCTGATGTGAATTCAATGTGATTTATCTCAGTTATTGTATAAGTATTCAGTGGTAGTGTGGGCCTAAGGTTGTTTGCATCCAGAATAGTAAAAACGCTCTCAAACTAATGTGCGAAATACTCTGCAATTTCCTGGTCAGTTTTAAGCGGTGTTGCGGTATCCTTATCTATTAGATTGAAGCTGGTCAATACTGTACAAGTCTTTGTTTTGTTGTATTGATATTGATAGATTTGATAATTATCTTCAGATTTATTGTTTTGATATTTATGCCAGAGATTTCGTTTTTGCCTCATAGAATTGGTTGAAATTTGATGGGTTTGCCGATCTTCTAAATTCCCGTCCAAGTGTTTCATTGACTGCGATGTAATTTGCTTTCCAAAATTGCCTTTTGTAAATTATTTTTTTGGTTGGTTGAGCAACTACATTTGTGATTTGGCTGTGATTATAACATGGTCGCTTTTCCCCAAGAGTACATGTGATTTGATATCAAAAACTAACTTTTTTTCATTGGTTATAAGTAATGATATCTGGGTATTGCGGATTCTTGTTGGAAAATTTATTTGTTGGTACCCCCTAGGGTTATCATAGCTTTCTAGGAAGGGTTGACTGCACTGGTTATCAATGATTCCACTTCATTTCTGGATAATTGAAGTCTCCCATAATGTACATTGGTACCTCTAGTCACAATGCATTTTCAATAGTTTTTATGAGTTGCATGTTTTCTGCTTCCATGGTTTTTTCTTTGGGTCTGTACTGTACACACATGAAACTATTAGAATTTTAATTTTGCTTATCATATTATTATAGATAAATGGGAAATAGATCATAACGAATTGATGCTACTCGAGGAACTGGGTTCTGGTCAGTTCGGTGTAGTTCGTAGAGGCAAATGGCGAGGTACCAAAGATGTAGCGGTTAAAATGATGAAAGAAGGCACCATGTCCGAGGATGATTTTATTGAAGAAGCCAAAGTTATGACGTATGTATTTGTATTATTAATGAATTTATTATAATTTTTGTTTTCTGTAGTAAGTTGCAGCATCCCAATTTGGTTCAGCTGTACGGTGTTTGCAGTAAAAACCGACCAATTTTTATTGTAACCGAGTATATGAGGCACGGATCTCTTTTAAATTATTTAAGGAAAAACGAACAGAGTTTGTGCACTAATCAAGGATTATTGTTAGACATGTGTATACAAGTGAGTACAAATTTAATTGTCGACAATTGAAAATTGTGTTGTTTTTTTTAAGATTTGTAAAGGTATGGCGTACTTGGAAAAGCAAAATTGCATACACAGAGACTTGGCAGCGAGAAATTGCTTGGTTGGTACGGAGAATATTGTTAAAGTTGCTGATTTCGGTTTGGCAAGGTAACATTTTTAATCTATGATAATTATTTCGCACGAAAACTGAGAAAATTTATTTATTTATACAAAGTATCGACAGCAGAGCCAATTACAGATACTGACAATGATGTTCTTAACAAAGTAAGCCGATCACAAGGCCTAGCGGTTGAAGAGATCACACATATTATAGATTTGTTTCAGGATAGGCCATATAAAAAACATTTTCACTTTTTCAAAATACCTGGGCAGTCAATATTTATGTATTTACAGTAACAAGGCCAGTTTACAATAACATAAAAATGCAATTTACAATATAGTTTTACAACATACCTGAACCTAAGCCCTAAGCACATAACAAACAACATCCTGATTAATTCACCAAGTTTATAACTATTCAATTGTTGTGAATTCCAAGAAACAGATACAAATTATTCTAATAACTATCCAGCAAGCAACAGTAGCATGAGTCACAACACTCCTATACCTAACTAACTGCCTGAGTTCTCCCAACAAGAAAGTCAGCAAACCAACTCAGAATTGGACCTCTCTACCCCAAACAACCAAGCTTCCTAATGAGCAGGCGATGGTTAACCCTGTCAAAGGTTTTAGAAAAGTCTGATTATACAGAATCAACCCCTGGAACCCCCTCTACATGCTGTTAAAAATGAAATTCTGATACAAAACCAAATTTGTTGATGTTGACTTACCCACTATAAACCCATGCTGTTCCAGATTTAAAAGCTACCTACAGTTCCAGCTGAGTTTCCTGGTAATGAGACAATCCAAAAACTTGGGAATCCAAAAACTTAGGAACTTGTCTGATTTGAAAACTGAACTGTGAAATAAAATTATAACACAAATATACATTTAAAACATACAGGAAATTTATTTCAGGTACGTTTTGGACGACCAGTACACGTCTTCCGGAGGATCGAAATTCCCAATAAAATGGGCTCCGCCTGAAGTGCTCAATTACACTAGGTTCTCGTCAAAGTCTGATATTTGGGCATATGGTAATAATAACTAAATATCATTAAAAACCAAATAAATTGGTTGTTTTTTTTTTGTAGGTGTCCTAATGTGGGAAGTATTCACCTGTGGCAAAATGCCCTACGGAAGACTAAAAAACTCCGAGGTGGTCGACCGGGTGCAAAAAGGCATCATCCTAGAAAAACCCAAAGCTTGTTTTAAGGAAGTATACGATGTGATGAAGAAATGCTGGTCCCACTTGCCCGAGAACCGCCCGTCTTTTCAACTACTCAAAGGCACTTTGATTAAGGTGTCGCAAGGGATTTTAGTCGATTGACTGGCGCGATTCGTGTGCGACACTGTTGTGAGAGGCGACAGCAGCCCTTCCTGTAGTTCTCAACAGCAGGACGGCTACGAGGAGGCTTGGCTCGGTATCTGTAGGACTCTGTGCAGAGAGGCGGGCAGGACAAAAAAAAGAACACCCAACTATGAGGTTCCATAAAGGGTTTGTGTGATTTGAAATCAAAGCAAAGTTGAATTATTTACTGCAAAATTTCAAGTATCTAATATTTAGATTACTCAAAAAATCAACAGACTGATTAAAAAACTATAACAGGAATTATTCAACTTTAGGCATTTTATTGGCAATTAATTAATTATAGGTACCACTGGCAGAATGTTATTGATCTTTGGCAGAAAAATTATTGACAATAATTGAAGCACCAGTGGGGCCAAAACAACAGTGTAATCTAAAAAGCCACTGCCTACCATTGTAATACATTTATTTTTTCAATAATAAAATATAAGTAACTGTCATTCAAATGTAATCATTCCCCCATTAGATCATTAGATGTTAAAAGAGTTTGTGTATTATGTACATTATAAATTACAACCCTTGGGGGTAAATTGAAGCAATGCATTTTCTGTTTTTTGTAATTTACGAGTGGGAACCTTTTTCGTGCCAATTCTTTTCTAGCTAAATTAATAGTGACATACATAATGGGATTTCATAGGGTTTTAGATTTTACCGAACCGGGAATTCCGCATTTTAGTTTATAAAAATCGGTGTGATAAAAATATTATATATTTAAATCTTTTACTCTTTACTAATTTTTAAAAGTTTCCTGTACTAACCTATTTTTTATATTTTCTTTAATTTTATGTATTTTGTGATTGAAACTTGTACTGATAATATATTCGTTTTTAAGGTCTACAATTTAACTTCGTATAGACTTTAGAATAGAAAACAAAACAAAAAAAAAATCCCGGATTCTCCTTTGTACTTTGCTATGAAATGTTTTTTTTTATATATATTATAAATTTAACTGAGTTTTTATAGATTTTATGTATATTAACTCTAGGATTTAATTAATAAAAATTGTATTTAAAGAGGCGTTTTATTTCTAAACTAATAAATCATCTAAAATACTACTTTATCTAATCCTTCGACTTCAGGCGGATTATCGACTTCTCCTTTAATTTGAATTGAATTGATCCTCAGGAAGGTTTGTGGAATTTTATAGACTGAAAAAAAAAATTACAATAACTCAACCGATAGATGAGAAAACTTTGTTATATTATATGTATTGGAGGGGTGGTTAACTTAAATAAATAAAATAAAATGTGAATTGTACTTTTCTTCTCAGTTAATGAGATGAAGCGCGTTCGTCTTGCAATGCAAACTTAGAAACTTGGAATTCAAGGCCCTTATACAAAGTCTAGAAGAAGAGTAGAACAAGTGGAAGATGTAGTTCCTTATGCAGCAGGTATAAAACTTACAGAATGAACGTGAGAACATGGTTTCAATCTTGAAATTCTTTTAAATTTGAAGATTTCATAAGCTTTGTAATAGCTCCGCTCCAACCGACATGAGAACCGTTCTAGAACAGTAAATTTCAGTTGATTAATTCATTTGGTTCTGGAACCGTTCTCATATCAGTTGGAACAGAGCTTTAATTTTTGGTTTCCGGGGTTTACACAAAGGCTAGAAGAATGAGCGGAAAATGTACAGTAGAGTTTGGATATAGGAAAACCCTTTTAGTCAGTTAAGTCAAACGCTTTTCCAATTTTCCGTAAGACAATAATGTAATTTTTTACCATTTATGGTTAACCAATTTTAATGAACTTTTCGAGTTCACTATATTCAGACTTCACTGTAGTTCCTCATGTAGCAAGCATAAAATTTGCAGAACAAATTCAAAAACTTGGTTTCAATTTTCAAATTTCTACCATTAAAAAAAGCACGTTTTGGGTATAATTTTTTTTAGGTATTTTTGACGTGAAACCTCTTTGCTTTACGAAAATTCCGATCATGTTATGGGAGTATGGACAGTGCTTCAGCGACGACTGGAGGGGGGAAACGCACAGGCTCTTCGGTTGATTGAGAGAGATACATTACATGGTTGGAAATTCAAATTATATTTAATCTCCGGTTAAGTTCAAAGTTGGTATTAAATGATGGTTTGTAAGGTCTGTTTTGCTCTATAATCAACCGTTTAGGTTTTACAGCCTGTCAAAGTTGCAAAAAGGTGACTTTTCAACTGTGAATAGGTCTGTTTCCACAGAAATCCCAAACCCTTCAGAGCGAATTCCATCGGTTGAAAACAGTCAGAAAACTGGTTGTTGGCGATTTGGACCAATCAAAAACGCTCTGACTGGTTTGTGATTTCTGTAGAAACAGACCTAATATTTCCAAAATAGTTGAACAGGGTAAAGGGTACCTATAAATCACATGAAATCTGCTCAGAATGTTACGTAGAATCCAAATATTTAATAATATACAGGGTATTCCATTTAAAATAAGAGAGGTGGACCACTACAAGCTTTTGTGAAACACTCTGTATATGCAAAGGTGGGTATTCCGGACTCGGCTAACGCCTCATCCGGAAGCAGCAATGATTCGCCCTGAAAAACTTCATTTCAGGTACTTGTGACAAAAATAACTATTTTGAGACACTTCTTTCTGATATGTCAAATAAAAAAGATAGAGGGGCCGACCTTCATAACCAATAACCCCAGTAATTTATACTGGCCGCACCACCCTATGCACAACCCTGAAGATTCCATAAATCTTGCTTGAGAAATTTTTGTTTTCAGGGTACATGACTGTCTTTACATACCTATACGTTATCTGAGTATAGAGCGGGGTATAGATTAAAGAAAATTTAAACAGATTTTATGTAGGTAATTTCGACGAAATCGAGAAGTTGATTTTAAGAAATTTGTTCCTCGATTCCTCAGCTATATCTTACCATTCTTACCACTGAAAATGAAACTTCCTTATTCTGAAAAAAAAATACTCACATTGAATCCTCATATACTGTTTCCTCCTCTTCTTCTTGAAGTTCGTTTTAGTGTGAGACAGGGTTTTTTCAATTACTGTAGCCTCAACATTTACTAAACCTTTCTGTACTAAAGGCCTGCCAATTAGGGTAAAATCTGCAGCACCTGCTAACAAGACCTATGAAAAGAAAATTATGAATACTTATGCTATAAAGTTTAAAGTTTTTACTTTATTCAATTGTAACTTTTCTCCACACTCTGGAGGCCAATATCCTTCCACAATAACCACATCTCCTTCAGTTATTTTAACTTGTTTTCCAGCTACATGGACTACTGCAAATAGTCTGCCTTGTTTCGCTTGTGCTACTTGATTGTTTACCTGATCTATAACATCTGAAATGGGGGTTTTATAATAAGATTTTCTAGTAGTTGTACTTTTGAATTTGTTGGTCTAATTATTACCTTTTACCATTTTATAGTCCTTTTCTTCATCTACAATTTCATAAGGGGTAGCCTGTGTCGAGTGTTGTTTTTGGGCTTGGTGAGCCAGGGAATTTAGGGAGGGGGTTGTTTTAGGTACATTGTGGAGTGTTTTTAATGATAATCTGCTTAAATTTGTTAGAATCCTTGGTAAAAGATTTGCCATTTTATTTGGCCTTTTGTTTGATGGAGTAAAAATTTGAGGTTAGGAAGGAACGCATCGACATAAGGTTTGTTCCATAAACGGTTTCGCGAAACCTAAAGCTTTGTTCCATTCAAAGATATTAGGCAATCCAAACCACGTGACATTCAAGATGACCTACTAAACAAATATTGTATTGAATAATCAAAATCAAAGCTGCAAGCAAAACTCGAAGCAAAATAATTAAAATATGCATGAAAACACATATTCAGAACAAACTTGCTGGCCGCTACGCCATATTGAATTTTTGTTTCACCCCGTCAAAAAACCGTCCCGAGAACGGTTTCGGGAAACCTCAGGCTTCAATGCCCTGGGGCGCGCCAGCGCACGCTCTGAAAAGAACGGTGATTGGGTCTGTTTTTTTTAAAGATAAAAGTCAAAATGACATTATGTTAACAATGGTACGAGCATGGGTATCGTGACGTCATACGCAGTCATTAGCTCAACGCAAAAGAGAACAATCTGAGAGCTAGAACGAACAGGATCTTATCGTTTCGAGCGCACTCAGAGTTTCCAGAGTGTAAAGCCGAACTCAGCCATTAGTTGTATTCCTGTCACACCTTGGAGGAGCTCCGGAACAGCTCCGGGGCTTCACGCCCCTATTCCTTTCGGAAAGTGTTTGTTGCACCACCCATCTGTTCCCTGCACATCGGGGGCGACTGAGCACCGGAGCGAGTAGCTCGAGTGCTTCAAACTCTTGAAAGGAATAAAACTATTGTGTAAAAGTAAAATTATTCAAATCAAAAGGCATTTTCGATTTATTAGCGTTCCTGGGCCGGTGGGATCACGACATGTAGAATTCTACTTTTATGACGTCACTTTCGACCTAATTATCGCGTACAGTACAGGCGATGATGACGGTTGCTAGGCGATGATGACGGTTGCTAGGCAATTTGACGTTATGAAAGTAGAATTCTAGTAGAGTTCTACTCGTCGTTATCCCAGTCTTGGTTGACCTAAAAATGACGGATTTTTCGACAGCGGATCAAGCTGGTCCCGATTTTAATGACGTCATTGATTCAATAGAACGAATGCCCAAATACACGTGTCACGAGGGTTCGGGCTCATACTTTTTGTCTTCCTTTTTTAACAAATAGTAGAAATTGACTCAAACAAAGCAATGACGTCAAAACGTTCGTCGATTCTTAAGACATGAAATAAGAATTAATCCACGACAACCCTTTGTTTTCAAGTTATGACGTGTTACTGCCAGTATTAGTGATGCGCGATGTTCATCGATGTTCTGTAAACATCGATGTTTTGTATTCGATATTCGATGTTTTTGTCATCGATGTTGATGGCACCAGATATCGATGTTACCATCGATGTTTTTCTAAAACATCGATCAATATTCTATTCTGAGAATTCTCTTACGGCCGTTCGAACCGACCATTTTAAGGGAGGTTTAACGATAATCAACGTTTAAAGTGACATTTTTGCATGTAAAAATGTCACTTTAAACGTTGATTATCGTTAAACCTCCCTTAAAATGGTCGGTGCAAATGGTCATTAGAAGGCTCTGCCTATTGTCGATCATTACAGTGACTTGTCATTTGCAATTGAATCAAGCGCCTTCACGATAACCGTCGGGTGCTCCTTGGAAATTTTGCATCTTTTTTTATTTGGTGATCTTAACGAAGACAAACATATTTGTGAAACTACTCGGAGTGCGTCCGGGAGTCTTTCATGCGGCTCGTGCGGGTATTTAGAGCAATATTGGCACACCGAAGTCTGTTGAATCCCCACTCCTTGAAATCATTTTTACACAAACAACCAAGTTCTCGAACGTAGCTTTAAACTTGGTCTTCGCAATTCAGTTTATTAGTAATAAACACATTTTCCCTCATTTTTAAAATTCACAATCGCGATATTTTCTATTGCTAACATCGAGCATCGATATTTGATAAAGATCGATGTTTGGTAGTCGATATTTTCATACCATCGATGTCGACTGTCGATGTTAACATCGATGGCCAACCCAGGGTCCAGGATACTATTGGAGGAATGAATTCCTAAGTACATGTATTAAATATGATTTCTTCAGAATGTTTATAGTTGGGGAGCTGGCGTCAAAAACATGCAAGAGTTTTCGCAAGGCTGATATTTTCAAAATAGGTCGTACTTTAGTGCTAGAATGCTAGTGTACAGTCAGCACTCACAGTTCCGGGACAGCTGGCTCTGGGACGCGGGCAAAGTTGTAATTTTAAGAAGCATCTAAACTGTTTTCTCAAAGCTCAAAATTTATAGAAATTTTGCTCATTATCTGTTTGAAGGTCACAGCTAACGTATGTAAATCGTCAGACGTCTAGTTCGTTGCAAAAAGGGGGTCAGACGTCCTCAAAGTTTTTATTTTATGGCATTTTCTTCGGTGTCCTGTCAAAATATATTTTTGCAGGTATTTGACAAATATATTTGAAGAAAATGCCATAAAATAAAAACTTTGAGGACGTCTGACCCCCTTTTTGCAACGAACTAGACGTCTGACGATTTACATACGTTATCTGTGACCTTCAAACAGATAATGTGCAAAATTTCTATAAATTTTGAGCTTTGAGAAAACAGTTTAGATGCTTCTTAAAATTACAACTTTGCCCGCGTCCCAGAGCCAGCTGTCCCGGAACTGTGAGTGCTGACTGTACACTAGCATTCTAGCACTACAGTACGACCTATTTTGAAAATATCCGCCTTGCGAAAACTCTTGCATATTTTTGGCGCCACCTCCTGGACTATTAGATTGTCGCGAGACACATTTTTCAAATTGATAAATACTGCTGGCAATAATTTAAGGAAACATTCTGAATGGCAAAAGTTTGTTTGTTTACTACTTAAATCGAGACCACAATCAAGACTGGAATCAGGACCAGAGTGTCGAGCTGCTGGTCCTAAATTTTCAGGACCTGACATCATAGTTTGTAAATCGAATATTCACGCACGGTTTCAGGTGGGTTCGGCTTGCTCACTCCGTGTACTCCGAGTGACTCCTTTTGCACTCCAGCCGTTCGGGTATAGTTTTTTGGCGTATTAGGGGTAACTCCATTAGTGTATTAGCGTTCGACTATATGGAGTGGAGTCCGGAGTCAGTCAATGGGGTTCACCAAAAGTTCGACCTCGGAAAGAGAATTTTTTAGAGTGAGCATGTGCAGAAATGAAATGAGGAAACTGTCAAGCTTGTTGTGTTGTCACGTTGTGGTTGTTGTCAAAAAAAAATTAAAAATCGTTTGGAGTGCGTTCGAAATCACCCCACTCTGTGTCAGGCCTAGGGCGATTTCGAACGCACTCTTGTGTGGATGGTAAAATCATCGAGTAAAATAATTGATCTGATTTTGAAATTTATTGAATATGATGGAAAAATTTCCTTCCGTGTCAAAAAAGTGGACACGAGAAAACGGCTCAGCTGTTTGACGTTTATGCTCCGACTGTTCGTGTATTAATTTTTCACTCTAATCACTCCTAGATCACGTGACAAAAATTTCTTACTCCACTCCAACTCCGTACATTAGTGACAGTTCGGACACTGGAGCTGTCTCTGGGCTGCGACTCTGTAATGAATAAAGGTACGTTTTCATGCATCCGTCATCCGATGATACGATGATACGAAATTGTTCCGATTGGTTGAATTTACAGCTTTTCATTGGTCAGAAAATTCAAACATTTTCGTATGTTTGGCAATTTACATGCATCCGACATCCGATGAAGAAATCGTTTATAATTGGTCAAAAATTGTCTATTAAAGACAAAAGAGAGACTCAAAAACTGTGATTTATCAACACGAAAAAGTCAAATTCGGAAATTCGAAACGAAATAATGCCACAACAAACAAAAGTAAACGCATGAAAAAGTGTGAGGTTAGAATTATACGTCAAAAATGTCAATTCATAGGATACGTATGAAAAGTTAAAATATTTGAACTTTATCCGACGTCGGAGAAAAGTTAAAAATATTCGGAATATAAATGGATGACGGATGCATGAAAATGAAAACGTACCCTAAAGCGTTTTTTTTTAAAGATAAAAGTCAAAATGACGTTATGCGTTATGTTAAAAGGCTTGTATTGTCAACAACTACATTTTTGACTTGGGGAATTGTCTTTAAAAAAAAACAGATTTTAGAGACCTTTTCTCTATCTCTATTGACTTCCCCTCTCTATTGATTTCGAAAAGAGAGAAGAAGACAGCAAGTGTCAAAGCGATAGGGATAAAAATCTCTATCCGTTACAGAGTCCCATCCCTGGGATGGGAGCTTCGACGCCTCGCTGAAACGCTAGTGAAGGAGTAAGGGGAATAGACTACCACGGGGTTTCAAGCCCTGATTAAAAAGAACGGTTGTAAACATTTCAAAATCGTGGTCCAGGGCGACCAAGCCCCTTAAAAGAAAGCAGCTCAGGAAATCGTACCGTTACGATTCTACGCAAATCCCAAAAATTGTATTCAGAGACATCCATATGCAACATCCTCTTTTAACGTAAAAGCGCTTTTTAAAACTGGTACCTTTAAAAATGTGTATCGCTTAGAATACACATTTTTAAAAGTGACCAGTTTCAAAAAGCGCTTTTAAGTTAAAAGAGGATGTGGCATATTGCTGAGAGTGTTTTGAAACCAGCCGTTTTCGTTTTAGTCATCTCTTTCGACACGTGACTGGATCAGACAGTTTCAATTTACAAATTACGTGCCTGTCAAAATTTCGGAGCAAATCGACGAAAAAGATGACAAAAACGAACACGGCCACTGTTCATGAGATAGTTTGGAACTGGAACAGCCGGACGAATAACAAAACAAAAAAGAATATGTACGGAAATTTTGATTTTTTGTTTATGAATACACATACATTTTTGGCTAATTATTAACAATTTCCAGGACTATGATTTTTGAAATATTTTTATTGCTGTACATTTCTCCATTTATTTAAAAATAAATGTGCACATTGTGAAAACTAAAAACAAGTCCAATACAAGGATAATTTTAAAGATAAAAAAATTACTTAAACCTAATGCAAAAAAAGAACTATACATAATTAATCCTTATAAAAAATCATACAGTCCTTAGCATCGATAGTATGAATAATATTCAATAGAATTTCGATATCCTCTACGCCACCAACATCGTTGGGCGACCCCAATAAAATGGCGGGCTTATTTTCGATAACGATTTCGTAATGAGGATTGACGGCATCGAAACTGACGGTCCTTTCCAAAACGCACTTGTTGGTGAAAATTATGGAGGCGATTTTGTTGTTTTTGACCACAACTTTGATTTTCCATGTAGTAGATGGGAGTTTCATGTTTTTGATGTCTTTGACCAGGCTTTCGAATGGATATTTTAGTAGGCCATCTTCTTTTTCCTTTGGTACGCCCATTTTTAGGAAATACGTTGGTTCAGATGGGACGTATTTGATTATAAATTGTGGTTTAATTGGCGACGGCGGTGCTTGCTGCCCTAGGCTTTTGTACATTGATGCCATTTGTTGTTGTAGGGTTTGTTTGGGTCTAGATCTTGTTACAGTTTGGTTACCGATTATATTCAGTTTCTTGGCGTTTTGATAAGTTTTATAGTTATTGTTAGTGGAAATCTCAGTGGAAACTGTTGGTTTGGTATTTTTATTCTTTGGGGCAACTACAGGTTTATTGTTTTTACTCCTTGTGTTAACTCGAGTGTTAAATAAAGGTTTAGTATTTTTATCCTTGGTCGAGACTGCAAATTTGATATTTTTATCCTTTGTGGAAACTTCAGTTTTAGTATTTTTGTCCTTGTTGGAAATTTCTGGTTTAGTATTTCTGTCCTTGTTGGAAACTTGAGGTTTAGTCACAGCTTGTTTGGTATTCTTTTGGAGAATCTGTATTGGTCTTCTAGGGCTTGCCCTGGTAGCAACCCGTAATTTTCTTTTCAATTTACGTCCAAACCGCGACAATCCAACATTCCTTTTCTTCTGCCTGTTTTTATTGGTTTTAAAGGTCTTGAATTTCAATGCCACTTGTTTAGCTGGTAATCTTTCTATGTTGACTTTGGGCAAAGGAACTCTCAAAACCTGATGATTTAAAGCACACTCTTCTAGTTGCACTTGAGAAGCTGTATAGTTTCCAAACTGCTTCAGTACAGTTAGTTTTTGGTTTTGTGGACCGGATACCACGATTCTCTCTCGTTTAGTACTGACACTGTGATGGGAACAATTTAAAAACTTTAAAAATTCCTCCTTGGTTAAACTTTTGACATCCTGGAAAAAAACAAAACAAAATCGAACCTGTCAAAACGGTGGGGCCATAAAATTTTCTTACCATAGCAGATAATTATTTACCCATGTCCAATATTTAGTAAAAAGCATTTATTATCAGATGATAATAATAAATGTGAATAAATTTTCAGGCAAAAGGTAAGGTAAATAGAAAATATATCAGAACGCAAAACCAGCCACAATACTATAAATTTGTGGAAGCTCTGAACACACCACACCGAAACTCAAAATTAAAACCACAAGCAACCCAAGCCAAGCCGCTCAAGCCAGCAACAAATAAATATTGAAAAATGAAGGAATTGACGGATTGAAAAATGAAAATTGACCGACGACAGCAGTCGGATTCAGTGTGCTCTCGGTGCAGTTTAGTTCTGCTGACCTTTTTGGGTTTGGCTTTCTAGCGTAATTAGAGTAGGTACTTTTGGCGATACGGAGTAGGATAAATAAAAGTTCACTCCGAGAGTTCTACCTTGGGAAGGCGGAGATTTTTGAGGTGAATCGTTCCGTTTGCACCAGTAAGCTGAAAAACCGGGTAGATAACAGCGAAATTCGCTCTTTTTTGACTGCTTTGACAATTTGACGTTTTATGCGTGAATCAAACGTCAAACTGTCGAAGTAATGACAAAAAAGAGCGAATTTCGTGGTTATGAGTACTACACTAATATACCCTTAGAGCAAGCCCTTAGAGCAGGAAAGCGCTGTCCTACGGACATAAGGAGTAGGAACGCGCCATTCTGCTTATGAAACTAAAGTGAAGCCAAGTTTTTGGCAGGTGTTTGGCACCAAGATACACGTAAAGCATTGAATTGCCATAAGCGCCATTTTCTTGGTGCCAAAATACCTGGAAAAAAACGGCTTCATTTTCCAAATCCAGGTTACTACTCCTCTTTACCTTTACCTGCTCTAAGCATATACCTATTTATCGCAACACTCGCAACATTTTGTTACCGACTGGTGAGTGAAAGTCAAATGACATTTTAGTGAAATGTAATGTGATGTCATTGGTGAAAGTCTATATACGGAACATAACAGTCGTGAGCATTAAAAGCGGGACACCCGACTGACAGGTCCTGTCATTATTCGCTATTTTGGGTTAAATCAATCTTTTTTGTACAACGGATTTTTTGTCAAATATGACAATCCCTATCATTGCCAACGGTGTAGCTGGTGAGCCCGTTATTCTATGAGCCCGTTTTGGCGTTTTACAATAGGAAAAATCGGGTTCGGCTATTCAGCACGGAGTTGGAGTGGAATAAGAACAGATTTTTGTCACGTGATCTAGGAGTGATTAGAGTGAAAAATCAATACACGAACGACCAGAACGATCGGAGCAAAAAAGTCAAAGAGCTGTCTTTACAACGTTCCAGTTTCCAAAATTTTTTCCACTTTTGCCTTTGGTATTTCGTAGTGAATTTCAATAACCGCATCCGTGGCGGTGCAACATTGTAGTTGTATTCCTTTCAAGAGTTTGAAACACTCGAGCTACTCGCTCCGGAGCTCAGTCGCCTACGATTTGCAGGGAACAGATGCGTGTTGCAACAAAAACTTTTTGAAAGGAATAAGCGCGTGAAGCCCCGGAGTTCCGGAGTTCCGGAGCTCCTCCTAGGTGTGAAAGGAATACAACTTGTGATGAATTTAGCAACTCGCGGTATGTCAAGTATAATATAACATAAGGCAATTTTTCGCGAGGATCAAGCGTAATCGCAAATCTGATTATAGGAAATTTTTCGCGAGGATAATCAAGTACAATCTTAAGCTTACTTTTCATGCATCCGTTTTTCCGTCAGTCTGTTGATCCGGGAGTATTCCTATTGGTCCAATATGTTGCCGCCAAAATATTGGACCAATAGGAATACTTCCGGATCAACGGATTGACGGAAAAACGGATGCATGAAAACTAAGCTTAATGCTGGATTATGGTGATGTGTCAATTGTGTCATACTCCCCCACAATCAAATTCTGGGATACTCAAGGATCAAGAACACTTAATTCCTTCTCTAAGAACAGACCAAAAATCACCTTTTCTACATTTAAAATCGACGAAAAAATTAACTCACAAGCACAGCCTGAATCACAAGCATTCCATCGAGGTCTGCGGGTGACGTCACTACTATTAGCTGCTGATAGTGACTCCTTATGTTCGTAGGACAGCGCTTTACCTGCTCTAAGCTGCTACCAAGACTAAATCTAGATTCATCCACCCTATTGTTATTGTACCCCTTTTTAGCCACCTGTAAAATCGTACTGATTCTGTGATAATAGACCTGAGTAATAGACCTTTTATTTCTCGCAGTCATTACAGTGACGTCATCCGCAAGCCCAGAATTTGATGCAGAGGGAGTTAGGGAGGTATGAAACAATTTACACATCACATAACCCAGCTTAATCAGATCATGCTTGATTCTCCTTGCAAAATTTCCTTATGCTGGGTTATGTGATGTGTCAATTGTGTCATACTCCACTAACTCCCTCCCCATCAAATTTTGGCCCTGCGAGTGACGTCAGCAGCTTGCAGTGATGACGTCACCCGCAGACCTCGATGGAATGCTCGCGACTCAGACTGCGCTAGTGAGCTAATTTTTTCGTCGATTTTAAATAAACAAAAAGTGATTTTCGGTCTTCTCACAAAAGAAATTAAGATCCTTGTGAAAAATTGCCTATAATTTTAAACAACACTGTGGTGAATTCAGAAGTAATACGTAAAGTACTATTAGTTTGCTTTTTGTCGAATTACAAGTTACAAAGAAAGAAGGAACGATTAATTCTGAACTGGCGACTGAAAAAGTATATGACGCAAGCCCGTAACAACTCGCTTCTCATTGGACGCTCACTTGCAAAGATAGGTCAATAGCGAACAACTCCGAACTTGTTACAGTTCTCAATTCGCGGTTTTACTAGAATCGGTTCCAGATCGATTCTGAACTAGTTCAACCGGTTCTAGAGATTCAACAAGAACCCAGTAGAAGGCGAAACACGCAGATTAAACGACTCCTAAGCTAAGATCACGACAAGTAGAATTCTACTTTCATGACGTCACCTATTTATCGCGTACAGTACAAGTTTGATGACGGTTGCTATCAGAGCTGGGCAGTAGCTAGCTACCAAGTAGTTAAGCTACTAGCTTAGCTACTTTTTTGGTAGCTAATAACTTATTCAAGCTACTTTGAAAAAAAAGTAGCTTGTAGCTGTAGCTTTTGGTAATGTGTTTCAAGTATTCATAAGCTACTGTGAAAAGTAGCTAGCTACTAAAACAAGCTACTTAAGCTACTTATTTTGGTAGATAGTTAGGTAATAGTTATTAAGGTATTAATGGCGGAAAGTGTCATTTATCGCCCGAGGGTGTGGTTAACGAAGGGTTAACGATACTCAACGCCCAAAATACTTATTACGTTTTATGCGCAGCGGACTCTTCTAATTCAAAAATAAAATATGTAACTATACCTATATTATAATGGCATCCATTCGACCATAAATTTTCGACATTGTTTTCAAAAATAAACAGTTTTTCCCGTATAAAGGCATGTTTTCACCAACCTATCGTCCGCGTTTGAATTTACCGCTCGATAAAAGTAACTTTATACTTTAATTGCTCAAGCTTTTTTTTTACAATTATCATTTTCCGGAAAATTCTTATCCTGCCTTGCTTAGACTAGTTTCTAGTTATCTCTGTAGGTACCTATGTACTACTTTTTCAAAGAGGTAGTTAAGCTACTGAGTAACTTAGCTACTTACAATATAAAGTAGCTTGTAGCTAGCTACTTTTTCCAAGTAGCTTGCCCAGCTCTGGTTGCTATGCAACCTGACGACATGAAAATGTAGAATTCTACTTGTTGTTATCCTAGCCCTGATTTTTGACAAATTTTGTGTCTTCTGGGGTCGGTAGTGTATACTTTTTAACGCTCTCTTTACCTTGAACTAGAACACGTAACAGAAATCTGCTCTAACTCTACTCTAACCAAGCTCCAACCTATGCTCGAGAACTCAACGCTCCGAATGCCGTTCTTTCACACACGCCGCAGACCTGAACTCTTGGCGTAAAATGCATTAGCCGAGTGTAAAACACTATAGGTCAAAAAAACTAATTCCTAAACGTTAAAACCTGGTTGAAATTATCTTTTCTAAATTTAAAAGCGACGGAAAAATTAACTCAAATGCACAGCCTGAATCGCAAGCATTCCATCGAAGTTGGTGGGTGACGTCACCACTATTAGCTGCTGATAGTGGTGACGTCACTTGCAGACCTTGTCGAATCGAGAATTGGCGAACGTACACCTTATGAGGAAGAGCAATCCTGTTAGTTAACGATTCTTGCACAGCAAGCGTGAAACCTCACTTTCCCGCAATAGAACGGTAAAGTATAATATCTAAAATTGGTAGGTACACTATTGCGGAATATATTATTCCGACTCTATCGTATTAACTCTGAGAAAATTTGCATCTGCCCGAAATCGGATCGGTCGGTGAAATCTGGAAAAATGCCAAATAATAGCTATTTTCTCGTGTTCACTTTTTTGAAACTGGTTCAAAACAGGTTTGTAATTCTATATTCTCGCGATGAACCCAAGATGTCACACGAAATTGATTCAAACCGTTTCGAGATACAATTCAAGCCACGTTTTTAAACCATTTTCTCGCGCCGAGAAGTTATGTCGTCATTGTGAAACTGTTTTAAACCAGTTTTGAAAAATTTTTCAAAACTTTGAGACGCGAAAAAACACATCAGGCTCTAAAAAGTTGAAAAGTTGTACTCTCTCTACTACTCGCGTTTGGGTAATCCGCACTAGAGCAGAGTAGACGTGTGCTGGGAATCGGAGACGCCATAAGGGCTAATTAACAGCGGCACTTTTCAAGCGGCGCGTTAAGCTGTGGTTGAGGCTCTTGACATGGAGCACTCGGATTTAGAAGAAGCGTTCTCTTTGGAAGTTACTCCGAATGACTCTGAACAGTAGCTCCGGAGTGGTGACTCTTAAAAAAAAATATGGTTCAGTGTTCAGCTACCCGAACCGAGCGTGTTATAAGAAACCAAACATTCGATTTGAGGCAAATGTCCAAATACGAATTTGCTCGGTTCGAATTTTAAGAAGGCAGTCACTGGTCGGAGTGGAACTGCCTGCTTTCTACTCTAATTCAAGGATCGAAGTGATTTGTGCTTATCCAACATACATAACCTCATTCTATCTCTACAATCCTTATCCTATCCTTTGGCGGTAGCCGCCTTTATTTACTAAATGAAAAGTTTGTGAAAAATAATAGTTGGTTATCCTAATCACTTTTAGTTTCAGTTTAGATTATTCGAGGTAAGTAAAAGTAATCTTTTTTAGTCATTTACCTATGAAATGCGGAAATTGATACTTTACCCCACACTATGCGGTCTTCTCTACCCTACACTACACTATTTGGTAAAATGCTACTTTCCACTTACAAATAGCACTTTTCGCACACTCGTAGGTAAAACAATAATTAATCCATTTCATCCATCAAACATTATTGTTAACAGGTTCCAAATAAAATCATGCCTCCAACAGCCGCTAAAGATTTTGCGATAATCCTCTTCGATCTGAAAGCAGCTTCTCGTACAGAAGCATTGCATGCTCTCCTTGACGTCGTGCTGTTCAAGCAACTGTCCCAATCGAAAGATTTGTATAAAATTTTCCTTGTCAATGCCAGCACTGCTTCCAATTCATTATCATACAAAGGTATCAGGCACATTGATGCATTCACATGCATTGCTACTTTAGCCGAAGAGATATCGAATTGTGAAACCGGCACTTCAGATTGGTGCGAAGCTTTGGATCTAGCAATCGAAGAACTGAAAGCTGGAATTGGTAAATTGAATCTTGTTTATATAAAATATTTCAATAATTATTTTCAGGAGCGATAACACTTCAGATTTTATTTATAACCGATTTAATTTCATTTGAAAGACCTAATAATGGCAAGTTATATGATAACATTATAAAAGGAATTAACGATTTGGACATTTTCTTGTATGTAATCGGACCTTCGATTGACCCTCCCAAAACAATCTATTCACACAAAGATGTCCAAGAATGGATGGCAAGTCTTGAAGTGGACACAACTAATTCCAATTTGAAAATAATGAGAAAAATTGTAATTAAAACTCCAAATTCTGTTATGTGTAATTATATTGTTGGAGTGGAACTTTTTCACTCTTTTAAATATTTCAAAGGTAAAAGTATTATTGTATAGTTAATTGAAGCCTTATTACTTGAACATATTCTAGGTATGCAACCATGGCTAGTTCCTTTATCGTTTGGCTCTCTTTTGAATCTTCCTGCTTCTACCATAAGGCTATCAAAAAGGGAACCACCCTTTAAACTAAAAAGTACAACCAAAGCAAATTATGCTGAGGATAAATGGTTAGTTTACTTTTAATTTATTTATTTTGTTTTAAATGAAATATTCCAAAGGGCTTATGAAGATCAACAAGACGTCTTAATAGATCATCATGATACAGTCCCAGGAGTAATTAAGCACGGTAAATTTGTGAAAATTGAAAGCGACGGAAGATTTAAAATTGAAGGAGCTAGAAGTCTTCGGGTATTATGTTTTACTAAAGCTGAAAATGTACCAGAGGTATTTTTTTGTTTGTTTAATAATATCTGTTTTATATAATTAGTATTTCAGTATTTGCTTCAATCAGATGGTTCCTACTTTGTCATTCCCGATCCAAAATGCCCAAACTACTTTGAATGTTTCAATACCTTAGTAGAACAATTGGAACAAGCTAATTTATATGTAATTGCCCGTCGTGTATATAATAAGGATTTCAATCCGAAATTTGTGGCATTAATACCAAAGTAATTTATAATATTAACCAATACTCAGCACATTAAAACTAATTATTTTTATAGGACAAATCTCAATACCAAAGGCTTTATTCTATGCCAGCTACCTTACGCAGATGATATTGCCCACACTTACACCGAACAACCTCTTTCAACAGCCCAAAAAGTGGACGCAAATAAAGATGTTTACAATTTTTTGGATTCAATTAATGTGGACAATGAAAATTGTCAACTAAAAGTTCCTCTTGCGCCTCCAATATCGGAATATGCTAGTGGCTGGGATATTATTGAGAAGGTTAAAGAAAAAACTGTTGAAGGTCAATTTTCTTATAACAATTTTTCATAGTGTATTTATTTTTTTGCTTATTTTAGAACAATATTTGGTCAAGAAAAAAAAAATTGCTAATGCTGCATTGAACATGGATACGTTGCAGAATAAATGGCCAGTGAGACAACTAGAAACTGTGAAAAAAGAAGAAACCAAGGCTGATGATTTTGATAATGTTGATGATTTTTCTTTCAATTAAGTGTGAATAATTTACTTTGTTTTTGTTACTAATAATTTAATTTGTATTAAATAAAAACTAAAATTTATTCTTTGGTAACTGGTCGTCTTCTAGCCTTAGCTCCTTTTTTGTCTTTCCCACTGTCCTTTGTTGTTGACTGAACAGTATTGCCAGCTAAAAAGTTGCTGACTGCATCACCTACTTGAGGCACTTCAAACTTTGTCATTTTTTGTATTTGTTCCAAGTCTTTTTTGGTTTCTGGATCGTTCATTAGTTTTGGCAAAACCATCACTAACAGTACGGGGAAAAGCATCATCATTATCATCGGATTGAATAGTAAATCGGTAATTCTCCATTGATCTCTGGCTTGGAAATATCTAGTTTTGCCTAAAGCTTTAATTTTTAGAGGATAAGGTATTTGATTGACCGTAGACGTTTGGATATGGTTAACTTTCCTAGCTCTAAATTTGCCTTTTGAATTGATTTCAACTCTTGCAGGTTCAAATGTGAGTTCTGGATTTAGTATTTCAACTATATAGGAACCAGAGGGTACGTTGTGTACCATAAAACTACCATCTCGTTTGACGAAACCTAAAATTGGAAAATATACATTACATGTTATTGTTATTACTATGTAGTTTTAAAATTCAATTTATTTTTAATATTGGTGGTTCAATGGTAGGAAATGCTTTACCGATGAATTCACCCCCATTTACATGTACCCTTGTACTTGGTTGCCAGTTAGAACTTGGTGTATCGGATAAAGGAAAAACTCTTCCTTCGATTACATAGCGCCCCGTTCCAGTTTCCTCTTCAATTCTTAGTTCAGCATTGGCCAGCAAGAAAATTGCGAAAAATCTTAAAACATTCAGGACAATCATTGTATTGTTTTTATTTTAGTTCTTTGATGGCTCTGTGGCCTCTGTGGATAGACAGAACTGCTAGTTGAGGTTATGTTTATTAATTTACGATCATTACAGTGCATTTTCTGCACTGCACTGTCGGCTCTGACCTAACTGCACTACACTCTCCGTTCTACACTTGCTGCTCCGTTTAAACTGTACTGAACTCTCTGCTCTAACTGTACTGCACTTTTATTAGTTATAGATTCGCAACTCTGAAAGGATCGTTTCGGTCTGAGGTGAAGGGTGGAGGGGAAAAAAAAAAGCGACATGGTTATACACAAGTGCTATGGAAGGTGGGTTCGGCTTGCTCACTCCGAGTGACTCCATTCGCACTCCAGCCGTTCGGGTTAAGGTTCGGGTATTGCTTTTTACTGTATTAGTGGTGACTCCATTAGTTCTGTTCACTCCACTCCAACTCCGCGCTGAATAGCCGAACCCAGTTGGAATAGAGCATGACAGAAAGAAGGCTCAATGAGTATTAGGCTACACTCTACACTCCATAAGTTATTTTTACATCTCGGAGTGACTCGAACTTTTTAGGCCTCAAATCAAGTTTGATGCTAGAAAACGGACTAGCAGTTTAATACTTGCAGGCTTGCGAGACTATTGTGTCCTCAAGTTACTCATAATTTCTCCATTTTCGTAAAAAAAGGGAATTTGTAAATTTCAGAACAGGAACTGAATATTATTCAGAACTCTGTCAAATGTCAATCTGGTAGAACTAGTCCAGAATCAATACGGGGCTGATTCTAATTGAACCGCGAGCAGAGAACTAATAATGGCACGAAATACAGGGTGAGTCCGAAATAAGTGCGCATTTTGTTTACTTAGGAGAATCTGAAATACAATTTCAAGTGTTTCTTGAAGTACTTGACTACTCTGACAGTTCCGGAATCACTCTGTATACGAATTCGGTTTTTATCCTGACAGTGAAATGTAAGGATAATACCGACACTATTGAGGATTGCTTATCGGTATCGTTTCTTGTAATCGCCGCCATATTGGTATATCACCATTGCCGACGTCATTACTGTAGACGTCATTAACCAAATAGTCAGCTGTTTGCGCCAGCGGTCGTAGCTTAGAATAGGCTCGTTCAATGAAATTTCATCAGCACGGTTTTCCACATTTTTATGAAGTATTACTCACATATAGCATGTAGAAATTTCAGCTTAATTGGATAAATATTAAAAAAGTTACGCGTTTTTTAATATTCAAACAGTTATGCCTCGGAAATTCGTTGCTGTGACGTCATAGCATCTCTCGAGTCGAGGGCCGTCACACACGGTTTTGCATAACGCAATGTCAACTGATTTTTTACTGACAGTTTGGCACACAGTTTGCGGAATTATGCAATATTGATAATTTTTCGTTTTGCATGCTACTTCCATAATTGTGCTCATAAAATATTGAAATTCAGGGAATTATTCAAATATACAAAATATGATTCGAAAGAAAAACATCCAGTTCTAGCAGATACATAAAATGCCAAACTCGTCAAACTGAAACTTGTCTAAACGATGCCAAACCAAAACTTGTCAAAACAATGCCCGTATTGTCGAAGTGACAGGCGTATTAGCACCACGAGGACCAACGTGAGAGATGCAGTGACGTCACCGCGTGTTTCAAATTTGGAGTATTTTGATAATCTATTTAAACACGAACAAGGGCGAAAATTATGAGATTTTGCATAACTGCTAAACTCAACACGCTCTTCTGGAACCCGTAATAAAAAAAATATGCTGTACGAGCCTATTTAAATTTATGATGAAAAATATTATTTAATTTTGATTAACATAATAGGCAAATAAGAAGATGCAAACAAGATCCAAAAAAGTGTTGTTTTAGAATGTTGATGTAGTAATACCAAACCAAGCATACACAAAGCAAAAGACCGCGGAATCATAACCTGTGGTGCAAACAGCCTACGTCAAGGTGAGAAACGACATGCTTCCACGTCACAACCGGTGATCTGGCGTGGTGGGGGGCTCCAAGTTTGTTCTACACAGGCCTTATGAGGATAGGCTATCCTGTGAATCTAATTGTATCAGTTCAATCCAAACTGAACTGAACTCTTGTCCAAACAAATACGCCTCTGTAGTAGTAGTAGTAGTATTAGTAGTAATAGTAGTAGTAGAGTGTTTATCCACTGATCTGTATTATCACTGAGTGAAATGTACGGTTCCCTGCTACGTTGGAGCAAATCTACTCCAAAATCGCGGATTTTTGTTTTGCGGATCTTTTTCTATTGGACCAAAAATATTTGAATTTGACAGAACACGAAAAGAAAGGTCTGTTTCTGCAGAAATCACAAACCAGTCAGAGTGAATTTCATTAGCTGAAACTGATTTTCTGAGTGTTTCTGACTGTTTTCAACCAATGAAATTCGTTCTGACTGGTTTCTGATTTCTGCAGCAACAGACCTATTAACAATTTGCGGTGAATAAGATTTCCTGAATTTTGCGTAAAGTGCTAAGTTTCCCGCAAACGGGCAAGGGACTTTCCGCATGAATGAAGAACACTATTTTTTCCACGATAAAGTTATTATTTATGCCCATACCTACCAATTTTAGATATTTTACTTTTCCTAGTGCAGAAAAGTAATGTCGACTCTGAGTGACTCGCATTTCTGAAACGGTGCGTTCTATTGTATTCCACTAAACAAAACCAAACAGAACAGAACAAAAGGAAACACAACAGAACGGAACAGAACAAAACGAACAGACCAGGGGTGCGTTCAAGGAAGGCGATGCTAAGGCCAAAACCTGCTTTTCCCCCTCCACCTGTAATGCCGAACCACGTAGGTTAGAGCTGAACTCGAACGCAAAATGCCAATTTTGGCTTGGCTGTAGCCATTTCTGAACGCAGCCCAGGAGGGGGATTCTAAAATCACGATTTGACACACGACTCGACAACGAGACGCAACTCGATACCGGCCCGTACTGTTCTAATCTGTTCTGTTCTTGCAACATGTAAATAAATGACTCCATAGGTTTGTTTTTTGTGTTGTTTGAAGCAGTACTTCCTACTCTGGGGCGTTCGTTTGTGTTGTATGTGGTGTTATTGCAAAGAACTGCAAGCGTTCGTTTGTGATTTGCAGTGTTTGTACCAAACTGTTTAGTTCATGTTCAACCTGCACCTGCTTTCGAGGAGAAGTAAGATAGGGCAGCCTACAGTGGCTAAATAAACCTTTACATGCAGTGGCGACAATAGAGGTTCCGCCGCCATCTTGTTCCCAATCTCTTGTTACTTTTAAATATTAGTATATAGGATTTAAATGGACATCTATCATAAAAAATTGAAATCGACGTATTTGATGACCATTATTAGGTCCATCAAATACGTTGTTTTCCATGATTTATGATGGATGTTCACCTAAATCCCATATATTCATATTCAAAAGTAACAAGCGGTTGGGAACAAGATGGCGGCGTTTTTAATATAAATATATGGGATTTTAGAACCAATCAAAAATGAGACAGCAATTGTCGCCACTGTGGGTTATAGAGTCACTGTAGGGCAGCCTAGAACTAAATGTCAAAAACGCCACAGTTGACGGTTCCCTGTTTCCTCTTCAATCCATTAGGCGTATTTTAGCGAGAGTTTTAACCCAGTAGTATGTTGTATTTACTTGGGATACTACATTTTAGCGATCATGGCTAACATACTATGACGTCACAACATAAAACACAACATAAAACTCGGCTGTAAACATGTAACCATCCTACGAGGGATAGTTACTGGTTGTAGTATGTCAGTGCATCTTTTTCTAATACACAAAAATGAGCATATGGGCAAAATATCAGCTGATTACGCTACGATTACCGACACAATTCTTTCCATAATAAATAGAGGATTGTTTTTCCTCATTTTGCCATGGTTTTCTGTGATTTTATTACTGTGAGTTTTTTTGCAAAAAAAAACAAAAATCTTCACTTGTGCACAAAAGTGTAATTTTATTTATTTTTTGGCATAGGGTTCCCATAAAATTCAAAAATACCACAATCTATCGAAAATATTCGAAAATCTTCACTGGAGAAATAATATTGAAACTCGAAAACGCAAAATTTTGCAAAATTCAACAAATCCAAATAAACAACGATCATGGCGTCCTCTCTTAGACCCTTGTCAAATACACTCCACCTGTTATTTGGGTAACTATGACGTCATGAATCGTAGTATGTGTAGTATGATGTTTACCTGTCGCTAAAATACGCCTATTATTACTTTAAATTGAAGAAGTAGTCCATAGCCGCTTTCGGGTGCTCCTGGTGGGGGATTTCCATCCTCTAGTCGCAACCTATCGTCCCGAATATCCCAATGCCTGTCTACGAGTGAGTCGGGCCGATAGGTTGCGACTAGAAGATGAGAGTCCCCTCCGCTGGAACACTTCACACTTGTCAGTGACCTGTCATACTCCATGCGTTTTGCACTCGAACGCTTGAAACCGAACGGGTCAAACTGTAGCCGCAGTACTTTGGAGTAACTCGGGAGCGCTCAAAGGCTGGCATCCGAAAGCAGCTCCATGATCCATTATTTCTTTGTAAACATTGAGGTGTATAAAATAAAAAAGGCTGACAGCCTGCAACGTCACAGTCCCTATCTCCACTATCGTCATCACTTGATAAAACAAACTTGATTTCGCTATCGTCATCCATTAAAAAAATCCATAATTGTTTAATTCTGCCACAAATCAAATCCAGAAATCCAAAAAATAGTAAAAAATCGGATTTTTATTGTTTTAAAGCAGTTATCAGTTGAACTTGAGTCGCTACAAGCCTGAAATATCTTGCGCTCAGTTCAAGTAGTGCGACACAAACAAACAAACCTCATGTTAAATTCTACAAATTTTAAACATGCAACGTTTGGATTTAAAAACCCCTGGAAAAGAATGCGGTTCATATCAGTTCTATTCAAACCCAGCAGGAGACCGAAATTCGTATACAGAGTGGTTCCGAAATCGTTCTGGGACGATTTACTGACGGGTTGGAACCAACCTACTATTTCCATATAGGCACCAAAATTAATGGGTTAAAGTTAAATTTATCTGTACTAGTTATCAAAAAATCCTAGTGAAATTCAGCAGAGATAGAATCACAAGTAGAATTCTACTAAATTTTTCTTTCTGACGTCAGGTTGCCTAGCAACAGGCATCATCGCCTGTGACTGTAACGCGTAAATAGGTTGAGGGTGAAGTCATGATAGTAGAATTCTACTTTTCGTGATCCCAGCTTAGGTTCGAGTACAGTTTCAACCATGGTTTAAAAAAGTTTCACAATGACGTCATAACTTCTCGGCGCGAGAGAATGGTTTTAAAACGTGGATTGAATTGTATTTCGAAACGGTTTGAACCATTTTCTTGTAACGTCATGGATTTATCGCAAGAATATACTATTTCAAACCTGTTTTGAACCAGTTTCAAAAAAGTGAACGCGAAAAAACAGCTCAGCTCAGCAGCAGATGAGCGTTCACTTGTCCTAAGAGCTGATTTATAAGGTCCGCAGCTCTTTTCAGATCTTTCTGATTTGCGAGCAGGTAGAGCAAGAACAAATTAACACCCTGTCTTAAATAGCAGCTCCTTAGCTGATCTTCCTGATTTTTAGAGCAAGTACAAGTACAAATGAACATCCTGCTGTTTGCGAATCGAATTTCAACCAAATCAGTTCCAAATGGTTTTTGATTTTATTAGAACAAGATACATTAGGTTTGTTTGTTGGTGTTGTTCGAAGCAGCATTGCCTGCTTTGGGGCTTTCGAATGTGTTAATGGCAATGAACTGACGACCGTTAAGGCTCATGACCGTTAAGGCTCATCCTCAATCAATTTAGTAGCGAAGTGGCACTTCGGCACGCAAGCTAGGAAAATGTTGTTTAACGTTGGCATCCTCAATTCAATTCCGTGCTGGTATGCACGTCGACTCCGAAGTGAAGGTTGCAAGCTGCCAGCTTTTTCGATGCCTGCCGACTTATGTCATGCGTAGTACGGTAAAAAATAATTTAGGTTATCCTTGCCTTCGGTATTTTGCTCAAAGAGCAGAGCGGAGCCGTAATCACGTGACCAGCGAGCGCACAGAGCAGTTAAACGCTGTATCAGAGGGCTAAAAATTTTAGCAAACGATCGTGAATGAGCCTGCACCGAGTACACTTTTTGAATAAACTAACGGTGAATTCATGCTCAGAGAACTCAGATCAAAATACCGAATGCACGGTATGTGACCGTACTACACGCACAGCAGACTGAAAATTGACAGCATTGAGGATGGGTATAAATTTTCCAGCACGCGTGCCAAAGTGCCACTTCGCTACCAGATTGATTGAGGATGTAGCTTTAGTTTAATTAGTGACGTCACAAACCTGAAATATTTTGCACTCAGTTCAAGTTAGAGCGACAAAAACAAACAAACCTTTTGATTCGATTTCCACTTTAAGAAAACGCTATGCAATATTTTTTTTTTGGCAGATGACGTAGCCGTTTTGTTTTTCTTTTTTTTTTCGAGGTTATATTATTAGAAAATTAGAAATTCAACAGACTACAATTTAAAATTACTTAAAAAAGAATTACCTTAAATGCTTCATTTAAAAACTAGTAACAAAACGCTGACAATTCATTTGTAACAAAATGTTCCAATTGCAAAGTTATTTTCTATTTCTCTTAACATTATTTACGGTGTTTATTGATGCTAATTTAATAGACCCGCAAGTAGATTTTCGAGAAAAGGGTAGCAACAATACTAGCCCTCAACATAATGTTACGTTGATGGTGCCTCAAAAAACTAATCTTACTCAAAATGCGACACAAAAAGTAATTTCTGAAGGTGGAGTAGAGCAAGTTGTTGAACAGCCAAAAACGAATCAACAATCTGTTAAAAATGTAACCAGTATTAAAAAGGATGATGTTACAGTTGGCAAACCAGCTGGAAATAATACAAATATTACATTGAGTAAGTCATCTTGTTTGTTATTAATTTAATTTTATCTACAACTGTGTGCTAACAAGGTATACCACACCATATTACCCCACGTTGGATATAGGTTTGTTCCAACTCATCGAAAATTGTCTGTCCCATGATTAATGAACCGTTTCCAAACCATTCTATTAATTGAGGTATTAATAATTAGCTACCTTCAATTACCTATTACTAAAACTTTACTTGTCCACTGTAAAAGGTGATAGGCCACCTAGAGACACAATTTAATTTTCTATAATTTTTGTTACTGCACAGTTGTAGATAAAATACTGTATATAATATGTATGGTAATTAGGTTATTACTGCCATTAGAGATTGCAAAACTTGCCTCACCAGATCGGTTTGCATGTGGTAATAACCTAGGTACCACACCTATTATATAATATACTATTAATTTAGGAAAAGACAAACCCGTCCATGAAGCGTCCAACGAACCAGAAGTTCCTACCTTACTACATGACTTTGAAAAACCAATTGTGCCAAAAAAGGGTGTAAATTTTTCAGAGTCAGACTTGGACCGTACCGGTAGAAATATAAGTGCCAAAACTACAAATTCTTCCACGATTATTCATCATAAGAAACCTATTTTTACTGAATCCGATAGTGATTTTATTGACACAAACACAGACAAAGAAAATATTTTAACAGTCGATCAAATTGATCCACTTTTAGCTGACAAAAACTATAACCGATCTGACTATATTGTTCCTATAGTTGCAGTTATTTTATCTGTACCTTTAGTAGCTATACTTGCTTCTTTGGTTTATAAACGGGGAGCCGATTGGTGGCAACACAGGAACTATAAAAGGATGGATTTTTTAATCGAGGGAATTTATCATCATCAATAATTATAAGTGGTTGTTACCTAAAATGCATTTAATTCGCTGTGTCAAAAGTGATGGAACAAAATTTTTTGTTGAATTTTATGTAGTTTTTAGTCCAAAGATTTTTACACTGTTTTTGTTTTTATTATTGTAACTTTTCTAAGTGCCTTAATGCAATAATACTGTTGTGATAACTTGAAAAGTAAGAAAATGCTGTGTAATTTTTGATACTGTTTGATTATATTATTAAATAATGATGCTTCGATATTTTCTGTTTTATTGTTTTTGAAGAAATTGTAAGGGATTGAATGTAAATCACTCGGTAAATCAGTACCTGCATTAGGAGCGGGAGTCTATGTTCACTAGAGACTCTGGTTCTATCGATCCTGTCTATGGGTGAGAAATGAGTCAAGAGCATTGTGTAAGCCTCCCTGTGCGAAAATTTCATAATAAACCTATTGTTCAGTTTCATCTACGCGCTCTGTATATAGTTGTAGGTTAAATTGGGTATCTAGGATGTCAAATCCTATTTGGAAATGGAAATTGATTCGTTTTTCTTTTCTTCTTTATTTTTTGTGTCGCCAAAAACACTTCCACAGATTCGTGTGATTCGAGAAAACAGACTCGTTTCTTTTCGCTTGCCGCGACCGGTTTAAATCAAGACGGTTTCGTTTGTACTCCTTTGCATTGGACTTGAACTTAATGAAAGAATTGGCCAGCTGAGTGGAGTTTGGAAGTAAAACTAGTTGATATCCTTCAATTTCAATTTAAAATCTTTTATCGATTATCATTTTATCAGCAACCTGTGGATTTTCCAGTTTTAATTTTGCATACCTATTTTTAGAGAAAAGAGAAAAAAAAACCCTTGTGGTTCCACAACAGAAATCAAACCCATTTTTTGAGTGTAATTTATTTTTATTATATTAATTATTTATACATTAATCATTTACACAAAACACTCTCTGTTGAGTGAATTTGGTGTTTCAAAAAAAATAAAATAAAAATTGCAGTCTTATCTGAAACATACTTGAAGATGTTTTTAAAGAGGAAACAGGTACAGTTGAGTTAAATAGAATATTTAAAACACAAAATTCCTTCAAACTTTTCTAATGGTAGGCCAATAATAGCTAGAAGTCACATTTTACAATTATTATTATTACTTATTAGTTTATTCCCGGTCTCGTTCAGGAGATTTAATAGCTTTTATACCTTAAGACTAGAATCCTTATAATAATTTCCTTAATGTTATTTTTTTTTTGGTTGCTGGTCAATTCGCTGTTTGAATTTTTACAATGCTTTTTATAGGAAGGAAAAAATAATACTTAATTTTTTTAAGAGACCTAATAATTAAGAAACAAATATTTTCAATATAATATAATAAAAATAATTGTAGATTGTTGCATGGAAAAATATATTTTTTGTTGTGGCTTTGATTCTATCAAGTGGTGATTGATTTTAATATGTATTAAGCAGTGCCCCAAATGTTCGATTATTTTCAGTTTAACTCTGCAAAGAAAACTCTTTTAATATAAAACTCTTCAGGCTGTCATAAAAACCCTGTATAATAATTTTTTTTACACAAATTTACATCCCTCAACCCAGTCTTTTCATTTGCGTTTGCTATCACACTTGTTTCTTACTGCTCCAAATCCTTTAAAAGCAGCATTTTTTTCAATACCTATGTAAAATAAGTGAAGAAAACAAAAAAATGCAATTCTATCACAGCTACTTCATAATTATTGAGATATAGAGCAAATTTTGTGAACGAACACTTGTTAATTTATCTAGGAAAAATATAAAAAAAAATAAATAATACCCGATTTACTGTTGCTTTGATTCATGCTGCATTTTCCAGTACTTCATTTTCGTTAGCTGAGTGTCCGGAATGGCCACTCTAGGAGGGATGAAACTCAGCATCATTATGTGTCTCAAATAAGCCCGTGTTTGTCTGAATGCCGCGTCGGTACCGTGAATCCTGTCCAGTACGCCCAATACTCCAAAACAATTATTGAATCTGCAAAAGAATAAACACAAAAATGTGGCACCTAATACTGTTTGGGATACAATCGCTGGAGAAATGAATTCTGTGTTACAAACTAAATTGTTAATGCATTAATAAGTAATAGGTACTTTGTAGGTTCTTAAACTTCATCGTTTTAGGAAGAAGGTAGCTACCTTATGATTTAGATTTTGGAAAACTTTGGAATGGCATAACTTTTTTTCTATTACAGATAGAAAGCTGAAATTTCACTGAAATTTATCTCAATAAACGGACTACAATCCCTGAACATTTCAGCTCATTTGCACTTATAGTTCCTGAGATAAAATCCTGTTAAGCAATTTGGGGTGATTTATCAATTTTTCAATTTTTCTGAGTGCCATTTTTCATAGATTTCGGCTTCAAATCTGAGAATAATTTAGTGTATGGAGTTTGGGGTATGTTAATTGACCATTAGGATACAAAATCTCAACAAAAAAAAATTGAAATTTCATCGTTTTAGTAAGAAGGAAACCTTTGGAAGGGCATAACTTTTTTTCTATTATAGATAGAAAGCTGAAATTTTTACTGAAATTTATCTCACTAAAGGGACTACAAGCCCTGAAATCCCTTCATCATCGTAGAAACCACAACCAATTCTTACATATTAACACCACTACACCTTTTCCAATAGTATTTTGGAAACCTTCAATTAGTATTTTAGTATAGCCATTTGTATTTAAGAAATCCCCATATGAATAATGGAATAAATAATTGTATTTAAGAAAGCATCATTTGTATTTTGGAATAACCACTTAAACTTAGAAATGCTTCAAATGTAGTTTAGAAAAACTAATTTAATTCAAGAAAGCATCAGATAAATTTTTGAATTACCAGTTTTACTTAGGAAACCGTCATTTGTATTTTAGATCAAACGATATGTATTTAAGAAAGTTTCAATTATTGTTTAGAATTATGTAGTATGCAGTATACCTTTGTCATATAATACTTCATTTTTGCCAAGTGACCCAACTTGCTGTCCCTTTATTAGGTCTTTGTCTTCTACTACCTATTTTTTATAATTTAGTTTTTATAATGAAAGTGATTTTGCATAGATAAGTAATTGTGAAGCTGTAGAAATATGAATCTTCGAGATAATTGTGGTATTTGCCGAGTATCCATGTTAAGGAGATCAGTTTTACGAATGGTTCCTCGTAACCATCTCTTCCATGCGCATTGTGTTGAAGAATGGTAGGCTTAATACACCAGGATCGTTATTATGTTCAATGTGTAGAGCCGAAATAACTGGATTTGTTGTTTTTGTGTTGAGATTATGTAGGTTTAATTTTTTTTAAAAACTTTTCCTCTTATGTCAAATATGCTACAAGAGATATCCATCTCTGTATTTATACATACCTACATGTAATCTAAAATTCAATTTATCGTTTCTTAAATTCAAATGATTATTTCTGAAATACATATGGTGTTTCTAAAATACAATTGCTTCAATCGAAAATACATATGGCTTTTCTAAAATACATTTGAAATTATCGATAATACAATTTTTACTTCTAAAATACTTTTGAATATTTCGCAAATACATTTGGAAAATCTAAAATACACATGGATCTTTCTGAAATACAACTGTTTATTCTAAAATACAAATGACACCTTCTTAAATCCAAGTGATACTTTCCTAAATACTGTTGGAAATGGTGTAGAAAACCTTATATTATCAATATCCATAGGAACGAACTACATAACGAAACGATCATAATACTGCATACTATCATATTAATACAACTATTATAAAGAAAAATATTAGAAATCTTGAAATAATGCTTAAGAATTTAAACAGCACTTTGAACCAAACTGATTGGTCTAAAGATTATATCGCTGATTTTTTGAAGCAAATATTGAAATAAGTCGAATTGAGATAATAAAGAAATTCCTCGCGAAAACGAAGTAAACGCGGAATCTTGAATTTCGTAGGAACAGCACAAAAATGGCTGTACGGAACACTTGACGCCGAAGAAGGTGCTAGATATGACTCATATATTGAAACGTTGAATGAAAATCAACAAACTATAAATGAAAATTTGAAAGATCAAGCGCAAATCCTTAAACAAGTAACAAAGACCTTTCATGACCAATTCTTAAACACAGAGAACAATCAAGTAGTCATTTCACAGATAATTAAAAATATTTCTGCGAATAATCAGAATCTACAGACGGATTATAGCTTTGAACCTAATACAGGCCGAGTTCGTTTTTGTCATCTTTTCCGTCGATTTGCTCCGAAATTTTGACAGGCACGTGACTGGATAAGACAGTTTCAAGTTACAAATCACGTGCCTGTCAAAATTTCGGAGGAAATCGACGAAAAATATGACAAAAACGAACTCGGCCACATTATAATAGGCAGAGTAGCAAGATACGAGATCTGATAAATCACATACAACTCGCTATCAACTTTGCACAATCAGGAATTATGCATTACATTATATTGCAGCACAATGAATTAAACCAGATTCTTAAAAATATACCCAAGAATCAGCAAATCCCATTTGATAACGTAATAAAGTATTACGAAACGTAGACAACAGTAAGCATTAAAAAAGAATTGATTAAATTTACAATCTATATAAACCAAAATTAAACCCAAAACCTTTTGTAATGTATAAACTCTATCCTATTCCTTTCCAGAATTGTACTATTAATATTAAACATCTCTATATTTGTTACTTACAACAGACACATATTTCAATGCTTTAAATGAGTTTCCTAATGTTGAAGGCGTATATGTACTTATGCAATTTTGAGACATTAACCCAAAATGACCCAAAATGAGCCCTGTATTCACAGCATCATTAATAATAAACAACAAACATGCCCTTTCTTGAAAATCGAGTATAAAGAACCGACAGTTCAAGAACTACCTAACAATCATAGTTTATTGTTAATTCTCAAAAGAAGTTTGACAGCAGTTATGCAGTTCAATCAAAAGAAGTACATCGAGATAATTGCCAGTCCTACTCTAATCTCCCGAAGAAAATGTTCAGTGACTCTCAATAATCACACATTTTTGAAGACATTAAAGAAAACTTCAATTTGGAACTCAAGATACCCATAATTCCTAGTTTTCCTGAAAACACCACGACGGTCAGCCTGAAGCAGTAGACCATGAAGCCCTTCAAGAAGCTATACAAGAAGCAACACAACTTGAAGTTCAACCCTTAAAAGAGTCTGTAAAGACTGTAAATAACCATATATCCACATACGTAAGTATAATTTTTTAGTGTTATTTTTATGAAAGTTATAACCATTTTATATTTTATACAGTTAACTAACCATAGTTGTGTTTCACCCTCTCACTCGCGATTAGGACACATCAAACTTGTCGCCACCCAACCCAGGAACAAAATAAGTTTACCACTTGCCAACACAACATCCTTAAACTTCTAATATGATATCCCATCTTTAATTTGTTTATTATTCCCTACCTAAGTCTTGTATTATAAGTTTTTTATAAATGTACTTTGAAGTGAACATAAAACCTGAAACTCTTACCTGCGCCTATATGGGTAATAAAATTGCAAAAATACGCCTTGTAAAACCCAAAAACCTATTGTTTGGACAAGGGATTTTTCGGGTAGACGGCTGAAAAAAGTTTTGGGTGGGGCTTCATAAAAAAGTTTGTAAGTGTGTGTGTATACAATGAGGCTAATTAAATTGAAATGTTTGTTAGTCCCTCTTGGGGTTTGATTTATCGTACCCATTAAACTATAGATTTATCATACTTACTTCAAATGATGAAAATCGTGCGCCTCAGGACTGGGAAAAAACGGCAAATGGTAGCCGGAATGGGCGTTCAACGTGCTCAGAATGGCCAAAGTGAACCATAACCACGCCGTCGCAACATGAGAACCCATAATAAATACGCCTAAAAACGGAGGAACCAAATTTGAAAAAATGTGTTCGACGGGGTGGCAGTAAATGGCGGTGACGGCGATGGGAGCGGTCCATTCGTGGTGCTGCTTGTGGATGTATTTGTAGATATGTTTGCTGTGAAGGAACCTTGAAAAATGGTTGGGTTTGAAAGAAGTTAGGTTTGCTTTTGGGTTCTAATCAAACCTGTGAGAATAATAAAAGGCAGCTTCTTCTACTAAAATATGTATGGCTAATTCATATAGTACCCAATGGAAGGTTGGCAGCTCTCTTATACCTGGAAACCCTCTCCATTTCATTGAATAGTACATCAAATAAGAAGATGGTATTCCAACAGCTATTTGATTTAATAGGACACACCATATAACCTTCAATTAAAAACCTTATTATTATTACCTTATTAAAACAAAATCATTTACCTTCATAAGTTTGGTTCTATCGACAGGCTCATTGGTTCCGGGCTGTATTTTATATCTCCTAATGACTTTGGGCATGTTTGTTACGTCTAAAAAAGTGTAGATGCCACCAAAGAGCCAATAGACACCGAAAGTGATGGCAGTGGAACCAAAAACCCATAAGTACGTGGGATCTTCACCAGCTACGTCCAGAAACTTGTCCCATTGGGCTTGCCAAAAGTCTCCGGAAGCGCCCCAGAATTTTTGAGCGTGCCTTAAACACATCATAACGAATGTTCATTGAACTAACATAATTAAAACAAAAAACAAATTAATGCAAGTGAAATTTTAAATGATAGAATTATTCATGACGCGCTCCGAGCGACTGCTAACTAAAGCAATTTTTCAATAACTTTTTAATGATACTACTAATCATAGAAAAGTAGCGGATAGTATAATTTGCGTGCACTTTGGTTTGAATATTCACCATGTTATAGTGTTCCTTGCAGCGGCGAAAATTACCAGAGCAGTACCGATTACGACTAGTACGCTACCTAGAGACGACAAAATCGAGCTGGGTTGGTCTTTGTAAAAAGGATTTTCGTAGTTTTCGACGCCTAATGCCCTAGTGGTTTCTGTCGTATCGATTTTGGGTTCTTTTAACGGTTCCGGAGGCGGCGATGGTTCTTCCGCTTGCCTTTCTCCGAACATGATTAAACCTGAAAATAAATTTACTATGGGATTTTTTGAAGACACTTTCAAACCAACAAGCTTCTGCAGAAAACAGAAGAATCTTTTTTTTAGAATGTAGAAAACTAGAATTTAATCCAAAACATGTAACTGCAACTGATGGTATATAATTATTATATTTAACCTACACAATATTTCAGATTCAAAAGAAGAAAAGATATCTTAAGAAATTCGAAATATTTGACCTCAAAAAAATATTCGTTTTGAGTTTTTACGAAAACAGAAAAATAGATACATAAAATAGAAATAAAACATATTTTTACGAAAATGCATCGACAATTCGGTGTCAGGATTCTGAGAATTAAGTCGGGCAGCGCGTCTTTCTGGGAATTTCAATTACATTCGATTCGATGTTTTTCTAGATAGATTCGGAGTGCCATTTCGACTATATAAATAGAGCGTAGGCATAAGTCAAGTCTAGTAAAACTATGATAAAGTATTCCTAGAGTGGGAAAATTAAGGTATTATTGATGAAGTGAAAAACTTAAGCTTAGAAAATATAGTTCACTATATTGCACTGTAGGTTGGTGGTTCATATTGATTTGTTTCCAAGTGTTTGATGTTTAATGTTTTCATGATTAATTACATTTATTAATTGATTTTAATGCATATTACACCGCAAAAAGCCGCGCAAGTGATTGTATCAATGGAACATGAGCTTGGCCAGCGTTATATTGCTAAGCAGTTGGATGTTACCAGCGTGTTATGCTAAGCAGTTGGATGTGTCACGCGCAGCGGTTCAAAGAGTGTATGAACGTTTTCAGGAGACAAGGTGTTTCCATAGACGGTCTGGAACAGGCGGAAACGGTGTACAACGGCTCGTGATGACCGCAAACTTCAATTAAAATTTATCTGGACATCGATATTCAGAAATTATTGAAAGCCGATACCCTATATTGACTAATACATTGGAATGTGAATAAAGCAAAAGTTCATGGACCTTTTTTTTTAAGTGTTTTTAACAATTAACATTCCAAAGGAGCCGAAAATTTCTAAAAGGATCAATAAATCATGCACGAGCCTATATGATGATACCCCCTTAACAAACCACTAAGCGACGCTCTTGATAAGTAATTAATAGGGGACCAAATACACTAAAGACGATTTCGCCACGTTTTGGTAACCCTCTTTGGTTGGTTAAAAATGTACCAACCAATTTTGGCACGAAAAACAATGACGTCATGATAACTTTGGTATCTATTTTGGTATGTCAAATTGGGTACCGAGCTTGGAGCACGGTTATTTGAATTGGTAGCTTGCTATCTCTTTCTAACTTGGAGTAATTTAACCTCACTTTTTTGTTTATATTTAAAATTAAATACAAGAAATAAACACAATTAATTTTCACCAATCCCAATTTTAATTTCCCACAATAAAAAGTATTCAGTAGTTTGTTTATTTTTATTTTTTCAGGCATACCATCATCATCACGTCATACACGTGACATTTGACTAACCGGCCGATTTCGGCTGAAAATGGTATGCGACGTCACTGTTGTGACGAAGAGCCTACCTAGCGGTTAACCAACTCACCTACCAACCAAAACGTGGCGAAATCGTCTTAATTGATCGGATGATTCAACCAAGAAAAATCGAGGTCAGAAAAAATAAAGAAATTCAAGAAAGTGGAGGGATCAATGATATAAAAAGGCAACTTTAGCAGGAGAAAATCAGTGTTCGAGAAAAGAGTGTTCGAGAAAGAGCGAGTAAACGGGCAGGACTACGGCGTGAAAGACCAGTGTCGGTTGAGTAATCAAGAAACAAGTAGTAATCGGGAATCGAGAGACCTGTGTCCAGAAAGTCCGAACTACGGCGTGAAAGAGTTGTCGAATTAACCGAGAGAAGAAGCACGACGTGGAATACCATCGCAAAAATATTCGAGTTTTTTTTAATAATTGTTCATAATTAAAGTAAATTCCTTCGACCAATAAGATTTCCATGTAATTAGGTGTGGCCAGCAGTAAATATATTATTGTTAAATGTAAGTAGAGTTTTTTTTTTATATTCAGCCAGAAATTGTGAAGGCAAGAGTGTGAGTCGAGTCAAACTGTAAATTAAAATTTTACTTGGAATCATATAAATTTTCCTTAACAGTTGATTGATACTTATTAGAGATTGAATAATTTTATTGTAAGATTATTTATTAACGACGCCTGTTATTTAATAACAAGCATTATTTATTTTAATAAAATAAACTTTATTTTAATTGACCACAATATTTCTGTGTTTTACTTTCCACCCGCAAATAGGACCCACTTTAAACTGTGTCTCTACTCAGAAACTAAAGTCACCGCTCGTCAATTTAACATCTTGCCAAGTTTCTGAATTTGGGGTCTCACAATTATTGTATTGACAACGTTAGGAGATCGTCATCTTGCAGTTCAGGTACAACAGCTCCGTGAAGTACGAGGACTAGCTATCAGTCAGTGGACAGTGAGAAGAAGACTGCAGGAGAGTAATTTGAGCTCCTAAAGACCTGCCATTGGTTCAAAGCTCACCCCAGCTCATCATTAAGCAAGTCTTCGTTTTGCACAGGATCATCTGAATTGGACATTGGAACAATGGGGGTCTGTTTTATATCAAGATGAGACTAGAATATGTCTCTATGGTAGCGACCGAAAAAAGAAAAGTGTGTCATCACGCCGTTATTAAAGAGTCTAGTAATACTACAACTACAAAACTGAGACCAGACCAGTATTTGATGCTAAAGATACTAACGGAAATTCAATAAATAATAGGTAGTTTAGAAAAGGTGCCTAATCTTATTGAGTTGATACCTGAGATTTTTAGTTAAATTTAGATTAGGTTTGATAGGTATAATTTCCGATATTAAAAAAGCTTTTCTTATGATTGGTATAGCAGAAAAAGACATAAGTAGATGTATTAAGATTTTTATGGTGAAATTTGGTGGAAAGATGCTTCTATGAATGAAATCAAAATCTATAGACATACAAGAGTGGTTTTTGGACTTTCCTCAAGTCCATTTTTGTTCGGAGCTACTATGATGTATCATTTGGAACTTGGAACAAACTTATGCTACTTTTTCAAACACAATTAATAAGCTAAAAGAGTCATTTTACGTGGATAATAATTGTGTAAAAAGTGTCGCAAGAGTTAAAAACATTTGCAAATGAGTCAAAATGGATTTCATTTGAGAGGATTGATATATAATAACAAAAGGTTCTTTAAAGAAGATGAGATGCCTTGTAAAGGAAGTTCAGTATCCAGTTCTCGAATTGGTATGGAATTTTGAACAAGATGTACTCTGTTGTGATGCCTCATTTCTAGAACAAATACCACAGATTCTATTTACAAAAAGAGGCATTTTGTCTGCTGCGCAACGTGTATTTTTTGATCCAATAGATTTCACTAGTCCAGTAACACTCTTAGCGAAGATTCTTCTACAAAAAAACCTGGAAAACAAAAATCAAGTGGGATGATCCGTTACCATTAGATATTTTGGAAAAATTCAAAGTTTTATGAAACGATTTAGAAATGAAATGAATAAATAGCTACATTGGTGCAGTCTAAAAAAGGGAAAATACACAAAAATGGAATTTAAAAAAGTTGTCTCAATTGATCAAGCCGAAAATATGAAGAAAACAATGTGGCCTATGGGAAAAATTATAGAAGTTTACCCAGGACAAGATCAAGTGATTAGAGTTGTGAAAATAAAAACGTCTAATGGAACTCTCACAAGACCAATACAATGCATACATAGACTTGAAATTGGTGGAGAAGAAGAATTGACTGAAGGTTTAACACCTGAAATCTCAAAAAAAAAAACAGATCAAAATGAGATTGTTATGCTCCCAAAAATCTGTTCATGCTTTGACACCCCAAACCTTGAATTAGAAGAAAAACCGTCGAAGAGAAGACCGTTGAACAAGAAAACCTCGAAGAAAATCAACAATTCAAGAAATTATTAAAAAATTTAAATCTACTGATGGCCATCCAACCAATAAGAAGAAGTGGTACGAGGGATGAGATAGGAGAAACCCTTAAAATACCATCAGTAACCCAAACAGAAGTTTTTTAAAAGTTAGTTTCATTGGCCTTGGGCAACAATGGTTGTTATAAGCTGTGTTCCCAACCAACAGATATGAAAACCGTTATAGAACGGTAATTTCCAGTCGATCAATTTATTTGTCGATTAGGATAAACGTTCAACTTTTTGAAAAATAGGTGGGCAACTGGAAATAACTGGTTCTGGAACGGTTCCCATGTCTTTGGAACAGAGCTATAGTTTTAGTTTTCAACAGTTTTTGTTTTTGACGTTGTCCAATTGAAAAATAAAAATTGTGAATTACTTTTGATCCACTTTTCCTATCTTTTTCGAATTAAAAACAACCTGCAGTAATTATTACAAACAACACCTGTTGCATACAATATTTTTTCTACTGCTGAAAATATAAAGCCATAAATTTGAAAAAGTATACGACAACTTTACATCCTAATGTCTAAAGTAACTTTACTTCACAACCTCTAGGGCAACAAAGGTTTTTATAATATCAAGTTTTATACTCGTGGGTATTTAGGTATTTTTGCGAAAATACAATTTATTAAACTCTTTTGTTTAGGTAGGTACTTCACGCTCTAATGTGTAAAGTGAATTAGGTATTGGTACTACCTATTACGTAATAGCTATTATTTATATAACAAGTACATAAAGTATGTAAGGCTTTATTGTACGAATAATTTTATGGCCGAGCGAGCTTGCGAGCGAGGCTATTAAATAATGAGTCAATAAAGCCTGTTTATGTAAGCGTTATATACATGATTTTATGTACGATTGTGACTGGTTTTTGTTAAAAACTAAAAAAATTGAATGAAAAAAGTGAAATTCGCGTAGGTATACCTGTTTTACCTTAGCAGGTTGTCAGGACCTGTTTCACCTTATCAGGTAGTCTAGGTAGGCAATAAAGTAGCACTTTATTTTACTAGTAAAATAAAGTAGCATTTTATTTTACTAGTACAATAAAGTGCTACTCTATTGACGCAAGACTGTTCTATAAATAGAACTTTATTGGTCAATCGGACATAAAATATAGTTTTAAAAAGTGTCTAAAAGTGAAAAAAGGTGCTTTACACACATATTGCATACAGTTATTTTTCTACTACCAATAAAAATACCTAATATGTATAAAAAAAGTATTTAGACAAATACTTTACACTTTACACGCACTAGTACGTGAAGTAATTTACTAGAAAAATACTAAATGGACAGTGTCGACATCTGTCGCATTGACATTACTTTATGCACTAGTGTGTAAACTGTATTACTTTACGCCCTAGTGCGTTAAGTGAGTACTTTACGCACGGTGATAGAAAAAAATATAATTTGTTCTAAATAAGTGTGCCAAACCAAGTGAGTGCTTTTTTTTATGTGGAGAAATGACATCACGGTGAATCAATTTTTGAGTTTGTGAACAACATGAAAAAAGGTCTGTTCGCACACAAATCACAAACCAGTTAGAGTGAATTTCATTGGTTGAAACTGTAGTTTTCAACCAATGAAATTATTGCTCTGACTGGTTTGTGATTTATGTACGAACAGACCCAAAATGTACTCACGTAAGTTTTTGTTTTACATGATTTAATTTTAATAAACGGTTGTTATAACAACACTCGAGCAATTATTAATAAAATATTAGGTACACTAATGAATAAATTTAGTTATTACCTACTTGAAAAAACAAAAACAGACAATATACGCACACAAAACTAAAATGTTTAATAATTTACACCTTTAATAACGAAAAAACAAACAATCTTGTGTTTACATTCAACAAAAATAGCGTCAGGAATATAGTTAATCAATACCCCTACACAATTTTTATTATTATTACAATGAAATCGGTCCGTTTTAATTGCTATCGTAAACTTAAAACGCATTTCCGTCCGGCTAAAAATACTCACCGATGCCCCACCGTTTATTTTTCATATTAATTAATGCGCAAAACTCCGGCTGATAAACATTAAAAATATTTTCGGGAAATAGACCGCGCCGGAAAAACACTATCGAGCAGCTGAAAATTGAACAGCATTCCGGGCAGGAAAACCGAAACAAAGAATTTTCGCCTGTGCTTGGTGCAGTGGCATCTGCTTTGGGTTCTTCAATCGACAAATTACAGATTTTTATGATTCGAAATATTTCATTTGAGCACTGTCACTGGTAGATGGCGGTGAAAAATATCGCTATGACTGTATCGCTATGTTCGCGCGGGAACATTTCGAACCAGTTTAGAACTAGTTCAGGCACAGGTTCAGAATTATTCTGAAACGATGGGAACAGTACCCGATTACTCAGAACAGTCGGAACTCTCTAGTCTCTAGAGTCCTAAATACAGGGTGAGTCCGAAATAAGTGCGGATTTTGTTATGATAGGTAGATAGAACAATCACTCTTTGCATAAAGTTTGTTTCGCTGACGACTCAGTTATGACATCGGAAATGGTGACACACAGTATGGCGACGAAAACCAAAAACGAGGCCGACAAGCACTCCTTAGAGTGTGTATTCCCTTTGAGGATGACCAATCATAATCTTTTGCTGGATTAGCTGTATTCCTTTCAAGAGTTTCAAACACTTGAGCTACTCGCTCTGGTGTTTAGTCGCCCCCGATTTTCAGGGAACAGATACGTGGTGTAGCAAACACTTTTCGAAAGGAATAAGTGCGTGAAGCCCCGGAGCTGTTCCAGAGCTCCTCCTAGGTGTGAAAGGAATACAACTAATAGTTGTATTCCTTTTAAGAGTTTGAAACACTCGAGCTCCTCGCTTCGGTGCTCAGTCGCCCCCGATTTGCAGGGAACAGATGCGTGGTGCAAAAAACACTTTTCGAAAGGAATAAGTGCCTGAAGCCTCGGAGCTGTTCCGGAGCTCCTCCTAGGTGTGAAAGGAATACATCTAATATGTGATGTGTCAATTGTGTCTCGCTTCCCTAACTCCTCCACCATCAAATTCTGGGATACTCGATGAGGATCAAGAACACTTAATTTCTTCTGTGAGAACAGAACGAAAATCACCTTTTCTACATTTGAAATCGATGAAAAAATTAACTCACCATAAAATCTGTTTTTTTTTAAAGATAAAAGTCAAAATGACATTATGTTGGCAATACAATGTAAAATTGTCAATGCTTTCAAATTTTTTATGTAGAAAAGGCTTGTGTTGCCAACATAGTCACTAAATTTTTGACTTGGGGAATTATCTTTAAAAAAAAAAACAGACTAGGTTTTTTACGTTATAATCAGGATGACGTCAGAGAACAAGGACTGACAATGTTGTCAATGCTTATTTGTTTTCTTTTAATTTACCAGAATGTCATGATGAATTATCAAGCCACTGACAGCTAAAAATAACGAAAAGAATCGACACGCGTTATTTATTTGAAAATGTTCATTTCAAATCATGCAACATCGCACGCCGTTGCCAACCAGAAACATCTGAAATTCCCCTACTTTAAATGCGATAAGAAGTACTTTTAGTTTTGTTAGATTTGCAGCAGAAATGTACTAAATGTGACGTCATCCTAAATATAACGTGAAAATCCTATAGCACAGCCTTAATCGCAAGCATTCCATCGAGGTCTACGGGCGACGTCATCACCACTAGAAGCTCCTGGTAGTGACGTCACTCGCAGGCCCAAAATTGGATAGGGAGGAAGTTAGGGGAGTATGACACAATTGACACATCACATAACTCATAGCATAATCAGCAGAGCCGCTTTCTAGAGACGAATTTTAAGGGTGCTCTACACCCGTAGCTTCACACATTGGTGTTCCAAACTTTCATTTCACTGAAACGCTCTCTACTTTGAGCGTCGTGTTTTTGATGCACCCCATAAAATTGCAGATGCAGGGGAGAGAAAAAACGAACAGTTCTGTTGGGCGAAACTCTGAAGCAGTGGAACACCTATAATCCGCCCGGGGCGCTCTAGAGCAGCTCAGGAGTGCTTAAAGTACATCACTGGAAATCGTATCAGGTTATGCTTGATTATCCACGAAAAAATGCCAATTAATTTTTATCTTTTATCTCGTAAACGTCGCATCAAAAAAGAAAAACTCGGAGTGTACCAACTTTTTCTTTAAAAAAAAATAAGAGTCGCTCTAGGTCCGGTCCTGAAAAAGGGGAACCAGGTCTGTACCAAGGTTCTGATAACAGAGGAAGCAACCATCGAGCTGTATTCTTTTCAAAAGTTTAAAACACTAGAGCTACTCGCTCCGGTGTTAGTCGCCCCGATTTGAAAGGAACAGATGCGTTGGCATTCGTGCATTCTAGTTTGGGCTTGAGTACTCAGGTACAAAAAACACTTTTCGAAAGGACTGCGTGAAATGCCCCGGAGCTGTTCCGGAGCTCCTCATAGGTGTGAAAGGAATACAACTATTTAGGAGGAGCAGACTTATTTATATTTTCCGAACGAAGCTATTACAAAATAAAAAACCTTAACAACACAAAGAAATAATAAAAACACATAAGAGTGAACTTGATGTTGAAATCAGTTTATAGTTCTCTGTGTTGATTTTTTCAAATTCGTCTGCAAAGGGAAAAAAAAACCTGACATCAGAATTGGCTTTAATTTGACATATAAACATTCTATGATCGATTATCTACAAACTACAACCCAAAATTTTTGTTCGATATTTTGGGTTTTTTCCAAAATTGATATTTCCGGCGTTTTACTCGCGTTCCGGCGGTCATCCGAGCTCCGTTCCGCGTCGAAAACGCTTCAGAAGCTGCCAAAATTGTTGAATCGCATCAGGATTTGAAGCTCGAATCGGGTAAAGTTGGTTCAAAGAAAGCGCTACAAATGACCTAAGCCGAATTTTCTTGACTAATGTAGTCGGGCCCTGATGTAGACAGTTGATCCAAGGACAAACCAATGAACTATAGTCAAAAACTGGAATGCGCATACATTACCCTATCTGCCAAAAAAATGTAGCCATGAAAGACAGATGCCACAAAGGGGAATGTTGTTTTTTTCTGTTGCTCGCTGACATATGACGTTTTGGAAAGTTTTGTCATATTTACCTTCACAGGTTTCATCAATTGGAATACGTGTTGGAAGCAATTTCCGCCATTTAACATAATGAGTGCGACAAAAACAGGTATCCCCTCCGCAGCAGCGGCACTAGGCTTCACGTTCGTCAATATGTGTTCGCATTCCAGTTTTTGGTTATAGTTCATTGGGACAAACTATAGTTCGTCTGTGACGTCATGAGTGTGAACGCTGCCTAAGAAACTGTGTTCGTGCTTTTGTCAAACTATGTTCAATATGACGTCATGAGTTTCTCGCGAAAGCGTTTTTGTTCATGAAATCATGGAAGTAGTTCATCGTGAAAATTCGGTTCTGATACAGCGTTTAACTTGGGGCGTTCGTTGGAGGGAGACGTGATTACGGCTCTGCTCTGCAGGTTCTGTTTTTTTGTGCAAAATACGGAACGCAAGGTAGATGTTAAAACAGTCAAAGTTGAGGTGCTTTCGTTTTGCTGCCTGAGACTGGGCGAATTTACTCCGAATGTCTATATTTTTTTGGCAATAAAAATCACCTCATAAAAGAGGGTGTAACTCAACGAAAACGCTACACTTGATATAATTATAAACGTCAAAGTTAACGGTGTTTTTATTTTTCGGTGAAGAATTATATCATCTTTGTCTCAATTATTATTTATCTAGGAGCCCCTCCCTGTTTTCTTTAGTTTTTCAATTCAAGAACCGAGAATAAGAACATTATTAATTTATTCAAATTCAAGAATTCATAAGCTGTCTCTGTCACTGATGATTCAAAGAAAGCGCTACAAATGGCCTACTAGATTTGTTGAAGCTGTCAAAGTTGAGGTGCTATCGTTCTGCTGCCCGAGAATTATTTCAAAATTGTGAATTCACTCGGATGTGGGTTTTTTTTTGCTTTGCAGACGAATTTTGAAAAAATCATCCAATCAAAGCACAAGACTGACAGTAAAATATAAAATAAACTGTGGTTTTAACGAACGCGTCAAATATGCATTACTTTCTTCAGTATAATTGCAGTTTATAAAAGCAGCAGACAGCCAGCAAATATCAAGTCAAGTTCCCCAAAATTTTGTAGAGAGCGCGAGTGAACTTGGAGTGCTTTGAATTTAGGCGGTAAATGTAAATAGTTTTAAACCGATTTAATAAGTAGAAGGAAAGATGACTTCATATAAACAATGAACAGTGAATAAATTAAAATATCTTCCAAAACGTTCAGTGGCCCTTAAAGAATATTTTTGAAAGTGTCAGCATTACTCAGCATCAGCTTGTCTTGAAACCACACATCAAACTGCCGATTAAACGCGATGGAATATTGTTAACCGCGGTTATATCTTTGGTCAGTCCTTTGGTTATCTTTGAAACAGCGATTGTCGACCCTTTTTGATTAACCTGAGAGCTCGCGTTTATGCTATGGTTATTCCGTTAACCCCAATTTTTTTGTTTATTCCGTTCTGTTCTGTCTTGTGATTGTTTTTTGTTAAATTTTCACCTAAAGTAAGGTACATTATTATTATGTTTATTATTTGGTGAAGTTTTAGTGTTTAGTTTTGTGTTAACCAAATCTTCAAAGATTGATTTTTCGATCAGTTCGAAGTTCATTTTTTGGAGTTGCACAAAAAAATACAACATACAAAACACAACAGAACAACGAAAAACCCGTCAAAATCCGCCATTTCGGGTATTTCTCCTTTATTTACTTTTTCAGACAAGGACAGAACATAATAACCTAGCTCTAGAGGTAGGTTAAAAATGGTTGAACCAAAGATAAAAACAGCTGATTCAATACGTCACAAAGGGCCAAATGATGACGTCACTACCGAATGATCAAAAATAACCAAAACCGCGTTTACGTGAATGGTAATACCATTTTTAACTAGGTTATTAATATTCCATCGCGTTTAATCGGCTCTGATATTTGAGGTTAAAATTACATTCGATTATTGACGCGCCAAAATTTAAAGAGCTCCAAGTACAGAAGCGCCCTCTTCAACTCACTTGTCAATATTACATGCCATTGTTTTTTTTTTTTACATTAAGAAAATTATTTTCTAGTCGGGTCAAAACGGGCATTGCCCACTCTGTCCCCCCCTAGCTACGGGCCTGAGTGGAACTCAGACGAATTTTTTAGAAAGATGCTTGAGAACATCGCAAACACTCTGGAAATTTGATCAAAATCGCTCAAGGCATTTTGAATATAAAAACAAAGTCAAAATTTTCTGAAAATTTCAACACTGTACAGCAGTCTTTTCTGTTCAACGGATTTTTTGTCAAATAGACAGCCCCTGTCACGAGGATTGCTTATCGGCCTCGTTTTTGGTAATCGGCGCCATATTGATGTGTTACCATTTCCGACGTCATAACTAAGTCGTCAGCTGTTTAAACAGCTTACTAGCCTACGTTAAGGCGAGAAATAACATACTGCCTACGTCACAACTGATAATTTGCTTAGGGGGGGAAGGGGGAATTTGTTACACACAGACCTTAGGAGGATAGGCCATCATAGTAGTGTGTATCATCCTTGTATAGAGACTTAACTACTAGTTAAATCCCTAGAACCATTAGAACTAGTTCAGATTCGATCTGGACCCGATTCTCGCGAATAAAAAACTGAACTAAGTTTGGAGTTGTTCGCTATTCCGAATTATGCATATATAGCCGGAATTGGAAAAAAATCCGAAAACCGAAAATCTCATGCATGATATATTGTATTTATGGCGCTTGGTAACGCTAGTCTGCACTGAGTGCAGCAGTGAGTTATATTCCACTGGTAAAACGTAGAACTAGTACATGTTGCTTTCCATTTGGCTATTTTTCGCGACATAATTTTTTCAAAGAATCGATTATGTTGAGTAATTTGAGGATTACCCAATGACATTTGGATTACCCAACATAATCTTTGAAAAATATGTCACGAAAAATTGTCTATTGAAAAATCAGGGCAACGATTTTTGTTGAGTGCAGTTTTATCGGCTTGTTGCATATCAATCCGAGTGCAATCCAGAGATACTTTTAGGTGCAGAGTGCGAAGCTTCTACACCTTTTCCATATGTATTTCAGAGACCATCAGTTTAATTTCAGGATGCGTCAATTGAAATTCAGCTTTGTAAATTGTATTTCGGAAAGCGTCAATTGTATTTCAGATTAGTTAATTTTATTTGGGAAAAAATCAATTGTATTTCAGATTAGTTTATTTTATTTCAGAAAGTGTCAATTGTATTTCGGATTAGTCAATTTTATATCGGAAAGCGTCAATTGTATTTCAGATTAGTTGATTGGAGTTCAGAAAACGTGAATTGTATTTCAGAAATGGTCAGATGTAGTTCAGAAATTAGTAGGGTATCTATGCAAATTTTCCCAAATCAACACAAGATAGGTGTATAGGTAACTAAGGTGACTCATAATAAATTTTATTTAATACACTACATTAATAATATCTGAAATACATTTGACGAATTCTGAAATACAATTAATTTACAATATCTGATCTACAAATAAATAATCTGAAACCCAAATGACGATTTCTGAAATACAAGTGACCAAACTGAAATACAAATGACTTTTTCTGAAATACACCTGACGAATCTGAAACACAAATGATGTTTTCTGAACTACAACTGACAAAGTTGAAATACAAATAACACTTTCTGAAATTAAACTTACACAACTGGAATACAATTGACGCATTCTGAACTACACCTTTTCCCTATGTATTTCAGAGATCGTCAGTTTAATTTCAGAAAGCGTCAATTGTAATTTAGATTAGTAAATTGTATTTCGGAAAGCGTCAATTGTATTTCAGAATAAATAATTTTATCTGGGAAAGAATCAATTGTATTTCAGATTAGTTTATTTTATTTCAGAAAGTGTCAATTGTATTTCAGATTAGTTAATTTTATATCGGAAAGCATCAATTGTATTTCATATTAGTTGATTGTAGTTCAGAAAACGTGAATTGTATTTCAGAAATTGTCAGGGGTGCGATTTTCGAAACCATTCGAGTACATTTCGTACACGAAATTTGACTTCTGCCCATTTAATTTACATTGCTGTCAGTCAAATTTCGTGTACGAAATGTACTCGAATGGTTTCGAAAATCGCACCCCAGATGTACATAGTTCAGAAATTAGTAGGTATCTACGCAGATTTCCCCAAATCAACACAAGATAGGTGTATAGGTGACTCTTATACATTTTATTCAATACACTACATTGATAACATCTGAAATACATTTGACGAATTCTGAAATACAATTTACAATTTCTGATCTACAAATAAATAATCTGAAACACAAATGACGATTTCTGAAATACAAGTGACCAAACTGAAATACAAATGACTTTTTCTGAAATACACCTGACGAATCTGAAACACAAATGATGTTTTCTGAACTACAACTGACAAAGTTGAAATACAAATAACACTTTCTGAAATTGAACTTACACAACTGAAATACAATTGACGCATTCTGAACTAGAATTGATGAATCTGAAATACAAGTGATACATTCTGAAATACTTATGGAAAAGGTGTAGAATTGATGAATCTGAAATACAAGTGATACATTCTGAAATATTTATGGAAAAGGTGTAGAATTGATGAATCTGAAATACAAGTGATACATTCTGAAATACTTATGGAAAAGGTGTAGAATTGATGAATCTGAAATACAAGTGATACATTCTGAAATACTTATGGAAAAGGTGTAGAACACTTCACACCTGTCATACTCCAGCGTTTTGCACTCGAACGGGTCAAACTGTATCCGGAGTACTTCGGAGTAACTCGGGAGCGCTCAAAGGGTGGCACCCGAAAGCGCTATAAATCTGTTATATGTCATTCAAAAGATCAACAAACAAACATGACAGGTCACACAGGTGGAAATAAAAATTATCAAAACGTCAGTGATTTTTCTTTTTTCTCTAAACTTTGTAAATTTTAATATTCCGGTTGAATCATAACTTGATCGTTCAATCAATTAGTGATAAGGCACTTTTGCAAAACTATTTCTTGCCAGTTTCAATTCAACCAAAGTGTAATAATGGATCAATAAGCCAGGCATTTGCTTATGTAAAAGCGTAAGTAGGTTTTTCCCCATTAATTTCCTGAAAATTGTATTTTAAAATTTTACAATGGAAAACTTCTTATCGCAATTTTTTTATGTCAATGCTATCAGTCCTTTGGACTCCGACAATTATTAATATTTATAGCTTGCAAGCATAAAACAATGCATTATTTTTATTATTTTTTTAATTATCTACTATTAAATCAAAATACCACTTAATTTGGGTGCCCACAGGAAATGCTGATTAATTGAATAGATTAATGCAGTAGTAAAATATACTATAGTTTGATTATTGCAAGTGCCTACAATAAAGATTTTATAAAAGTTGATTTATTTCTTAACATTGTTTTACCCTCGTTTTTACCCAATTGTGACTGCACATGGACTTTGTTATAGGTCTTTGTATGCAGTCTACTGATTCATCATTTAAAATTTTATGCAAGTAAATTTTTTATCTATCATCCATTTATATACTTTTTAAAATACTGAAGAGTGAATGGTGAATAGCTCTTACAGCTGAGAGTCAGGGTACACATTTCTCACAATATTTAGACAACCAGACCACAATCTGTCATAATCCTTACACAGTCTCTCACAATCTACGACTATCTGTCACATGTGAGGTCCCTCCAAATAATATTAGTTACTTTTCAATCACAATCAGTCACATTCATTACACAATAAGACCACAATTGTTACACAATCTGTCACAATCATTACAAAATTTCTCACAATTGTTGCACAATCTCTTGTAACTGCTACACAGTCTACCACCATCGGTCGCAGGTCAGATTCCTCTAAATAATTTTAGTTCACTTCATTTTCAATCACAATCAGTCGCAATCTTTTTTTTTTTGAAAACGATTTTATTGATAACAATTAATAATAACAACATTTGGTTACAAAATTCTCTAATCAGTGTAAAATCACTGGCCCCGAGAATAGCTACTTAACATTATTAGTGCTGGATGCCTTTATCAATTTAATAATAAATCAACATAACAAAAGAATATACTTAAATCTTAATGATCAAAACATATCTTAACTTTTTTAACAAATGCATTATAATTTCCTATGTTCTTAATTTCATTTGGTAACTTATTGTACGCTTTTGATGCTCTAACTATTGGATTGTTTAGACCTATATTAGTAAGTGTTCTTGTGAGATAAATACTGTTTTGTTATATGTTCATGTATATCATTTGCAAATACAATATTTATATTAGTTTTTTGTGTCCTATTTAAAATTTTATACATAAGTTTACATTGTTCAAATTCCAGTAGTTTAAAAATTTTACAAACTTTTAATTCTTTATAAAGTCTTTATGTACTCGTTAATCTATCATAATTAAATAATATCTTTAAAACTTTGTTTTGTAATATTTGCACTGCATTGAAGTTTGTTAAATTACAAGTACCATAGATGGGCAACAAATATCTTAGGTGAGATAAGAAATAAGCATTATATACATCTAATTTACTTTTGTATGACAAATAATATCTATGTTTAAATAGAGCTGAAATCATTGGGATCAATTTATTGGTTATATGCTCTATGTGATAACTCCAACTAAGTTTACTATCCAAAAATAATCCCAAATACTTCATTATACAAACCTGTTCTATTACTATATTATTAATAAGAATATTTAAATTTTCAGTAACTTTGTTTTTTTGTTTGAACACCATATACTTCGTTTTATCTACATTAATTTTCAGTTTATTGCAGTATAACCAGTTCACATAATTCATAAGATCAGCATTAATTTCCTGATTTAATGTTTCAGAATCGCTACCCGTATAAACCAATGCTGTATCATCTGCGTATATGAAATATCTTCCCTTTAAATTGGCAAATTTTAGATTGAGAACATACAGAGAATAAAGAAGCGGACCCAAAACTGACCCCTGCAGCACCCCACAGGTGTTACCTAGTATTGCACTTTTCGTGCTTCCCAATTTCACATACTGTCTTCTGCCAACAAGATAAGACTTGACAAGATTAAATATAACACCCCTGAATCCCATGTTTCTTAATTTTTTTAACAAAATTTCAATGTTCACCACATCGAAAGCCTTTTTTAGGTCCACAAAATCTTTACTTAATCACTCACAATATTAGGGAATTTCCTTAAAATACTTCCTGTAATCAAGGCACAGATCAAGAGAATGATAATCTCTAGATTACCCACACTATAAGTACTCCATTACTGATTCTATACATTTTAAATACAAGAGCTGTTTTTCCAGAGTTTACAAATCTAGTAAATCAGGATAAAAATTTAATTTGAAGTTGACTATTATGATGAAGTATACAAGAAAGCAGTCTCTTCACCAAAGAGTCAATAATCAGCAGTGTATGTCAAAATCAGTATTATACAAATGTGAATTAAGTTATGGATTAATTATCAAAGACTGCCATTTCACTGGACACAAATCTCCATTTTTCCAATTGCCTAAATAATGTAGTAAATAAAGCTTTGCAAATGCTGGGTTTTATCAGGACAACCCAAGATTTCACCAATATTGCTGCTTTAAAAACTTTATAATACGCCCTGGTCCACCCTCATCTAGAATATGCCTCTTGAGTGTGGTTTTGTTTTTATGGTGTACACAAGGACTCTCTTCAATTGGTTGAACACACATTTTTGAAACAAATAGCCTATAAACTAAACATTTTGGATAACTATAACGACATCCTACTACTCTCTATGTTAAATATCTCCCTGATTATTTTGCGTCATAAGAGGAGAGACCTTAAAACCTTCTATGATATGCCACAAGGGGGGACTTCAACTCTTGAAATTCTTCATAAAATCAGCATTCAAGTCGTTCCTAGAAGAGCACATTTTCCTTAGTCAAGTTCATCATACTTTTAGGTAGTTAGTTCCAAATTTGGATTTTCAATTGAAATTAATTATAATTTGTACCTATAACTACTCTGTATTATTATTGGATGTGATTTTCGTCGAGATTTTCACCTATTTTCACTATTCCCATCTTTCCTAAATCAAATCATTTATTCAGGCTTATACACATGGTGTTTGCATTCGTCAAAATAGAAAAAAATATGCATATAAATATGTCTTACTTGCTACACAGAGTTAGTTAAGAAAGAGTAAAATAAAAGTGACAATAAAATGTTACAAAAAAATGTTACAATAATAATACTAACAATAATAAAATAATTGGGTTTTAAAATACAAAATACAACGCAAAAATCTGCGGACGAATTACGACATATAAAATATAAAATCACAGAACAATCACATATCAGTCAGAGAAGTTTATATTTTCTGTTAAAAATTCTTGTAGGGTATAGTATGATTTATCCAAGAGATACTTCTTTACTGCGGTTTTGAAATTAGCTTTAGGCAAACTCTTTACCCCTGGAGGAAGTTTGTTGAAGAATTTAATAGCATAATAGTTATTACCTAGCCTGCTATGAGTCAATCGTAAATGGTCTGGTCGATGGAGATTGACTTGTCGTGTTGCATAACTGTGCTCAGGCAGAGTGAAGTTAAGTCTATTATCGTAAGCGTAGATTAGGCATTTATATATAAAATATGATGGCAAAGTTAAGATGTTCAGCTCGCCGAATTTACCCCGGACATCATCCCTATATCCCAGCCCCGTAATCAGACGAAGTGCCTTACGCTGCAAGCCAAAGATTCTTACTGCAGCTGGGGCCTGACCCCAGCTTATAAGCCCATAGGATATATGAGATGCGATTAGAGCATGGTATGAGGTGACCAATACATCCCTTGTTGCTGTCTTAGATAGACATCTGAGAACAAATATGTTTTTAGAGATTTTTGTGGCTAGATAGTCAATGTGAGGCAGCCAATTCAGTTTTGGGTCCAGATAAATCCCCAATAACTTAGCACACTCTGCGTTGTCTATATTTGTGATCGGTCGTTGGGAGAAGACTAGGTCTATTGTCTTTGATCTGTTAAGGGCCAGACAATTTTGGGAGAACCATTGTTGGCTTTTCAATAGAAGATCTTTAGAATTTTCCGTTGCTGACAGAAGGTCGGGGTGTTGGCTAAGAAGTGTGGTATCGTCCGCAAATAGTGTTACACAGCCATCAGGAATTGCATGTACGAGATCGTTAATGTACACCAGGAACAATGAGGGACCCAGGACTGACCCCTGAATGACCCCATTTTTTATTGGTAGGATTGTGGAAGTCTTATTATTGGACTGAACATATTGGTGTCTGTTTGTCAGGAATGATTCGATTAGTTTTGTACTGTTTAGACTAAAATTATAATGTCGCAGTTTTTGTAATAGAATACTATGTGCCACACAGTCAAATCCCTTAGTTAAATCACAGAATGTTACGCTTGTGTAAAGGCCCCCCTCCTGCCCATCTACAATATGATTCAACAGATTGGCTATGGCTAGTTCAGTGGAACGCATAGGCCTAAACCCATATTGGTGTTCATAGAATAGTTCATTAGACTCAAAGTGATATGTTATTTGCTTTTTTAAAACAGTTTCTATTAATTTAGAGATACAAGGGACAATTGAAATAGGCCTGTAATTAGTAGGGTTAGAGTCACCGCCTTTATGAATAGGAACAACCTTAGTAATTTTCAAGATATCAGGGAATACACCAGTTCTGATGACTTCATTTATTAGTTTAGTAATTGGGGCCAGTATTAAATTTTTTATTGATTTTAATATCCTTATGGATATGTCAAAATGGTCAAGGCTGGATTTATTCTTCATACCATCAATGATCTCCCTTAGGTCATTAAAACTAATCTCCGTAAAGGCAAAAGGCGGAGGATTAATAATGCTCTCAAGGTAGTTTACCTGGTTTGTATCTTGGTTTATATTTGCGTTTGAGTTTGGTGCCCCAACAATATTGTCAGCCACATTTACAAAAAAATTATTTAAAATATTTATGTCTGGCTCCTCAGGCTGAGATGACAGAGTTTTTTTATTAATCCTGCTTTTATTTATAATATCCCAGTATATCTTTGACTTGTTGCCCTTTTCATGTACTATTTGTTTATAGTAGTTTGATTTTGCCATTAAAATTTCTTTTTTATAAAATGATCTATACATTTTCAGGTGCTGCTTAATATTATGGTTGTTAGGAAAGTTTTTACTCATTTCACATATTAGGGATAAATTAGTTCGAATTTCTGATAAGTTTGTATTGAACCAAGGATTATACTTTTTTTATTTAATTTAGCTTTGGTGCGTATTATGGGAAAGAAAGTGTTAATGCGTGATTTTAGAATTTCAATTAGGGTTGAAAATTTAGTATTGGTATCCATTGATTGACTATTTATAAAAGACCAATCTACACTTTCTAAGTCAGTATAAAGCAAAAACATACCATGTTCACTGAAATCGCGATATATGATTTCTTTTGTCTCTGGTAGTGGCCGAGATATTGCTACAGAAACAGTTATTGCTGCATGGTCCGAAAGACCAGGCTCAAGCACTCCAGGAACAAGTTTAGCTGCCTACCAAAACTTGACTCATGTTTTCTCATGGAACTGTATTTGTTATTACCTTTGCTATTGATTTTTATTGTTATCTTTGTTTATTTTGTTCTAATTATTACCTCGGTTATTATAAACTATTCCCAACTTGGACACAAAATCTCAACAAATTTTTTTTTGAAATTTCATCGTTTTAGTAAGGAAGGAACCTTATGATTTAGATTTTGGAAAACTTTGGAAGGGCATAACTTTTTTTCAATTATAGATAGAAAGCTGAAATTTTCACTAAATCTTATCTTAATAAAGGGACTACAGTCTCTGAAAATTACAGCTCACTTGCGCTTATAGTTCCTGAGATAAAATCGTGTTAAGCAATTTGGGGTGATTTATCAATTTTTCAATTTTTCTGAGTGCCTTTTTTCATAGATTTCGGTTTCAAATCTAAGAATAATTTAGCGTATGGAACTTGGGGAATGTTAATTGATCATTAGGACACAAAATCTCAACAACAAAAATTTTGAAATTTTATCGTTTTAGTAAACTTGGAAAACTTTGGAAGGGCATAACTTTTTTCTGTTATAAATAGAAAGCTGATATTTTTACTGAATCTTATCTCAATAAAGGGACTACAAGATGGAAAGCTGCCAGACCCAAAATAAGAATTTATGCAATCAGCAAGAGTGCTTAATGCTTGATCTGGCAAATATGAAAAAATTCTAATGGAAATATGTATCATGGCAGCTAGACGAATTCTATTGAGAATGCTGCTGAAAATACTTTTCATTTCAAAAAGATCCTGTCTACATAATTGAATCACTCACAAAGTTTCACATTTTTCAGTTGACTTGTTCCATTAGAAATCTTTATTTTTACACCTCTCCATGATATACACACAGCTGGCCGGACATCGATGTATTCAATGTATTCAATAAATAGATACATTTTGGAAGAAAATTGAGCTACATAGGGAAGATAATTTGTGCTACACCACAATTTATATTCAAAAAAAAAATCACAATGTTTTTATCTACACACTCAAAGTTATCATACACGAAGTAAATCTTTACTGCACATTTTTTACTGTCAAACTTGATACTTACTTTTCAGTCCTGTTAATAGAATATCTGCCAATGTAAATAAGTTCTATGAGGGTCTTGACTTCTCTAGTTTATCTCAAGATAAATTTAAGATGCAGGCCAAGATAATTGCTTTAGGTTAGATTATTTTAGATTTAAACCCTGTACAACTCCAAATGTATGTATTTTTTCTATAATAAATAAATAAACAAATATACCTATACACAGTGAATAACAATACAAATAGTTATCAATAGCAACTCTTCATTATGTTATAGGTGTCTTGATCAGTTGCAGAGCATCTATTTAATCATGTTCTATCGATATCTAAATCGTTTTCAGTAAAATACATTTCCATTTTCAGAAAAATGAATAAAAAAATTTGCCCCCATATGGGGGACTCCATCCAAGACCCAAGCGACATCTTCAGCACATTAAGTTTAAAACCAGTAAGTAGATTTGAATCTAAAACAACTGAAATTATATACTATATATAAAAATTTGCCTTTAGGAAATAAAGTGTACAGATTGTGATTGCTCAGGCCCTAACCTGTGGCTGTGCTTGAAGAATAATTGTGGGCATATCGGATGTGCTGAAAAATCAAATGATCACAGCACTCAACATAATGCTGTAAGTTACTTACTTTGATAAAACTCATTTTAAACAACAAAAAAGCTAAAATTATATTTCAATTAAGTATTGGAATATTAAATATTTAGCTAAATGTCTAGTCTGTTCCAATTAATTTTTTTTTTGTTCTGTGTCTTAAATTTTTGATTTAAATGAATAAATTATTCTCTTAGGAAGACCTCAGTCATTGTATTCACATGAATTTATCAACTAGACGGCTGTGGTGCTACGATTGCAAAGGCGAAGTATTTTTGAATACAAAAAATTTAGTGAATGGCTACGAAAGCGATCAGGACGACAACCTAAATAAGGATTCCGGACACGGTAGTTTTTCTACCTTAAGAGCCAATAGTCCTGAAAGAGGTAACAACTAATTGAGGGTTTATTGTTTTTAGTGATAACGTCGGTTGTAGGTGCAATTTTCGAAAACAGCGTAGGCCTCAACGTGGGTATGAGCGGCGATGGAGATGGTTCTGACTCGAGTGATATTGGAGATATTGTTGACTATTCTATGGAGAACGGCAATAAAGGTTTGGTGGGACTTCAAAATATTGGTAAGTAAAATTATGATTTATGAAACAATTATTACGTATGTGAGGCAGTTCTAAAGCATGGTTTAGTGAATCTAAAAAAAAAAACATGGTTTAGTGAATCTAACATCCAGATGCAGTTTAAAACAATTAAATCAATTGTGGAAAAAATTGATTATATAATGATTATATGCAGAGCAAAATTGAAAACATGGATACACCCACAATTTCTATAAGAAATAATTTGCCTATAATCATAAGGCAAAGGCCTACAGGTTTATGTTCCTTCTTGGCTTTTTATCTATAAAATTTGTAGCATAATCAAATCATTTAACATAAGTTGAAAAAAATTGAGGAAACTAATTTAAACTATTCAACAGGAAATACTTGCTACATGAACGCAGCCCTGCAAGCTCTTAGCAATACTGAGCCTCTCACCAGGTAACTTCAAACTAAACCTCCCAAAGCAAATAATGTTCATTTATTTATTGTTTTAGTTATTTTGTGGACTGTGCCAATATAGTTCACATATTGTCAGAAGGCAAAAAACCGGGCCTCAGTCGAACTTATCAGGCCCTCATCAAAGATATGTGGGTCAAGAAAAATACCCAAGGCTTCGTGACACCCTCTGGGATTCTATATGGCATCAGAAATGTTCACTCGATGTTTCGAGGCTATCACCAGCACGATACTCAAGAATTTTTACGGAATTTTATGGATCAGTTGCACGAGGAACTTAAACAACCTGAAATGTTCACTTCGAACGATTCTGATACTTTCAGGTAAGAATTTTTCATATTCCCATTATCATTGTCTCTGTTTTCCATTTATATTAATTGCTTTGTAGCCGCACTTATCAATCTTTCAAAAAAAAATTATTGATTCCATTTAGTCTTGCCATGGAAGAAATCCAAAGTTCCAGCCTAAACTACGATTCGTCAGAGGGTGAATACGAAACTTGCGATTCAGGCGTGAGTGAACGATCTTCTTTAAGCGACGACTCCGAGGTGCGGCAAGTTCGAATATCGCCAACGACGGGCAGCTTGGCTAGTAAACGGAGGCTGAGCAGATGTCAGAGCCCTAACAGACGCCAAAGACAAAGGGTGGCTAGTCAAAACGTTATCGATTCTCAACCGATAAGCTCAAACCAAAACAACTTCAAAAAACAAATCAAGTATCGGTCGATTATATCGGATATATTCGATGGTAAACTTTTGAGTTCGGTGCAATGTCTGACGTGTGACAGGGTGTCTAGTCGCGTAGAAACATTCCAAGATTTATCACTACCCATTCCTTCGAGAGATCATTTGATTGTTTTGCATGGTAAGTCGTTGATTTTGTAAAATTTGTGTAACTTATGGTGTATTTATTATAGGACGTACTGTCTTACCTAATGCCTCATGTTCTGATGTATTGTTACCTGTTCAAGACGGTTGGATTTCATGGTTTTTAGCTTGGATACGGTCTTGGTGGTACGGGCCGATGGTAACTCTGCATGATTGCTTATCAGCATTTTTTAGTACTGATGAATTAAAAGGGGACAACATGTATAGCTGTGAAAAATGTAATAAGTTGAGGAACGGTATTAAGTTTAGCAAAGCAAGTAGATTCGGTACAATTTAATATTTTTGTATAACAATATTTTTTAGGTGTTACAATTGCCAGAAGTGCTTTGCATACATTTGAAACGATTCAGGCACGAGTTGATGTACAGTAGCAAAATTTCATCAGCTGTTAGTTTTCCGTTGAAAGGACTCGATATGTGGCCTTATTTACATGCCAACAACACTTCAAAGGTACTTTATTATACATTTCTGAATAATTTAGGATTTTATTTTTCTTTAGGTTTCAAATTATGAGTTATTTTCCGTCATTTGTCATCACGGCACAGCTGGAGGTGGACATTACACCAGCTTTGCGGTAAACGGTAGCCAGTGGTACGAATTTGACGACCAGTGTGTGACTAAAGTGCCAGCGGAAAGAGTACAAAATTGCGAGGCTTACGTTTTGTTTTATAGGTGAGTAATTTTCCCTTACAGACGAAATTTCATATCGCCTCAAGTAGTTTTTGAGTGAATGGTCAAAATGTGGAGGCATGTCATATTTAGTCTTACAGAGGAAAATGGCCATTTTTAAAAACCTTGTAACTTAGCAATTTTTCATTCAATTAATGTGAATTTTTAGTATGTTTTGCCTATAAGCCTAATTTCACAGGTGTAGCTATTGTATAGAATTTTGTAGATTTCAATTATATCTCCTCTGGATCGTCTTTCTCTTAGTGTTGGTAGACCAAATATTTTTAACCTTTCAGGATAGGGCAGATCTCCTAATTCGGTGGTATTTTAGTGACTACGCTGCACCCTTTCCAGCAATTCTATGTCACCAACAAAATAAGGATTCCATACTGAGTGTGCAAATTCAAGTGTAGGTTATGTATAGTTTTTTAATCATTTCAACAGAAAGGTTTCTGAATGCTTTTCTACACACATATATTATGGAGTTTGCCTTCTTGACAATTTTATTTATGTAGGGTTCCCATTTAGGGTCACTCTTTATAATAACTCCAAGGTCTTTTTGTTGATTTGTATGCTGTAGGGAAACTCCATTAAGATAGTAGGTAGTTTGTGGGTTTTTTAGGCCTATACTTAGCGTAGTGCACTTTTTCACATTTCGTTTCTTCTTCCACGTATCTGTCCAATTTTTAATCTCCTTAAGGTCTTTCTGTAGGTCGTTAGCGTTTGTCAATGGGTTTGTGTACAACTTTGTATCATCAGCAAAAAATGATATTGAGCAAGGTATTTTATTTCGGGGGTCACACCAGAACTAAAAGTGGTCCCAACATCGATCCCTGGGACACTCCGCTCACTACCCTGTGTTCCTGGGACAGGATTCCATTCGCTCCGACCCAGTAGCCTCTGTTGGTTAGAAAACACCTAATGAGTCTCAGTAAATTGCCCCCAACACCATAGTGCTCCAGTTAAGCCGAAAGTTTTCTGTGGGGAACCTTGTCGAATGCTTTTTCATAGTCCAGATATATAATATCAATAAGATTTCCCTTAGTCCAATCATCTAAGCCTAAAAGAAGGTATGTCTGGTTTTAACGGACCTCCCAATGAGGAAACCATGTTGGGTGGATGGAATTATATTATGTTCGGTTAGAAAGGTGGTTAGGTGTTTCACAAGAATTTGTTCCAGACATTTGCACTCGTGACTTGATAGGCTTATGGGTCTGTAGTTGTTTCACTGCATCTATTTCCACTCTTATAGATGGGAATTAAAATAGCTTTTTTCCAAGCAGGTGGTAGAGTCCCCGATTCTATGCAGTAGTTGAAAATATTTGCCATAGGCTGCGCAATATGATGGTCAATACAGTTTTTAAGAAAAAGTGGTTTTAGGCGTTGTATAGCTTTTTTTACTTCCAGGGTTGAGATTTGAATTTCACTTAAGGATTCATGAATTCTGGTGGTTTCATCAAACTATGGCAGACTTTCATCGTTCAGCTCCTGAGTGTAGACACTAGAAAATTTATCCGCAAAAATTTCGGCAATATGTTGGTTGGATGTTATGCTTGGATGGTCGCTTCATCTACAAGCAACAATTTAGATGTTTTAGATGACAGATTTCAACTGACATACTTATATATTTGTTTTGTTGACTGTGCTGTTAAAAAGCCTTTTTCGTAGTTCATTATTGCAGTGTTTAGTGTGGATTTAAGGGTGTGGTTTTGTTGTTGGTGCGCTCTGTAGTCCTCAATCTTTGTAATACGACTGTACTTTTCCCACAATTTGCGTTTTTTGTTTATTTCGGTAAACAGGTGCTAATCCATGGTTTTAAAGGTTCAGTCTTGACCGTTTTTAGTGGCACCAGGCTGATGCTTATTACTGTATTTATGATATTGTCATATGCCTGATATAGTTGGTTCAGACTGAAAGTTTTGCTCTTGCAGGAAAGTTTTTTTTTATCATAGTCGGCTGACCAGAAGTCTCTTTTTTGAATTTTTTTGGTTGGTCTGATTAAGCAGTGTTTCTACAGGAATGAACTGCAGAGTATCCTTCAATGTTGTAGAATGGTATCTCAGATTCGAATAGCCACGTTTCCACCAGAACCAAGATGTCACTTTTAACAGTGCACTGTATTTCATCTATTTTGTTACGTATACTTTGTATATTTAAATATTCAATGGTAATATATTATCTTCCTCACTCAGTTTTTTAGATCATCACTGCTTCGCACTAGAGTTGTTTTGCTGACATCTGTCTTCCGCAACAGTATTTTGCCATTGGTGACCCATAAGTACTTGAAGTTGTTAAATTGCTGTCTAAAAAGCTGGAAGTTTTGTTTAGTCAGATTATGATAATATATACTGGTTCCGGGACACTGCTTTGAACAATCATTCGTGCTATTAAATCCATGTTTTTCTTAGCCATCATCCATTTTTTCTTGTCCTCATCCTTTTCAAATATTACTTTTATTGGTGGATTTGCCTTATTAGCTTTTATACCTCCCATTCTGTATGCTGACTGTACTCTGTTATCAACCTTTAGTGCTGTTGCCAATTTCTCCACTATGCCCTGTATATTCTCATTTTCTTGATTGAGTTTTTGTGCATATCACCACAAGAGGTGGATCAGATTTTAGATCATAAATTGTTTTTTTGTTAATAAAAAGGAAACCATACCTCTGGGAAAACCGTACAGTGTTGAACAAATTTAACGACGAAATTAACAATTTTTTTTTCAATTTGTAAAGGCTCATTCATAGTAATCTGCATTTCTTCATCAATTTGAACTGATTCTTATGGCGTTTCCGATTGGTAGATCTAGTGCAGAGCTAGTGCAATTTTATCTATTTCTGTCTTTTTCTTCTACAGGTCGATTAAAAGGATGTAAATACACTCAGTGCGCACTGAATCTACCAATCGGAAACGCCATTAAATTCACATTCTTTTACCTTCCGGGAAAATACACCAAAGTATTATGCTAAAACAAAAATAGCTCAAAAAATTTCCGAACATATACAGTGTGCGCCATAAAGTTGGGTACATATGGGAAAATTCTTAATTATTCCTTTTTTCAAAAAACTTTTTTTGGGGATCGTTAGGGCATGTTCGATAACCAAAAAATCGATTATGACACATGTCATGCGATTATCGGTTTGGCAGGAATTTTGAAGAAAGTTGATATTGATGTCGAAAAACGGGTAAATTTGGCAAGATATCAAAAAATTTTATAAGAAAAAGTTGTTCAGAATCCAAAAAGAACTCCACATGCCGATTTTGAAGCAAATCAGAGAAAAATAAAATAAAATTACTTATTTTACCCATACCATTAAATGGAAAATCGAAATATTAATTTTATTTCAAAAATAGCTTTATTCAACTAAACTACATAAGTTTGATATCAAACGAATCGATTGTTTTGCGAAATACACAATTGAAGGTCATAAATTAGAAAATACCGCCTGGTCGTGTCGCTATAACTGTACCCATGTTCCTTTTTGCACATTTCTTGGTCATCAGAAAAATTACATGACATGTGTCATAATCGATTTTTTGGTTATCGAACATGCCCTAACGATCCCCAAAAAAAGTTTTTCGGAAAAAGGAATAATTAAGAATTTTCCCATATGTACCCAACTTTATGGCGCACGCTGTATCAAAACATGTTTTAGTTTCGCAAGATAATGAAAATAGAAAACTAGATGTTAATGTTGACACCACAGGGGGAATCAGTGAACTCAAATAATAAGATAGGTGAAAGTTTTTTAGAGCCAGTTCTTGGTGTTCAGACATTACCTTAGTGATACTCAACATACAATAGGGAATTTTCATATTTCTCAAATTATTTTTTTTTAGATACTTCTAGTCATCAGTTATAACATAATTTTCTTTTTTTCCATTTTAATTTATACGTTGTACGAAAAAAAATTTATTGAAATTCAAATGAAATACTTTGGCGCGAAAACACGAAATTTCAATTTGACAGCGCTTGTGACGTTGAGATTTTGTAAACATAAAATACGCAGCAAACGAACTCTTGCTGACGCAGTGCTATTTTTGTGTTATTCAAGTCTGTTAAAGTTTGCTCTAGCATTTTTTTGGCGGGAAAATTTTTATTTCAAATTTAATATTATTTTTTGTGTAACAAGGGCGGTATCAGTTAAATAAGAACTGGTCATATGAATATTGTGCAGCATAAACTATCGATTTAAAACAAATTTGGAAAATTTTACTTCACTTGCAAGTTCCCTATTGGTTAGGAACAGAACCAATGAGCTTGAAACTCCTAATATTGTGCAGCACTGGTAAAAACCAGAAAAACCATTTTTATATCTAATTATACTTTATTGAGTAAATACTGTTGTTGCGTAGGCACATTGATACTTGTTGAGGATGAATTTCTGCATATATGTTGATTTAAAAAATATGATAAATTCAATTACCTCAATAAAGAAAAATTGTTTGAGTTGTCAATGGTATATTGTAGTGAGCTTAGATTGTATGTCATCTGCATTCTTAGAATTCAAATATGCAATCACATACAGGGTGTTCCATTTAAAATAGCGATGTTGCCACTGGTTTAGAGTAGAAGCGGCAACACCGCATAAACAAAAATATTTTTAAAGTGTAGATCATGGTAGTTTATCCCGGTTGCCAAATTTCCAAAATGATCCGCTTTTTAGTTCTCCATAAACGTCTAATACGCCATCCACCGTGGGACACCCTGTATAGATCTCCTAGAAACAGTTCCAAAGCATTTTTGTTTGAATTAGAAATTATATTATCGGGGATAATACCACGAGAGCTTCAAAATTACCGATAATTTTTCACGATTGCGTGTTTTCTATAATTTCACGAGTCCGTAGGACGAGTGAAATTTGCAGAGAAAACACGCATGAGTGAAAAATTATCTGGTTCATTTTAAAGCTCAAGTGGTATTTAGAGGATTATTTCACATATGAGAATGCAAAAAATATGGGAATAAATATGTATTAAGCGATTTGAACATCTTAACAAACA